GACGTCATCCACGCTCGGCGGGCCTATGACCTCCAGAGCGATGTGAGTGCTGTATCTATAATAAAACAGAATGTGGAAATATTTTAAACTATATAAAAGTTGTCTTTTATAAATAATCCATCAGCCTACTCAACCTAGGATTTATTGCTCAGTAAATTAGATATGAACCAGAGTTTTATATAGTTTTATTGCTTTATTACAAACATATTAGTAGTCTTATAAAGAAGTAAAGTTTCTACACTGCTATGGGTCTTATGAAACAAAACTGATACTGTCCAATGTTAGAATTCAGGCACCACCAGAGGGAGACATTTTCCTTTTTTCTTTTAAAGGGAAATAAGATATCACATTTTTATTAAAAAGAAAAAAATAGTTTGGAATTTATTGTTGGAGTCCTTGCCGCATGAAAGAGGTTATAGTTATTAGAATGGTAATCCTGGCTCTGCCAGTACGTGTTATTCTTAGGAAGTGAAGGAAGCCTTTGTGTCTGCGTCTGCCAACCCTTGGATCGCTTCAGTGACAGGCGCTTCTTCAGCGTCGCTGCCTCACGCAGGGGCCACACGGCAATGACAGAACCTCGAACCTGCTGGAAGCAGACGCCCTATCTCACATCTGAGTACGAGAAGCACAAGTGCTGCACTGCATATTTTGTAAACATTAGGAGACATTATTAAGCATTAGGGAGCTTTGGAGAATGAGACAATTCACCGTCGTTGTACATTAACTGCCTGCTCCTACAAACTCTGCAGCGTGCCTTGGGAACTCCCACATCTGTTCTGTAACTGTCAACAAAGGCCTGTGCTTTGTAATTGTCTCCAACAAGAAAGGCTTTGCCCACACACAAAAGGGGGTTTAAAGGGCTGGTGTCACCCACAGACCGACAGCACGGACAGACTGCCTGCCGTCTGTCTATTCTTGGTTATCATTTCTGGATTGTCCTACCACTGTGGTTGGTCTTAATATGTGGGAGGCATTTGCAGGGTGTCTTGGTTACTTTTTTCTCGTTGCTGGGACAAAAATACCTGACGCCCAAAATTAAGGAAGGAAAGGTTTATTTCGCTTACAGTTTGTGGAGGTTTTAGTCCATACTTGGCAGGTTACAAGGCAGAGTGGCACATGGCAGAGGGCTACAGCTCATGGTGGCAGAACACAGCAAAGCAACAAGCACCAGAAGGGAGGAATGGGCACAAGCAGCCTCTTCCTCTCCCTTACATATGCAAACTATCCACCCCAGGGCAGGTGTAGCTCTCGCACCCATAATCAGTCAAACTCTAAAAGCCCGCCCCATGGCCGCATGAGGCTTTGGGGGGACTCATAGACACAAACCATAACACAGGGTAAAAGCCTTCCAGAGCTAGATGTTAGTTTTTATTCTGACTCCTCTTACTCAGGCGACAACTAGCCAACGCAGGACAATTCCTACAGGCTTTTTGTCTGCAGATTACCAATTTACATTGTCCAGTCAGTTGCTGTTCCAGGTGAAACCGCCCAGTGAGTACGTCAGAGGCCCAGTAGCACTGTTGTGAAGCAGTCAGAATGTTACAGGGTACCTAAAAATTCTTAGCAGAAAACACGCTTAAAAGTGAAGTGAGAAAGATAAGGTGTGGTAATTCTGGACACGTCTGTACTTCCTGGGCAGGGAACCTGGTGGGGAAGGGACCTGGCCCCTGGACACGATCATTCATTGCCCTGAATCTTGGAAAATATTACAGCTATCAAAGATCTGCCTTAGGATGTCAGGGGTTCTACACCATTATTCTATGTCACTTTGACTTCTCTGTTTCTCTTTTTTTAAAAAGAGCATTAAAGATGTTTTGAAATATAAGAAAAAGTGCATAGAAGAACAGTAATTCAGCTCAACTACTGTGAAAGTCTATTCCTACCTATATAATTTATCCACCTCCATTGTTCCCACGCTATTTCTTCTTTTAACATTGTGTGAATAGCATTTCTCCATCTCATCAGTATTTTTAGAGAATGAAGATTTGAATAGTTGCACAGTGCTTCATTTGGCTAGGCCTAAAGTTGCCCTGCTGGGAACACGCTGGGCCGTGTGCTTGGCCTCACTCTGGTCGGCGTTCTCCCGTGTGTGTGGACAGTACATTACAGTAACACTCACTGAACTGGCTGCTGGGAAAATTCGTTGGGACCACCCTCCTCCCAACAAGCTAAAATGTTGAACAATATTTTTGTTCTGGCTAGGAAACATTTCTAGGTCATTTTTAAAACATAACTTCTTTTTTAGTCTGCTGAATGCGGGAGCTGATTTGCTATGGAAAGAAAATGGAATTACACTGTATTATTGATGCCATTTGCATCTTTATTCTCACTCAATACAGTGATTCTGATGAAGTTTCTGCCTTTTGTGCTCTTCTTAGAATATTTACAAGTCAGACCTGCAGTGGCTGAGAGGCATCGGCTGGGTCCCCATTGGGTCAATGGACGTGGTTAAGTGCAAGAGAGCCGCAGAGATCCTGAGCGACAACCTCTATCGCCAGCCTCCAGACAAGCTGCCGTTCACCAGCGTGCCTGACTCCCTGGAGCAGGTGCTGGCCAAGAGCAACGCCCTCAACATGAACAAGGTGGGCCCCAGCTGCCTCCTGTTCCAAGATGCCATAAGATGTTATGCTTTAATGACTAGTGGATTCAAAATTATTCACGGAGGTGTAGGGCTACATTTTCCCTTTGATATATACTTGAAGCCTTCTAAATGATTTCTGTTATTTTTGTTTTTAATCTTAACACTAGTGGGAATACTGAAATCTCCGGTGGACTATCTTACATCCAAATGGATTATCTCTCCTAATTAGGTCAATAATAGCTCTTTTAATGTGACCTTTTGTATTTCTTATCTCAAATTGTTTTCAATCAAACATCTCGCTTTCCTCTCTAGCGCTTATATACAGAGGCCTGGGACAAAGACAAGACTCAAATTCATATGATGCCCGACACCCCAGAGATCACGTTGGCAAGGCAGAACAAAATCAACTACAGTGAGGTAGGTAGGGGCGGAACGCTGAGGTGCTACTTACCTGTCACGACTGTTCGGTTTTCTGCTCTTTGTTCTGTTGGGTTTCTGGGCCTGAGCTATCATGGTTCGTGGGGCTTTTTCATGTCAACACTCGGGCTGCCTGACCTTTCATCTCGGGTTTGAATATTCTATTTCATAGGCTTCTGCAGACAGAGTGAAATCACACTGTCTTCTCAGTTTATGACTTTTCCCAGGGTGAGTCAGGGGGACTTCAGAGTATTTTTGACATCCCCAAGGGGTGGGAGTGTCAGAGAAAACACTACCCCATTATTTATACTAAGACATTCTTTGTTACTTACCTGAAATTTGCGTTCATCTGCGTGTGCTACCTTTTCATTTGCTAACTCTGCAACCCTGTCAAGGAGGACGCTAATAATGTAGACCTCTTACCTACTTGGGTCCTGAATAAAACTGAGAACTAAAACAAAAGAAATCAAAGTCTCATTTTTTAAACTATTAAAGTTATTCTGAAGGACACATTTGTGGGAGAGCCTGCTAACTGAACCTCAGAGCAGGTTTCCTTACTGAGGTGCAGGCTGCAGGAAGCAGGTGATCACCCCACACACACTCTGCTGAGGGACAGGAGGCCGCTAGGCCGCTTCTGAGAGGGGAAGGGGAGGCCTGGGCCGAGCACCCCGCCACTCCCCTTGCCAAGCAGATGGCCCAGTAAATCAGCTCACCTCTAGCACAGAGAGAATGAAAGGACAGAGAAAGACCAAAGCCAAAACGACTGAACTTCTGAGTGGAGAGGATACCTGAGGCGTGGCGAAATGTTCTCCGGCAGTAAAACTCATTTCTGAATTTCTTAAAAAGTAAAATGCAGTTTCATAGACACGTGTTTTACTAACATAATCTAGTCAAAATTTAGAATCTTAAAGCTGATGTTATAGTTATTAACTATCCTTTAAGTATATTTTAAATTTACTGCCTTGTTTTTAAACATTATAAAATATGATATGATTGTAATAAAAATTTAAGTAATAAAGAAATGAATGAAAGTGTGTATATATTTTATGTATAACTTAATAATATTAAACATACTGTTTTGCCATTTTTTTCATTTAGCGGTATGTATGAATTGGTAGTTTGTCTTTCAATCTTACTAGATGACATTAATCTGTCTTGGGATATATATCATGTTGGTCTACAAATGATATATATTAATCTATAATTATACAATGAACATATAACCTATATTAATATTCATTGTTGTATCTCACTTGATTGTAATACCACATAGTTTTTTTGGTAAGATAGGATGTATCTTACTGTTCTTCACTATTGCCAGAAACTTAGGTTGTCTCCAGTTCCTGTCCTTTAAAAATTATACAAATTAAGTCACTTGATCATCTCCAAATTGTTGCTGTCAAACCTTTCCTTCATATTGTCTCCCTAGTGTAAGAAACTGAAAGAGTAAATAAAATCCAAAAGGTACAATAGCTATTGCGAAAGGGAAAGAAATGCTCAAAAGGAAAGAACAACTGGGATAGGAGAAAGGAGAAGAGAAAGAAAGAAGGAAGGGGAAAAAAAAAATATATATATATATGTATACACAAGATAGCTAAGATATTGTACTACTAATTTCTATTTATTGAAAGGAACAGTTAATGCCTAATTGTTTGATCAATTTTGCATACTTATATCTGGTAATTTGAACAACTACTTTGAAAATAACACTATGCAATATAATAACCATTGTTAATTTCCTATCACCTTGTTTTGAAATTCTGTATCATTTTTATTTTTTTATTCTCTTTAAAATAAAAAAATTAAATTAAAAAACAGAAAAACAAACAACAACAGCACAAAAACCCTCTCCTTTAACCCTCTGACTCTCTGTCTGTAGACCCTTTACAAACTTGCCCACGAGGAAGCGAAGCAGAAAGGCTACGACCTGCGAGCCGACGCCATCCCCATCGTGGCGGCCAAGGCCTCCAGGGACATCGCCAGCGACGTGAGTGGCGACACTGGGTCCCTCTGCGGGTGACGGGTGGGAGCGAGCTCATTCCTGTGACGGGGAAATGAATGCAGATGCCAATTCCAGCTCATTTACTGACTTAATCATTCTTTCAAATCAATACTTTTTATTAAAATTATATTTTTAACTCTTAAGAGTTTAATACTGGGTCTCTTGCAAGAGAAGATATCCTAAACTTTGGTGTGAAGTTGAATCAGAATCTACAATTTTTCATATTTATAATTATGATAAATTCTTTACATCTGGAGCATGTAGCCCTCACAGAAATTTGTAAAAATATTAGAAAAATAATACCTAAGTTATATGCATTGGTTCAATACAAGCTAGAGACCTGGTACAGCCCAGACTAGGAAATTCTATGTTTTGCCAAGCCTGCTCTGTATTTCCTTCAAAAATTACCCCAAGTGCTTCCTACTGAATTCCCCTTAAGTGAAGATAAAAAGCCAAAACAAAGAATGGTGAACCTGGTTGCTCTTTCTGCTTTCTCTGAAGAAAGTGGTTCTTCTGGTAAAGAAATCAGACTTCTGTAAATATACAATAGGGTTTGTATGATGCTGTTGCCTAAATCGTAGAGAAAATATCCAGAGTCAGCCCTTACCACAGCACCAAGAAAATGTTTTTCTCCTTATTTATAATTCACTTTCTCAGTTGAGGAATCCTGGACAAACCTCAGCTGAATTTGACATCCATGTGAGACAAAATACATCCTTTCAGGGAAGCAAGTGGCCCACTGAAAGTCATCAGAGCCAGGTTTTGGAGGGTTGATAGGTGATTTGAGTGGGGTGGAAATGCTATCTTCAGACTCAGGAATAGCATTTTTAAAATCACATGTAAGATTTCTAGGATAGTGAGTTCACTGGCCTAAGATGAAGAAGAGGCAGTGTACCATCCTGATTAATCTGGTTAATCAAAACTGCTGCCGCCTTTATTTCCAGGGACTTAATGTCTGCAGTTTGGTCTGTCTTCCCCTTAAACTGTTGCTGTGAAGTCTAATCAGAGTTTAAAATGAGCTAAGTTAATAACCATAAGCTCCATTTTTCGGCAGTAATTAAATATTCCAATAACACAGTTTTAAATTAACAGGACTCTTAACTCTTTCTACTTATTTTATTTTTGAAACACCTCCCATTTATTTCAGTACAAATACAAAGATGGTTACCGCAAGCAACTGGGCCACCACATCGGGGCCCGGAACATTGAGGACGACCCCAAGATGATGTGGTCCATGCATGTGGCCAAGATCCAGAGTGACAGGGAATACAAGAAGGACTTTGAGAAGTGGAAGACCAAGTTCAGCAGCCCAGTGGACATGCTGGGCGTGGTGCTGGCCAAGAAGTGCCAGATCCTTGTAAGCGACATAGACTACAAGCACCCTCTGCACCAGTGGACGTGTCTGCCGGATCAGAACGACGTCATCCACGCTCGGCGGGCCTATGACCTCCAGAGCGACGTGAGTGCTGAGATCTGTGGTCGCCAAGCTTCAGGTAGCAATAAATAGTAATGCATAGATGATGGCCTAGGGTTAGATAGGCCCCTCAGAAGGATGATATCTTTTGTTTCTATTGCTTGTTCTTAAAAATACCCTTAACCTTCTAAAAAGAGAGAACCTAATTCCATGAGACTATTTCCAATTTTACCTTCATATTTTACAAGACATAGATATTCCTTTTCTAAGGTTTCCCAGTCTTTTTTAGTTTTGAAATCGTGTCATAACGCCTGCAGTATTACTTGCTTTTGTGTTTGATCCCACCAGAACATTTATAAATCTGATCTGCAATGGCTGAGAGGCATTGGCTGGGTCCCCATTGGGTCAGTGGATGTGGTCAAGTGCAAGAGAGCCGCAGAGATCCTGAGTGACAACCTCTACCGCCAGCCTCCAGACAAGCTGCCATTCACCAGCGTGCCTGACTCCCTGGAGCAGGTGCTGGCCAAGAGCAACGCCCTCAACATGAACAAGGTGGGCCCTAACTTGAGGAAAAATTAAACAGTACCATGTGCTATTTAGAAGGTCTATGAGTAACTAAGTTATGCTTTTACATTGTATGCAACTAAACTGCTCTCCAAAACATAGAGATTTGGTTGAATTCTGTGTTCCCTTGTATAAGAATTTAAATATATGTGGGAGAATCTCTGCTTTGCTATCCCTTATGAAATAGCCAGGTCAGAACGGGACAGCTGTCTGGGTGCACTGGTACCTGCTTCTAATGCCCGCACTCAGGGAGGCTGAGGTAGGAGGATCACAAGTTCGAGCCACCTGGGCAAGTTAGTGAGACCTTGTCTCATGCGAATGTTACTCAGTGGTAAAGCACCGCTGGGTTTGATCCCCCGGCCGCTCCCCCGAAAGGAATAGGACGTCTGTTTGTGTGTCAGATTATCTGAAGTCTGTGAGAGTTGCACATTTTTTGGTATAACTCTTTCTTTTTTGCTGCATACCTATCTAGGTAAGCACAGAACAAACAAGTAAAACATAAATCTATATAATATTTATTAAAAGCAAATATGGAGATGATATATCCAGGTATATACACAGTTAATAAATAACATCAAACAAAGCCATAAGAAAGATTTGTTAATATAGCCACGTACACACATGGATGTGCATCTGTGCTTGGGGAATAGTTGTGCCTTTCGTTTAACGGGGCTGTGGGTAACATGGTAACATATGTATGTCCGGTGACATGTACATTTTTTCTTTGCATATGTTATATACATCTATATCTAGTTACAGCAAATATCCTATAAAATCAAAGAAGTTGAAAATAATTTTCACACACAGTGCACAGTGCACAGAGCGAGTGGAAGGCTTTCTATCTTGTCATGATCTTGTCGCTGAAAATTCCTATTTTCCAAAGGTATATTTTTCTAATTCATTAACCTTCTCCTTCACAGCGCCTGTACACAGAAGCCTGGGACAAAGACAAGACCCAGATCCATATTATGCCTGATACGCCTGAAATTATGCTGGCAAGACAAAATAAAATAAATTATAGTGAGGTAAGACCAGCTGTTTTATTTCCCTGCTCTGTTCACATTGATTTCTGCAATGCAGAAACATTAGAATTGCAGATTTAATTATCATGTAATACGGTGAGCTTAGTTTTGTTTTTTATACTCTTTATCCTTCTTGAATATGTATCATTATATTAAAATAAGTAGATATAAACATAAATAAACACAAAAATGATTCCATATCAGGAAGGAAAAAAGTCCTCACCAACAATTAATGACTGAAACAAATTATAACTCAAATAAAAATGAAATAATTTTTTAAAAAATCCTTGCTAGTTATCAAATTAGGATTTGCTTCAAAGTTTGTTCTGCATGTTTGTTTTCATTTACCTTACCTGTGAAATATGGTAAAATCTCTAAAAATTTCGTTGAGGATACATGAGGTAAAATGTACATAACATGCCTACTGTGGAGCCTGGTAGAAAATTGTTTCCTGGGGCTGGGGATTTAGCTCAGCGGCACAGCACCTGCTGGCAAGCACAAGGTCATGAGTTCGATTCCTGGTACCAGAAGAAAAACAAAAAATAAATAAATAAATAAAAGCAAAAAAGAAAAACAAAGAAAATTGTTACCTAACAGATTTCAATTTCTTTCCTTTACCCTCAAGTCACCATCAAAATTAGATTGCTTTAAGATGCTCAAAATAATTTAAGGTATATTTACAAGAATTGAAATGAGAATTCTAAAATTCACCCACTTCAAAATTGCCCAAGGCCAATAAAAGTCTATTGTAAACTACTTCTGCTCTGCTAAACTTGTCTCACATATCTTTGAAGCCAAAAATCTTCCTGAATAAGTAGCCTCATGCTGAATTGCTCTTGTCCATATCAAGAATTTACTTGGCTGATCCAAGAAGAATACTGATTTCATCTATGTTTGTGCATCTTCATAAAAAAAAAAGGAGGGAGTAGTTTTCTTCAGTTTGAAAACACCAGAAAGTTTGAGTATGGACTCTCATGACTTGACCGAGTTTATGCTCTTACCCACATTATTTACTTTTGCCCGTAAAACAATGGAAGCCTAAAGAGGAGGCACACTTACTTCAAATAACCATGACAAATAACTGAAGCAGAAGCGATGTGCTCTCTCCAGCATTATGAAACCGAGCCGGTGGCCAGGCTGTCTGTGTCTGGCCTCAGCTTGAGTCCTTCCTGCACGAGCAACGTTCTCCTGGCCCCAGAGCCCCTCTGCTGGGTCAGCTGCTCTCAGCAGGTTGTTTTAACCTGAAGCAGCGAAACCGCTTCTATCCAGAGTGTGAGGAGCTCTTAAGCCCCTCTCTTTCATTTATCTGAGGTTAGTTGAGGTAGATTTTCTTTCCAGATTGCTGATAGGATATGAAGGTGTTTTTTAAATCCAAAAGTTTTCAGCTATATTTACTTTCTTTAAAATCGCAAGATTGTATTCATTCCCTCAGAACTATTTGCTGAAGGTTAGATTTCAGAATAACTTCCCTTCTGAACCCATTACCGATGGTTCATTCCTTTTCACTCCATACATGTAAAAGAAAGCGAATACATCTTACTTCTTGTCTTGGAGTCTCATTCTCTTAGTCTAGTTCTTTCGGGGAAGTAGGCCACAACAAGCCTTAAAATAGACTCTTGACGATAATGAAACTTGTTTTCTTTGAAGCACTGCGTCCTTTTCAAATAACAGGAAAATTAGATCTGTTTGGCCTGAAGCAATGATGAATCAAGCACTTTTCCCCCCACTTATACTGTGAAGAAGTATTTGGACATTTATTCTACAGTGGAAAATATAATAGATGAAATATTTAATTCTTCGGTTATAAAAATCATTTGTAGAAATTTTTAAGAAAAATAAACTCTGAATTTTGTCTCAAAGATATTAAATTTATTCTTCTTTTTACTTTAGCTTTTCTTCTTAAAAAAATCTCATTTTAAAAAGAATGTAAACCATCATATCTTAACAACCCAAGTTATAAATCTTCAATAACATTTTTCTAAGATTGTTAAGTAATTTGAATATTAATACCTCTGCATCATATTTAAAATTCAGCTGTGAGGCCGGTGTTCTTAATTCAACCTAATTTGAGAATGGGACATAATAACGAAACAACTAACTTTAAAGATTTCTGCTATACTTTTTAAGAATTTTCCGTACACTTAAGGTGTGTCTTCACGCAGCTTCAACAATGAGAAGGTCTCCAAGCTGTGTGAGGCAGAAAGAGGGAGAGGCCCTGAGGAATTAGGGAGGACTGCTTTTCCCCTTAACACCGTGAGAGATTTCTACATCCCTTTCCAGAACTGCCTGCTGATGCTATCTCTGCTTTAACCAACTCGATAAATGTCTTAGTAAAAGAAACAAAGATTAAAATGTGAAACCGTGGACGTTTGCTTATGACGTCTCCACACAGGATGCAGAGACGAGCTGTCTGCAAACTTCAGCTTCCTTTGCATTTCGCAGAGGCTTCCCCAGGGTTCTGTCGGCACAGCTCGGTTACAGCAAACCGTAGCACAGCTGACTGCTGTGCAGCCCGACCTGAGAAAGGAGCTCTGCGGCCGCCCCGCCCTTCAGAGAGCGGCCCCATGACCCTGCCTCCTCGCCATCACTCTTCTTTTCGCTTTCAGATAAGAAAGGCACAGTTTAAAGGTGGAGAAACTAGACCCAGAAATGCGACTCGTGCTCTTGACTTATCAGTGGAAAAATAACTGTTACAAGGAATATTACTGGGACATTTGGGGAAATTTGAGCAATCGCTGTATGTTAGAAAATAATACTGCATCAATATTAAATTTCTGGTATTTGACAAATACATCGGAATTACGCGAAACTGTTCATTTGTAGGAGATAAGTGGAGAAACATTTAAAGGCGAGGTTTATGGTGTGTATAATTTTTTCTTAGATGGCTCAGTAGTTAAAACTAGCAATAAGGAAAAGTATGCACACAACCCATGCTCATACACACGCAAACAGGAAGAGAGAAAATGCAAATATGGCAAAAGCGTTCATGGATTGGTTATTTGGGTATTCACTGTATCATTCTGACAACTCCTCTATAGGTTTGATTTTTCAAAATAGGGAAAATATACATTTTTAAATATTCAAAAACATACATTAAAATCTTTGACTAAATAGGATTACATAAAGATTTTATTTTTAAAAGAATAAAAGGGAATATCTGGCCTAGTAATTACTGTGAAGCACATCTGAACTATTAAAACGAAACTCTGATTAAGCATGGCATTAAGCACATGCCTGGGACCCTAGCACTTTGGGAGGCTGAGGCAGGAGGTTTGCAAGGTTAAGCCTCACCTGGGTAATCGAGACTCTGTCTCCAAATTAAAAATTTAAAAAGGTCCAGGGATTCAGCGTAGTGCAAAGGCCTTGGGTTCTATCCTCACTACCACAGGGGACAAATAAGTAAGTAAATAACTAAATAAATGGTTGGGGATACAGCTCAGCGAAAATGTCCTAGGTTCAATCCCTAGTGCTACAAAAACTAAAACTAAAAATAAATAAATAGAAACCTTTCAAATAGACAATTTACTTCATTAGTACCCACCTGCTAAAATCATTTTGAACCTAGGAGCCATGAGCTCCTATGAGTCACAACGAGCTCAGCGGCAAGCGCCTGCCCGGCAAGCACAAGGCTGTGAGTTCCATCCCCGGTACTGGAAAAAAACAAAAAACAAAACAAAAAAGAGAACAATACATTTTTACTTTTTATGTTTAAAAAATGTCAAAATGTATATTTCATTTTGATTCATTAAACACCAATATTAGCAATTGTTTTAAGTTTCATGTAGTTTTAATTGAATACAAAATTGGTTAATATTCTTGTAAACAGAGAAACAAAGACCAAAAAGGCTAAAAAAAAAAGCTAAAAAAAGAGTAAGGACTGTTGATGCAGATGATTTGTCTGATGTGTGTTTCCCAAACTGTGCTCCGTGGAACACCTGCATTTCGCCTTTCTGTGTGTGCCTCTCCTGCCACAGAAGCGGAGCAGTGCTGGTTCTCAGTTCAAAGGAAGAAGCACGTAGAATCTTATCATCTTAGTGACTTTGACTCACGAATCTTTGGTCCTTGCCATTCTCACATCTGCTAACACTTTCTAGCACTCAGTGCCACCAAGAGGGAGCAAGTTAATACCGACAGGGAGACTCAGAAGCAGCGATTGATCCTTATTTCGATGCTGTTTTGCTTGTGGACACATTCTCACACCGGTGGTGTTATCTCTCAGCGTATGATTGTAATGGCTGCTAGCAGAATTGTTTTTAAGTCAAACTTGGAGTTAAATAAATCAGTACTTCTTAGTTGTTCCATGAAAAAAGCAAGTCCTGAACAGTCTAAACTCATTGCAAACTATTGATTTGATTTATAAACGGTGTAAGAATTTGTGCAAGGAGGAGTTGTGATGTTAAAATTTGCTGCATATGGAATTACCATTTAATTTAGTACTTCAGAAAAACAGTTGGTTTTTTATGTACCGGTAAAATTTGTATCCAAAAGTAGTCTTCCTGTGACATAAATACAGTTTCAGAGTGAACATGAGTTCTGTGCCTCACAGCTGCTCTTTCTTTCCTCAGAGCCTCTATCGCCAGGCCATGGAAGAAGCCAAGAAAGAAGGCTATGACTTAAGGAGTGATGCCATTCCCATCGTGGCTGCCAAGGCCTCTCGGGATATTGCCAGTGATGTAAGAGCTGACCTAGTCCTCAGACGGGCTACCTCGGGCCAACCGCATGCACAGGGAGTCACACCCCTGGAACATAGCTAGAAGTCCCTCATCCTTGCTCACCTTAGCTCCCTCTACTGTACAGACACAAACTGAGGCCGAGACAGGAGGTAGCATGGCCCAGGCCACGGTATCCTCGTAGTGTAGAAATCTCCTGTGAGAGGTGGTCTCTTTCCTTTTTGTCTGCTGGTCTTTGCTTAGTAGGAGTGAATACCTCATTGAAAGCCAGATGGACATATATGGAGATACTCCCAGAACCTCATGAGTTCTCCTGGGATGCACACAAGGCAAAGATGGCAGAAAAGAATCAGGCTTAGCTGAGTTTACTACACAGGAATCAGGGGCACTAGATAACAAAAGGCCTAAAAGTCTCTTTGCTCTGAGGTCCACAGAATCTACATTTCTTTACCCTCTAAATGAAGACATTAGATTTGTAGACATCTAAAAAAGTTATCCAAAAGTGGAAAAGTTATCCATTTTTGTATATTTTCATGGTAAAAAATACCTAAAATGTACCATCTGAACCATTTTCAAGTATACAATTCAGTGATGTTGACCCTATTCACGCTGTGGTGCAATTTCCCATTTCTAAACTACCCCAACTGGATCGTTTGTGACAAGGAAACTATTTCTCAGACTCCCTCAGAGAAAGAGTACAATGAACCACGTAAACACACACCCAGGAGAGCCGTCAGGTGGGTCTGTTCACGTGACTTCTGGAGCACTGTCACCCCTCCGTGCTGTCACTGGGCTCGTCCTTTGGTGTATATAAAGGAACTGGGGAGAGGTGGGTGCCAACGACACCACACTCTATGCAGGAGAAAGCCTGCCCTGTGTACACTGCAGCGGCGGCTTGTTAAAGGAAACCCCTGTTATCTGAAGGGTTTCACAGAACAACACCCCACAGAAAGAGCAGCAGGGCACAGTCCCAGTGCCTCCTCCTCACGCGCTGGGTTCTCTCTCTCAGTACAAGTACAAGGAAGGCTATCGTAAGCAGCTGGGTCACCACATCGGCGCCCGAGCGATACATGATGACCCCAAGATGATGTGGTCCGTCCACGTTGCCAAAATGCAGAGCGACCGTGAGTACAAGAAAGAATTTGAGAAATACAAGACAAGGTACAGCAGCCCGGTGGACATGCTGGGTATTGTTTTGGCCAAGAAGTGCCAGACCCTGGTCAGTGACGTGGACTACAAGCATCTTCTGCATGAGTGGACCTGCCTCCCCGACCAGAACGACGTCATCCAGGCACGGAAAGCCTACGACCTCCAGAGTGACGTGAGTACCGCGACACGGGTCTCATGTTAAAGCGGGCCTGGAGGGTGGCCGCGCCTCCGAGTGTGTCTGTGTGCTGGAATCTGCTTGTTTCAAACAACATACGGTTGAATATCTGAGGAGTCTCTCCCTGGACGTACTGCCGTGTCCGGGTACTGCAAACAAACTCCTGCCATCATTTTCAGCTTGTTTCACCATTCTCCTCCAAAAGTTACGCTTAAGCGAGGAAATACATATTATTAATTCTGTACCAATATGTGTCTTCCTGGTGCTGTAAGCTGCCTTTGAGTCAGATGGAACTGGGGCCTCAAAAATTTATCACTATCAGTTTTAAGCTGAAGAGGCAGTGTTGTCCACAGGGGGTAGTACGGGGAGAGTGGGAGGGAAAGTGCACCGTACCGAATTATTTTAATAAATATTCATGTTCTACATTTGTGGGCAAGAACATACTAGAATATTCTGGTATTTTCCAAAACCAATCATCTAGTACTTTTGAACATTTAGCATAGCTTTTTGAGAGTAAGATAAAATGACTAATTAGGTAAACATCTATTACCTATGTATCAGATTTCCTTCACACATTTGCCCTTTTGTGGATTGGAGCTGGAAATGACGGCAGGAGTCTGTCTGCAGTACCCAGGCGGCGCTGGTCTGAGTGCGTGGTTGTATTTAGAGTTGTTAGAACACATTTTCAAAGACTAAAGAAGCCCTGCTTTGGAGTAAAAATTTTGTAATCCTGTCAAGGGCAAGACCATGTCTTTTAAAACATTTTTCCGTCCTGATTGGTATGATCATAACTGGTGCGATGCGGAGGAGAAAATATGCCTACAAGTGGCTGGCTGTGCTGGGAGCTTTATCCGTGCATCAGCACTTGTTATCTCCCTAGTGTGACCTAGTTGTGACTGCAACTCTGAAACACTGATGAACACTTTTTTTATCTGTTGATCTTCAGAATTTGTATAAGTCAGACCTTGAATGGCTGAAAGGCATTGGCTGGGTTCCCATTGGCTCCTTGGAAGTTCTTAAAGCCAAGAGGGCCACAGAGATACTGAGCGACAATGTCTACCGGCAGCGTCCAGACACGCTGAAATTTACCAGTGTTACTGACTCTCTGGAGCAGGTGTTGGCAAAGAATAACGCGATAAACATGAATAAGGTGAGTCTCCACCCTACTCTTAGCTATCAGAAGTTACTGTGGAACAGGGGAAAAGGTCTGTGGTGTTAATTACATTTCAACAATCACTGTAAGACTTATGATACCTTCTTAATATGATTTTTCTACCATAATACCGTAGTTACTTCGTGATACTGCAGAATAGTAAACGAATGTTAAAAATACTATGTTGCAATGAATCCATAATTCTTTAACAATTAAAGAATTAAATTATTGAAGAATTTTAATAAAATACAAAGGTAAGGCAAGCATGGTGGCACACACCTGTAATCCCATTATTCTGGGAGATGGAGGCAGGAGGATTGAAAGTTCAAGCCCAACCTGGGCAATGTAAGATAATAATATAAAATAACTTAGTGAGACCCTATTGCAAAGTGAAACAGGGCTGAGGAAGTAACTCCATGCAGAGGCCCTGGGTTCAGTCCCCAGTATCAAAACTAAAAGAGAGGCATTTATCCAGATTTAATATTTTATTTCTACTTACTTTGTGTACAACAGAAATGACGGGCATATACTCAAAAGGAAAATGCTGTGAACAACACAGGTTTTTTTTTTTCATTTTTTAATAGCGCTTATATATTGAAGCCTGGGAAAATGACAAGAAAACAATCCATGTCATGCCTGATACACCAGAAATCATGCTGGCCAAACTCAACCGAATTAACTACAGCGATGTGAGTAAACTCGCTCTTGTCACGCGCAGAAGGGCAAAGGTGCACTGCTGCAGCTGCCTCCTTAGCGAGCTGTCTCGACTCATCACGCATCTCCAAACCGACAGTGTCAGGAAAAGTCTCCCTTGACTCGGTCTTGGACCATGTGCTGAGTCCATGGAGGAGCCCAGCGTTCCATTAACAGGAGAAACACCCTAGTAGTAACCGTAGGCTTAAAGCCTCCCCTGCGGTCGGGGTGAGGGTCTGGTCGTTACAGTTGGCCCTCCATGTCTGCGGTTCCACAGCCACAGAGTCAGTCCACCACAGACCAAAAATACTTTATTTAATAATGGCATGCGTGGGGCTGGGGATTTAGCTCAGCAGCACAGCGCCTGCCTGGCAAGTGCAAGGTTGTGAGTTCGATTCCTGGTACCAGAAAAAAAAAAAATCACAATAATGGCATGCATACTGAATACATTTTCTTATTCTCTTATTATTATTTGTTTACTATTTTTATTATTATTCTCTAGGGAATATCATATAACAACTATTTATGTAGCACTTATATATCATACATATATACAATGCATTAATGTATCATTACATAGTATACATATGTAAATATATATGTGTTGTGCATTAAATATTATATACAACCTAGAGATAAAGTACACAGGAGGAAGTGCATAGCTTGTATCAAATCTGTGCCATTTTGGATAGAGGGCTTAGCATCAAAGGATGTTGGTATTGGGGTCGATAAGGAGATTCCTGGGACAAACCCTCCCTGGAGGCTGAGGTACGAACATATTTTGTTCCATAGCTGTGGTGAGCAGGCATGTGTGAGTTATTATGACCTGTATTATTGTGCTTCAGTATGTGCTGCTTAACTTAGTATTGTTCACAAGTACTTTTTAAGCCCTTTTTATTAGGAACAATATTTTCATTAGAGAAATGACCCTAGAGCCCATGGTCCTTGAGGATAGTTCATAGGAAAGTGAGAAAAAATAAGGACAATCCATTGAGACAATCAATAAAGACAATAAGAAAAATAAATAAATCAATAAATCAATAAAAAAATAAGGACAATCCATTGAGACAATCAATAAAGACAATAAGAAAAATAAATAAATCAATAAATCAATAAAAAAATAAGGACAATCCATTTTCATGAAGTCAAATATATTCAAGCTTTAAATTCCATCCTATTCTTTTTCCTTCGTTAGTGTTAGGATGGTCTTTCTTTTTACAGTACAGTGGCAATGGTAAATAGTTTTTTTACATGTGTTTGTTTGGCAAAAAAATTTGAGAACCGAATACTGATTCTCTCCAAATTTTTGAAACTTATCAGTCAATAAAATGTGAAAGTTTAGAACACAGGCCTTAACATCCGTGAGCACCATGAAACGTGGTTACCTATGAAACCACCTGAATTCTTGGCTTTGCGAATTTGTGTAGTTTAAATGACGACAGAGAAAATTTAACAATAAGCCAGCTTCACGTTTTATGAAGGAGCAATGATTCCGACTCTCTTTTCCACAGAAACTCTACAAACTCGCTCTGGAAGAGTCCAAGAAGGAGGGCTACGACTTGCGCCTGGACGCTATTCCGATCCAAGCTGCCAAGGCATCAAGAGACATCGCCAGTGATGTAAGTTGGTATTTTTGAAGCCCGTCTTACTCAAAGGTATTGACACATGGAGGCTATTTGAGTTTTCTTGCCAGAACTTCAGTTCTCCCTGCAACTTGGTCAATTCCTTCATAGACAAAGTTGCAAATTTTTAAAAAAGACAAGAAGGAAGAAAGCAAGAGACTAAATACTATGTCCGTAATATCTGTTCATCAGTCAAAGATAAAGACATATTTCTTAAAAAATAAATGTTTTAGCTGGGAATGGGCACAAGCCCGGAATATGAGCATTTAGACGGCAGAAGCAGGGTCATCGGGTATTCAAGGCCGGGCTGGACTGCACAGTGAGCTCACGGACAGCTTGCATTTACATAGAGAGAGCCTGTCTCAAAAAACAGAGACAAAAGTAAAGCCTGCTTTATTTCTGAGCTTCAGAAGTTGAGCATTATCCAGCCCCCAAGTGTATGAAATTAGAGATTGATATCACAACTAAATCAACTAATACACATAGGAGCCCTTTCTTACTGTTTCTGGAAGACAGAATGATGACACGTTTTAGAATTTTGTTCATCCTTTGTAACTACCCGTGGGGTTCCCTTACTGCGAGGCCTTTACAGGAGGCAAGAGCAAACCAAAGGCAGCGAAGCTCTTTCTCACCACCTTTGCTCTGCTCTGCCTTTCTTCTCATGAGAAAGACCTCCTGGGGGCTCCGTGTCCGCAGCGTGCATCAGGCCTAAGGTCACAAATCTAGACTTCTGGGTGGATCCCCAGACTTCTGCTTCATCCCTTCCGTTAGCAAAACGCTTTCCAGTTACCAAACTAGAGAAGCCCAAGCAATAACCGCCATGGTAAAATGAACATGATTCAGTGTTGTTCTTGAGTTTTAAAAGGGGATAGAATCTTAATTCCATGCAGGACTCTTCCCTGGCTAGTGATGCTGACGGGGGGGAAGGGAGATTATTCTTCATGACACATTAAATTCTATCCAAATGTAACACATGTTTTTAATGAGGGAATCCATTATACACGCCTGTAATCTCAGCACTCCGGGGATGGAGGCAGGAGGACTGCAAGTTTCAGCCTAATGTTTGGATGATTTAGTGAGACTCTGTCCCATTTCAAAATAAAAAACAACTGTAAAAGGCTGGGAATGTAGCTCAGTGTGAGGGCCCTGGTTTAAATCCCCAGGACTGGGGGTGGGGGAAGGATGGAAATCTAATAGCAAGGGAAATAAAGTATTCTTAATGTCAAACATTATTAGAAACAATAACCATGCCTTTAAGTAGATGCTCCACTAGACTGCATAGAAGTTTTACTCTTAGTTGTTGAGGAATCAAATGTACCTGAGGTAGTGCAGTTCAGAGAAAGGGACCGCACACTAGGGCAAGATGCTTGCGGTCTCGGCCTCAGCCGGGCACCTACTCGTGCTGTGATCTTCAGGCTCCTACTTTACAAAATGGTGCGGGCGATCTTCATCTTTCTCCTTCAGGACAGCAGTGAGAAACATTAAAAATAAGTCGAGTATGTCCTTCTAATTAGACTCCCTCTCCTTCTCCTTCTTCAGTACAAGTACAAGGAAGGCTACCGCAAACAGCTCGGCCACCACATCGGGGCCCGGAACATTGAGGACGACCCCAAGATGATGTGGTCCATGCATGCGGCCAAGATCCAGAGTGACAGGGAATACAAGAAGGACTTTGAGAAGTGGAAGACGAAGTTCAGCAGCCCAGTGGACATGCTGGGCGTGGTGCTGGCCAAGAAGTGCCAGATCCTTGTAAGTGACATAGACTACAAGCACCCTCTGCACGAGTGGACGTGTCTGCCGGATCAGAACGACGTCATCCACGCTCGGAAGGCCTACGACCTGCAGAGCGATGTGAGTGGGTTAATGTTCTTCAGCTGTTTAAAGGCTGAAGAAAGGGGATTCTAGGTGCCAGGAGACTGAGGCAGGAGGATCGCCATGGGTTTGAGGCCAGCCTGGGCTCCAAAGTGAGTTCAAGGCCGACCTGGACTACATTGTGAGGCCTTGACAAAAAAAAAAAAAAGCAAACAAAAAAACCCCACAAACAAATAAAAAGGGGATTCTAAATTTTTTGTCATGGGGTCTTTTGGCAGTCTGGTAAAAACCTATGATCACTTTCTCTGGACAATGTTATGAAATACATAAAATGAAATAAATATGTTAGTGTTAAGTCAATCACATTGACATATGGTTGTGAAAATATTAAATCAAATCTGTGATGTAAAATACACATGCTTTTAATTAAAATATTAAATAATGGCAACCACAGGTACAATAACTAGATATGCAGTATCTTAACTAATTGCAAAGAAGCTGTGTGTATAAATATCTTAAGATGCCTGCAATAACTGACAGTGCATGAAATATTTGTCACTTACAAAGTCACATTTGGTATTACTACTACTACGATCCATTACCTATACTTTTAATTAATGAAATGCCACATTTTACTTAAGTTAAGGAGTAAAAGGATGCTACCTCTTTTCTAAATTCACTGGTGCCAGGTTAAGGATTTATGGTTTAAAGCAAGCTGATTTTTCAAATGAACTGATTGCATCATTTTACTGACTTCTAGTTCTTAACTTATAGGAAGTATCTATGATAGCTTGTGAATGAAAGTTTAGAAATGAATCAACATATTTTAATAATTTTTCTAGGAATTAAAAAACAACTGCTCCCTAGAACTATGTTAGCACTTTTTTTTATGCTAAAGATTGAATCCAGGTTCTTTGCAGTGAGCTACAGCCCTAGTTCTTTTTATTTTTATTTTGAGACAGGGTCTCACTAAATCTCTAAGTTGAGCAGGCTCAGCCCAAACTAGGAAGCCTCCTACCTCAGGCCCTCAGCCTGCGATACAGGTGGCACCACTGTGCCTGGCTACTAGCAACGTTTTTTTGTTAGTCAATAGATTCTTGTGTGGGGACTCAAACGCTACCTTATTTATATTGTTGCTCCTACTTTTAATCAGACTCTAACTGAACAGTAACTTCTGGAGGAATGATAAAAAGCAGTGGCATTTTTTAAAAGTTCTGAAAAGTCATAAAAACAAAAAGAATTGTTGGACTGGGGGTATAGCTCAGTAGCACAAACACCTGCCTGGCAAGCACAAGGTCCTGGGTTCAATTCCCTGTACAAGAAAAGGGGCTTAGGATAAATAAGAGTAAGAAGATAAGAGTTCGCTGACTTGGACACATGCACAGAGTTGTATGAACAAAGACACCATTGTCCTTGTCCCCAGAAAGCACTAATCCGCAAGTGGGCAAGTGTCAGTGCACATCCCTCGTACAAGGCACGCGAGTAGCTGTGCAGACTCAGCCAGGGAGGCACCCACATTCTGCGAGAGCGTGACTCCCACACACAGAGGCCTGGACAATCAAATCGGAGAATAAATGGGAGACAGGCAGTAATTTCCTTCAAGTGGTTTCATATCCCTGAAATCACATATTATTAAATCATATGTATTAAATAGATAATCACATATTATTAAATAGATTATATGGGTCTTTAAAACAGCAAATAAGCTGGGCATGGTGGTGCACGCCTGTAATCCCAGCACTCAGGAAGCTGAGGCAGGAGGATCGCCATGAGTTTGAGGCCAGCCTGGCTGACACAGTGAGTCCAAGGCCAGCTCCAACTATATAGCGAGACCCTCTACCAAAACAAAAAACAAACCAAAACAACAACAAAAAAGTAAACCGCGCTTGTTTCAGCAGCACATATCCTAAAACAGCAAATATTGGCTACGCTCGCAGATAAGGCATTTGACCCTCCATTCAACACAAAATAAGGCCGCCCTGTGGATCCTCCTAGAAATTCGTATAAGTGAGCTTCAGTCTGTGCTAGGTCAGGATCAGGAACCAGAATGGCTAGGTAGTGTTTATAAATATTTGACATGACTTCATTCTCAGGCCATTTACAAGGCCGACCTGGAGTGGCTGAGAGGCATTGGATGGGTGCCCATCGGCTCTGTGGAGGTGGAGAAGGTCAAGAGAGCGGGAGAGATCCTGAGTGACAGGAAGTACCGCCAGCCTGCAGACCAGCTCAAGTTCACTTGCATTACGGACACCCCGGAGATTGTCCTGGCAAAGAACAACGCCCTCACAATGAGCAAGGTGAGTCCTCAGTTGTTTCTTGCTGTCAGGCGCAACTGCCACGGAATCGTCTTGTAAAGTGAAAATCGCCCTGATGGGTCTCCCCAGACAGGAGACGAACGGCCTGGTCCTTCTGCAGGCCTGCAGCAGGGCGTCTGCGGGAACTGTCCTTGGCTGTCTCTGCTCCTCTACTTCCCCATGTGCAGCCAGGCGTGAGTTCCCTAGAGTAGCACATGCCCTCCTGCGCTACCAGCCAGCCCGCGCCAGCGGCAGTACCCTCCTCACACAGAGAGAGCCCGTCTGTCGGTTTCTGCATCCACACAACACGCAGTGCTTACAGCAGTGCTGTTACACAGCTCGAATTAGTTGCCTGATCTGGTCTTCCATCTTGGGCTGCGGACATCCAATTTTGAAAGAAAGCTGCTATTGTTGCTTTCAGTTTTATTACACAAATAAGTAATTACTTTCTTTTCCCCGTTAGAATTCCATCCATCTGCTTATTCTATGCAGTGAGCAGGCCCTTCCTCTGCACACTTTAGACTGAACTGAACTGAATTCTCCCGCCCCTGCCTGGAAATCTTCCTGTCATTCAGGCAGTGAAATTGAATGCTTAGGGCAGAATAGCAAACATCTGCTCTCAAATAGCAAAACTCCAGAGTTTGGTGTGTAAAACCACAGAAACTATAGCGTACCATACTCGCCAACAATCTCACAAAGATGACGGTAGGAAATAATCCCCTCAAAGCAGCACTGGAGGCCCACTGTGGCTCAGGAATTACGCATACTATGGTAATTTAAAATACTCAATACAAAAGATACGGTTATCCCCCGTTCAGAAATAAGGAATATGAGGAATTATGCATGTCTCAAGACCACATGGCTTGGAAATAGTTTGAACCTGAGATGGAACCTGAGATTGCCTCTGACATCTAGGGATCCTCTGTATCAGAGCTCGGTGACCACGCACCACCTGTGGACATCCTAAGAGGGAGTTTGTGACCCACCGCATGAAAGAAATCCCTGCTTCGACCGAGGCCTTGCCTCCCGTTAGCTGGGAACTCTTGCAGAGCTGCTTGAGCACTGCCTTGTTGTACTCCCCACTCCCCTTTTGCCTCCTTCACCTCCAAGGAACCCTAAAAGGGCCTGTTTTATAGCTAAATGTGAGTTAAATTTGGAAATAACTGCGACACGGCTGGCTTTAACAAAAGGTTCACCCCTCCCTGCCCTCCACAGCATTTGTACACAGAGGCGTGGGATGCCGACAAGACCTCCATCCACGTGATGCCGGACACCCCGGAAATCCTGCTGGCCAAAAGCAATTCTGCCAATATTAGCCAAGTAAGAGATTTTTTCCGATCGTTGCTTAAGCCTTGCTAGGAGCCGTTAAAACATTTCTTCCACCTTGAAAATTCCTTCTCTGGCACTGGCCTACTAACTTCTCTAAAACACATTTCTTTTCTGGTGTATTCCATCTGCTTAGAAACTTTACACCAAAGGATGGGATGAATCGAAGATGAAGGACTACGATCTGAGACAAGATGCTATTTCCATCAAAAGTGCCAAGGCCTCCAGGGACATCGCCAGTGATGTGAGTGCTTCTGGGTACCACCTGGTCTCCACAGTCCCAAACAAACCAGTGTGTGGCTGGCGGGCCATACTTATAATCACCTCCACATGTATTCCTCAGCCTTGCTTCCTACCTTGCAAGAATTTTCTTAGTTATCACAGAGAAGAAAAATATAGTTTTGTGAATTAGAGTTGCTGTAGGGAAAGGTCTCCACCAATGAAGGATATAACTATAGTTCTTTTCATGATACTACGAAAGGTTAGTATAAAATTGTTCAGAGCTGGGCATGGTATAATCCCAGCACTTGCGAGGCTGAAGCAGGAGGGTCATCAGGAGTTCAAGGCTCACCTTGGCTACATAGTGAGTTCAAGGCCAGCCTGAACTATATAGTGAGTCAGTCTCTCTCTCTGCACACACGTATATATATATTTGTTCAAAAATGTCAAAATGTTTGCGTATGAAATCACTGTCCATGTCGTGCTGCCCGTGACCGTCAGCATGAGCACGGTTTCTAAGCTTGTACCTCTGTCACTGTAGTACAAATACAAGGAGGCATATGAGAAGCAGAAAGGCCACCACATCGGAGCCCAGAGCATTGAAGATGACCCCAAGATCATGTGCGCCATCCACGCGGGAAAGATCCACAGCGACAGAGAGTACAAGAAGGAGTTCCAGAAGTGGAAGACCAGGTTCAGCAGCCCCGTGGACATGCTGGGCATCTTGCTGGCCAAGAAGTGCCAGACTCTGGTCAGCGACATTGATTATCGCAACTACCTGCATAACTGGACGTGCCTACCCGACCAAAATGACGTGATCCAGGCGAAGAAGGCCTACGAACTACAGAGTGATGTACGTAACATGCGCGCTGCAAAAGCAGGAACGCGGAGACACGCATTTGTTCATTCTCCAGTCAGTTTCCCATGGGCAGGCCCACATGCCTGCCTTCCCAGATGGGGTTGTGGGGGGTCTGCATGGTATTCCGTACAAAACCCATATTTGGGTTAATCAAAGGAGGCAAAGTACTGGGATGAAGCACCCAACCCATCATTGCTTCACTTCCTGGCCTTGATCCCAAACTATTTTCTTTATGTCATTGGTAATTCTGGCAATGAAAATATATTTCAAACAAATATTAAATGTGTTTTTAAAATAATTGCCATTGCTTTGCTAGATCCAAAACACTGCACACTATGATACTGGTTCAGTTATTACATGGTTAAAATGGACTGAGATTCAACAAAAGTCCCCTTTAAAATTTTTGCAAGTATATAATTTTTTGAAATGTCAAATAATTATATCATGGAATTCATTATTAATAATATTTATTATTATTCATAGCTAATATAAACAATTATGCTTCTACAAATTACTTTTGCCATTGATATTAAATCCTGAGTCATAGAAGGTCTTAGGTCTTCCGGTGCGTGTTTTAGATCTATCTCCAGGGCCTGATCCCCTCGGCCCCAAGTACTGTATTTCGCAGCTAAGGAGTGATGTGTCTAACGTGTGGAACAACATCTTTGTCTAACATCTCTGTAGAACGTGTACAAAGCAGACCTGGAATGGCTGCGTGGCATTGGCTGGATGCCTGAAGGCTCTGTAGAAATGACCAGAGTCAAGGGTGCTCAGAATCTGATAAATGAAAGGCTCTACAGAACGCCACGAGAAGCCCTGAAATTCACCTGCATTGTGGACACTCCAGAGATTGTCCTGGCCAAAGCCAACTCTCTACAAATGAGTGAAGTAAGAACCATCTTACCAACAAGCTTTCATTTTCCTGGGTTCGTACTTAGATGTGGCAGTGAGACCCAGCACGCAGGCCGCTCTCCTCACAGCTGTACTAGATTCCGAGGGTCTCTGCACTTGTCCAGTGAATACACGCACAGCGGAGCTCTGACAGATGCTCCATGCCTTTCCTTCCCAGGCATACTTGGAATCATTAAAATGAGAAGTACCACTCCACGGTAATTCAGGGAAGTAAATATTTACTTTACTCCTGTGAATACCAAGACACGCAACATAATACTATGTAATAAATGTTATAACATTGCATGGGTCTGGGTTCTGTAGAAAAATACTCACTGGGAAGTAGAAGGGATGATCAAAACATACAGTGAAGGCTTGAATTGTTAACATTCATCACAGTAAAAGACACGTTGCCCTCAGTCCTAACCACACCCTTCCCGCCATTCCTGAAGCAGTTCTGAGCATCTTCTTTCGTGAGTGTCTTTCGGAGAGGTGATGAGCTCTGCAGTGCATGCTATTCCTGCTGCGTGCCATCCAGCGGAAAGGCGGGCTTGTACAGCCTACAGTACAGCGGGTCCTCAGCCCCTTTACGCACTAGAGCTGGCGCCGGGCAACTTATACACTCATCCCCAAAGTCAGAATGACCCTGAAAGGTAGCGTTTCGAATCTACTCAGATCACTGAGGCAGCCACAGCAGTGCAACCAAAGACACTCGTGAAGGAGGACCTCAGAGCTGCTTCCGAAAGCGGCAAGAAGGACAGAACAAGCGTGGCCGATGGCAGTGTCTTTTACCGTAGTAAATGTTTAAAATGTGTACATTCATGGTATGTTTTAATCACACCTGTGTCGTACACACCAATAGGAGAGGGGAGGAGAGGGAAAGCGGTGGAGGTTTTAAGGAATGGATTCTTGCACTTGCTCAGCCTGAGAAGACCCAAATCTGCGAGGTCAGCCCACAGGTCAGAAGCCCAGGGAAGAGCTGCAGCTCAAACTCCAAGTCAGAAGTCCTTTTTGGCCTGGGGAGGTCAAGCCTTAAGGCTTCGACTGATTGGATGAGACCCACTCACACTGTGGCGAGCACTTTGCTTTATGTTTACATGTGTCAATTCCATCTGAAAAGTGCCTACTCAGAAACACTCAAAATAATGTTTGGCCAAATATCTATGTGCCATTGGCTAGCCAAATTAATCCTTATAAGCACATATAGGAGCATTTTTCCAGATAAAGCAGGTGCTGAGGCTTAATGTTTCAAATATTCATTCTCCATCGCTGAATTAAAGTGGCAATTTCTTTCTCTCTACAGAAGCTGTATCAAGAAGCCTGGAACAAAGATAAAACCAACATTTCCATCCCTTCAGATACTCCAGTCATGCTGCAGGCCCAGATCAATGCCTTGCAGATCAGCAATGTAAGGGGCCTAAAGATGCAGTGTAAAAGTCTTTCTGGACAAAATGTTCATTACCTGTCAGCTTAAAGAGTGTGTTACAGTGGACACATTATCTACCTTAGAGACGTTCACGGCTTTTTGTGCCATGCTTACTGTTAGCTGTCATTCCCAGTGCAAATCAGTGGAAATTTTTCTTTCAAATGTTGACAGAGATGTACTCGGGGTGCCTAGACTGTGGAAGTCAGGAGATGAGGGTCCTTCAACGTTTTCCTTCCAACCTTTTTTCTTCAGCAGCAGGGATAGAACCCAAGATCTCTCGCGTATACGAGGCAAAGGCTGTATCCCTGACCTACATCCTCATCCCTTTTTTATTTTATTTCGAGGCAGGATCTTGCTAAGTTGCCCAAGCTGGCTTCCAGCTTGCAATCCCCGGGCTCAGCTCCCTAAGAAGCTGGGATGACTAGCACATGCCACCACGCCCAGCTTCCTTCCAACTCTGCGTCACCTCCCTGTGTCCAGTGTCTGTGCTTGGCTCTCTCTATGTTACCCGGGAGTAACAAAGCCCTAGTGCGGTGCCTCCGGACTGCCCGCAGTGTCTCTGGTCTCTTTGGGCCTTTTGATTGACCAAGGACGTTCTTGAAAGCCACATAAAAAACAAAAGACAATTTAAATTACATCCAAAGAATAGAATGGCGTACATGATACCTACATCCCATCCCTTTAGCAAAAATGAGTGGTGGGCAAAATCAAAATTAGAAAAAATTCGCTGAGTACGGTGGTGCACACCTGTATTCCCAGCACTTGGAAGACTGAGGCAAGAGGATTGCTGTGAGTTTGAGGCCACTGGTCTACATAGTGAGTTCAAGGCCAGCCTGGACTACACAGTGAGACCCTGTCTCAAAAAACAAAAAACATAACAAACAAACAAAAGACAAGCAAACAAAAACCTTATCAGATCTCTTGTACCTTGATGAAGGGTCTCAGGCTTTGCCATAGATCCTTAGCTTCCATGTGCTGTGTAGTGGAATATTTTCAAATGTATACCACATTGTAATGAATATAAATATTCAAACATTAATAGAGCTAGATGTTTAGCTTTAAAATTTTAGTCAGAAGTATCCTATATTTTACAAAATAGCCAATAAGAAGTCAAAAATTAGTATTTTTTCTGTATGTTGTCTTCTTAACATTACGGCTTATGATTTATACTATGATTTCCTTGAATATACTTGCTGATTTTCAGTTCTTGTAAGCAAACCCATGTTTTCTCTCAATAGAAACTGTACCAAAAGGACTGGGATGAGGCCAAGCAGAAAGGCTATGACTTAAGAGTTGATGCCATTGAAATCAAACACGCCAAAGCCTCCAGGGAAATTGCCAGTGAGGTAACTTCCTTTTATTTTCTTTTTCCTCGATGGAGCAAATAGGGCAACTAGTTCTCAAGAATTTTTATTTTTAAATCATGCAGCAGTTGCGTTATGTCTTGTGCTAAAGTCTTTCTGTATTTAAAAATATTAAAGTGGGATAACATTGTACGGGTCAGGATTCCCTAGAAACACAGACCCAATAGCATGTATTTAAATAATGTCTGCATGGTTTCTGAGTAAAAACAAAATATCATGAAGAATCTTTATGAAGAGTTTTTGGAAAATTCAATAACCAGTATATCATTTTGTCCCCCCAACTACATCTATATAGGTAGTTGTAGTTTCACACCTGTTAAGACTTATGACTGAAATCATGCCTACTATAAAATGTCACTTTATACTGAAAATTTACGCAAAATACTCTTAGTAGCATTTTCAAATTCATTTAACCCTAATTTTACAACTTATTAAGAGTCAAAAGTATTATCCCGCCCAGCTTACCCCTACTTGAATGGAGAAAGGAAGAAAAGGGAAAAGCAGAAAAAATAAAAACATTATACATTTTATATACATATATATGATAGTCAAGATAGTTTACTAATTTCTCTTAGCTCATTGAAAAGAAAGGTTCGTGCTAATATTGTTAGGACAATTCAATGCTGATATCTTCACTCCGAGTAACTCATTTAAAGATAACAACACGCAATGTATTAGCCACTGTCACCCTCCTATATCTTGTTTTGAAATTTTTTTTCTCTTAAATAAAAAAACTTACCCCCCTCTCAACTGCAGATCTTTAAGCTGCTTTGTTTCTTTTCTCTGGCTCCTGTTTGTCTTTATCTCATGCATCCTGACGTTTCCTTCTTTCCCTTCCTCACACTGACCTGTAGTAACCAGTGACCGGCACTGACTCACACCGACCTCCTTAATGCCAGATTTCTCCCTCTCCCTTTGGTCCAGACTTTCCTGTGTTGGCCAAACATGGAAAAGGGGAAGGGAGGGGAGAGAAGGGGAGGGGAGGGGAGAGAAGAGGAGGGGAGGGGAGAGAAGGGGAGGGGAGGGGACGGCAGAGAAGGGCACCGTCTTGCTCCAGTCCCAAGATGCTCATCAGGTGGAAACTCGCCCACAGACCTTTTTCTGTCTTCTGACGTTACCTTTCTGTCCCTGAAATGTACACATTTCTTGCCTGTTTCCAAAGCCACACCAGCGAACCGTTCCTACCTGTGGTACCTTCAGGACTCCTGGGAGACCAGCTGCCTAAAGCTGCGCTTGCTGGGCAGCCTGGCTCAGCACACCTTATTTCTCCACCTGAAACAGGGGCTCGCCCAGAGCCTGTGAGAATGAACGGTGACTGTCACTGCTGCTATTCAACCATTTTTGAAGGAAAAGCAGCAGCTTCTTATGAATCAGTTCTAACATGTTTAAGGCTCTCCTAAGAGTGTCTAGCATACAGTGATTGCTCAGTAAATGTTCGCTATTATTTTTTATTACTTTTGTTTTCCGTACTATTTCCTTCTGGATTTACTCCTTTCTTTAAAAAAAAAAAAGCTACCAAAACTTTTGTCAAACTGAAATATGTAATGACTACTGGCATTAAGCTAATTTATATTAAGGTTAAGAAAACATCCTGAAATCATTTAAGGAAAAATCTTAACGCATTATCTTCCTATGTCTTTTTATCTGTTTTTCACAACTTTAGTATAAATACAAAGAAGGCTACCGCAAGCAGCTAGGCCACCACGTGGGCTTCCGCTCCTTACAAGACGACCCCAAGCTGGTGTGGTCTATACATGCTGCCAAGATCCAGAGCGACAGAGAATACAAGAAAGCTTATGAGAAGTCTAAGGGAATTTACAACACACCCTTGGACATGATGTCAATTGTTCAAGCCAAGAAGTGCCAGGTCCTGGTTAGCGACATTGATTATCGCAATTATCTGCACCAGTGGACGTGTCTACCGGATCAGAACGACGTGATCCAGGCTAAGAAAGCCTACGAGCTGCAGAGTGATGTGCGTATGTTCTATCACCAGACTCTAGAGAGATTCATGTGTGTGTATTTAACTACAGTGTACTCTCCAGAGGCATAATTTAAGTGCTAATCTTAACAGAACCAAAATCTCTGATAATCTTATCAGAACCTTAACAGATACTCTTAACAGTATTGTACACTCTCCTGTACAATTCACAGTAGTAGAGAATTTTAAAAAACATTTTCTGCCTTACAAAGGATGCTTCCTTACGGTAGCAGGACTTTATTCACCAAGATGAATGGTCTCTTATTCTATGTAATTCATCCTTGAATTCCACTGACTGCCCACCCAGCTGATTTAAGGAGAGATGGTGTATGGTTAGCAAACATCAAATTCTGTGGGCAAGTCTGATTCTTCCCCTGTGTGTTCCTTTTCTCCATGTAGAATGTGTACAAATCAGACCTGGAATGGATGAAGGGCATCGGATGGTTGACAGAGGGTTCTGTGGATGTGCTGAGAGTGAAGAATGCTCAGAATCTTTTGAATGAAAAGTTGTATCGTACAAGGCCCGAGGCTCTCAAATTCACCAGCATTGTTGACACCCCCGAAGTGATCTTGGCAAAGATCAATGCTGTACAGATCAGCGAGGTAAGCCGGGTTGGTGACATCGTCAGATAAATTGAAATCCCAACCAAGGACTCTAGAGGTGAATTTTAAACTGCCAACCTTGGGCCGGGAAATAGCTCAGCGGCACAAGCCCCTGCCTGGCAAGCACAAGGTCCTGAGTTTGATTCCTGCTACAAAAAAACAAAACAAAAATACCTACCAGCATCACAGCATTAAGATCTTGAGTGGACGTATGTCCACATAGATCTTAATATATTCAGTCAGTTAGCTATCTCTGTACTTCATTTGCTTGGATGTATCTGTGCTCAACACAAGTGTGTCCAGATTCTCACTTATACTTAAAACACATTTTGAGAATCAGCCCATAATAAGGTCTACCTCTTAACTCTGTAATCACAGAATTATCACCATTTTGTGGCTATTCAGTCACGAAATAGGCTGAGAGGTGCAGGAGCCATCTTGCTATTTCACACTGACAGTTACCTGGGCCAACAGAGCAAAGCCCTGATTAGCAATGTGGATTAGCAGTTAGCTGTGAAGTGGACTCCCTGATCAAAAATTAGATGCAAATGAATGGGAAAGGATGAATTTACTACCATATAAATGAATCATTTTAAATTTACATTGTGTCACATATGAATGCAGTTTTAAATTTTTTTTTATTTTAAAGAAAAGAAAAACAATAAAAACAATGGTATAAAATTTCAAAACAAGATTGTAGGAGAGTAACAGTGGTTAGTACATTGCGTATTATCTTTAAAGTTGAATGTATTATTGAAGTCACTTGGCATCTTTTAAATATGAAGAAAAAATGTGATATGCATTTATATCAGAGAACATCTAAAGATAACTTGTAATTTCATTTAAAATTTTATTCATGTGGCTAAAGAAGATGTGAGGCTTTTTTTATACAATAGAGCACTGCTCTGCCACAAAGAAGGATAAACCTGAGACATTTCTAGGTAAATAGAGGCACCTTGAGACCATTCTCTTCCAGTGAAATAAATCAGACACACATGCTTAAATATCACATTGTTTCTCGGGTGTGAGAAACCAAAAGGACAAATAAGGACCAAAATGTCTAATAGATATTGTGAAATAGGAAGAAAATTTTCAAATGGGAGGGGAACTAGGGAGGAGGGATGGGAAAACGAAGGAAGAGAAAAGAAAAAAAGAGAATAGAAGAAAAAAAATTTCAAAAGCTTTTGTAACTAAGGCGGGGGAGAAGGGCTGAAGGGAGGGAGGGGAATGAGGGTAACGGAAGACCCAAGGTACGTCCGGCAAGGTACAAATTCCCTAGGGTGAGCATGACCGCTGTGTTATGGAAAGTGCACCAGCAAAGTTAACTTTAAAGTAACAGATAGATAACAACATTCTATTCCTGTGATGGTCATCGCCACGGCACCGCCTTCCCCTTTTGCCAGCCGCTGTACCGCGATGCCTGGGACAAAGAGAAGGCCAACGTGAACGTGCCCGCCGACACCCCGCTGATGCTGCAGTCCAAACTCAACGCCATCCAGATCAGCAACGTAAGGCGCCGCCTACTCACGGCTTCCCAGCGCTCTCCGTCCACCCCAAGCCTCTGTCTGTGTACCCAAAGAAAACCTGGCAGGGGGCGTTTTTCTACCATTCCTTTCATTTCCAGTCTTTACGCTCACCATACCTAGCTGTGCAGAGCTGCGTACGCTTGTGTAACGCAGACGCTGCAGCCCCGTCCTAGGCTGACCCCGGCACTGCAATCCTCATTTGCAGAAACACTACCAGCAAGCTTGGGAAGATGTGAAGATGACAGGGTACGACATACGCGCCGATGCCATCGGGATCCAGCACGCCAAGGCCTCTCGGGACATCGCCAGCGATGTGAGCTCTTCCCTGCCCCACTCCCACAAAACTCCACGCAGTGGCCGCAGAGACAGCTTAACTTAATACCCAGGACTTAAAATAGAATGCATTCATGTTTACTAGTATATTATGTAAAAATCCCAAATTTCAGAACAACTTGTCTAACGGTTTGAGAAGCCTCTTGCACCTACATTTACTTCTGCAATTCTTATGTTTAAGCACTGATGTTACTTTTCTCTCCCAAATCTTCTCAGCCAATTTATAAGCACTTCTAGAGACCTAGTGAATACAGAGAATTCTGTTGTTACTCCAGGGTACCATGCACACCATTGGTGGTTCCTGAGGTCATTTTATGTGATACACCAGTAATTATTTCTTTAAAGAGCTACGTGGTTGTTTTAATGTGTACCAGAAAAATACTGATTGTCTTTCTATTTAGATAGATAGGCTTATAAATTTAAAATAAAGTTTAAAAATAAACATAGTTTAAAATAAACATAGTTTAAAATAAACATAGTTTAAAATAAACATAGTTTAAAATAAACATAGTTTAAAATAAACATAGTTTAAAATAAATTTATTTAAACGAAGAAGTAATTTGACTTAAAGCAATATGAAGTCCAGGTTATACTAGGTTATGGCGAAACATCCGAAGGCAGCAATGATCGAAGTTTGGGGAATGCTGGAGAAGGTTGTACTGGGAGCTGATTCAGAGCACAATTCTTGCCGTAGGGGTGCTCACAATATTTTCAAACATGCCTATAGAAGTCAGTGTAACAAGAAGTATAAAACATAAAGTATGAATTTGAAGAAAAACAATGTCCAAAATAATCTAAGGGAAGTGGAATTATTTTTATTAGGCTTCTTGGAAAAAGTGAGTTTGTAAACCCCTCTTTCGTCCTCTGTTCATATCCACCAGTATCTGTACAAAACTGCTTACGAGAAGCAGAAAGGCCACTACATCGGATGCCGCAGTGCCAAGGAAGATCCAAAGTTGGTTTGGGCAGCAAAGGTGTTGAAGATGCAGAATGACAGGCTGTACAAAAAAGCCTACAATGACCACAAGGCCAAGATCACCATCCCGGGAGACATGGTGTCCATCAACGCCGCCAAAGAGGGCCAGGCGCTGGCAAGTAACGTGGACTATCGGCACTACCTGCACCAGTGGTCTTGCTTTCCTGACCAGAATGATGTGATCCAAGCCAGGAAAGCCTACGACCTGCAAAGTGATGTAAGTCTGTCCCTCAGGGAGAAAGCCTTCCTCCGCTTGGCATGCTGAATCCTTCCAATTCTCCCTTGCTGGAAAACGCATCTCTCTTCATACAGGAAGTTCCCTTTAGGATTTAACCAAATTTATTGATTGCCTATCTTACTGCCATATTTGTTCAGAAAGTTTTCATTCTCGTTGTTCAAATGGGCTACCAAATTTTTTCTATTGGTTTAGGAGCGTGTATATTATTTACAGTTTATTAACAATAAGAAATTCATGGTCCTTCAACTTTATATTGAAGAAAGGCAGGGATGTCTTCCTTGAAATTAATTTCAGAAGTTGGTACTATGCTCTAAACTCCCTTGTTTCCCCTAACTGGATGTTCTTCGCAACATAGTGTGTCATTAATTTACCAAAGACATTTTTAGACTTACTCATATTTTATAACTTATTCAACCTTTCAGGAATGATGGGTTCCATAGGGTTATTCAGTTCTTGGGGTGGGTGATATAGCTCAGCGTTAAAGCTCCTGCCTGGCAAGTGCAAGGTTGTGAGTTCAATTCCTGGTACCAAAATAAGGAAAAAAAGTTATTTAGTTTTTGTGCAGAGTGGACACTTTCTTTAAATTATTTGAATCTGGTTTCCTTGTACTTCAAGAGATACTTTTCTTTTTCTTAAAGAACATTAACTTGCTACAGCCCAATGTGTCATCCCTTGAAATGAGCTGCATGTGGTAGCGTGGGAGTGGGCAGTTTAAGTGAAAGGCAGTCTCTCCGTTAATATGAGCCACATGAATAAACTGAAGCACATATAACAATCACATTCTTTTAAAAAGTCTTTAAAATATTTTACAATCTGTATGTAATCTTTGAATTCCTGCTTCTGAATTTTGAAGACCCATTATATTAAACACTAAAAAATACGCCCTTCTTCCTTAGAGATTTTCCAATAATTTTCACTCTTTTTACTATTATTTTAGCCTGATATTTGTATCCTGTAACTAAAACATCATTTCTTTTTTTGGTACCAGGAATCAAACTCACGACCTCACACTTGCCAAGCAGGCGCTTGTGCCACTGATCGGTACCCCAGCCCTTAAAATACCATTTCTGAGCAGCACATTGGCTTTCTATAAAATTAATAACTAGAATTTGACATAGAACAATTTTACCTGCTTGACCTTTTATCTATATGTGGGGAAGCAGATTTAGATAACCAAAATTTTGCAAATCCCAATGAAAATGGCCATGCTATATCTTAGACTAAAGAAAACTCAGTTGAGACCTAGATGGTGTAGGAGTGATAGAATTCTTTTCATTGAGACCGGTCCTCACAGTGTTGCCAAGGTAGCTTCTCACTCAGGTGATCCTCCAGCTTCAGCCTCCTGAGTGGCGGGGCTACGGGCTCATGCCACCATATGCAGCTCTGAGTTCTTATTTATTTTTTAAAAATTATTTGTAATATGTCACACATCAGGCATTGTGTTAGCACCAAAGGTACAAAGGTGAATAAGGGAGAGAGAAAATAAGACCTAGTTTCTACATTTAGGGGGTATATATCGATAACAAAGAAGTAGATGCTACTTAAGAGTATCAGAAAAAGCCAGGATGGCCGAGGAGGAGTGACGTTGGGGCTGTGAGGAGAAGTCAGGCGAGCTCCAGAGAGAAGGTGCAGGCTGGGGGTGGGTGGGGGTGGCTTACAGATGTTCAGCATCCTCACGGGCGCTGCGGCAGGTACAGCAGTGGGGCCAGCACCAGCACGCACAGGGCATGACGAGAGGAGGCTGGAGGAGCAGGGGAAGCGGGGCCAGACCAGCCATCCCCTCGTCCGAGCTGAGACTCTGGTCTCTATCTTAGAGCAGGCGGGAACCATCGCAGTGGAACTTGTCCCGTCAGATCTGAACTACCAAGTTGGAAACATTCATTCTGGCTGCTCTGTAGAAAACTTCCTAGAGAGCTTATCATTATCGCTTTGAAAACCCCCATTAGTTAGTCTGACGACTGCCTGAGTATCAGTCAGAAATCACCCGTGCTTGCGGAGAGCTGCTTGCATGTCCTTCTGCCTTCCCGAGCTCTCATAGGCTTCCTGCCACAGAAAGCAAAGCAAGGCAGTGTGCTCTGCGTGCATGAGGGATCCCGCTTGCCCGGCCAGCACTCAGTATTACACTTTGCTTATGGAAGATAAAGTATAGCATGAAAAACTGCTTCCTTGTTTTACCCCCACCACGAAAGACAAAATATCCTCTCCTACCTAACCGTGCTTTCCTTCCAGGCCATCTACAAGGCTGACCTGGAGTGGCTGCGTGGCATTGGCTGGATGCCTGAAGGGTCTCCTGAAGTCCTGAGAGTCAAAAATGCCCAGGAGATCTTATCTGACAGCGTCTACCGGACGCCTGTGGTGAAGCTCAAGTACACAAGTATTGTTGACACCCCTGAAGTTGTCCTTGCTAAATCAAATGCTGAAAATATTAGCATTGTAAGTCGTTTTGTTCCTATGCAAATTGAATTTGAATTACAAATAAAAATAAATTAATCTGGTATTCAGTTTCTAATAATAATACTGATGAGAACAAAAACCTTAGTAAGAAACATCAACAGCAGTACTTTGTTTGTGCTTATTGATTTTCAGTGACTCCAAGTATTAATAAAAGATGATATAGACCCCATATTAAGTCTGAGTAACTTATACGAAAAGACCCTAAAGACCTTTGCCTCAACATGAAAAAAAATTTTTTATCAAATCCAAACAGAAAGTTAAAAGTTATCTACTGAAACTAACAAAATTACAGATTGTGAAGTGATTTTGTTATTATTGGTTCTTTCCATAGCCAAAGTATAGAGAAGTTTGGGACAAAGATAAAACTTCAATCCACATTATGCCAGATACTCCAGAAATTAACCTTGCACGAGCCAACGCTCTTAACGTGAGCAATGTAAGTAGCACAACATTCCGTTTTGTTTGGAGAGTTCACCAGCTGGTGCTGTAACGCAGCCGGGGGTCTTCATAGCTAAGGGGAGGGGATCACCTACCTGGCCAGGAGTCGGGAGGTCTCCTTGCCATCAGCCCTCGGCCAGGAGTGAGGAGGAGAAGAATTTTCCTGGCTCTGAGGTCCTGGGGCTGTACCCCTGTGATATGAATTCTGCTCGAGCCCTTGGAGGTACGGGCTAAGTGTGAATCTGCAATGATACCTTATGTTTTCTCCTCTTCAGAAAATTTACCGCGAGGGGTGGGACGAGGTGAAGATGAACTGTGACGTGCGGCTGGACGCCATCCCTATCCAGGCTGCCAAGGCCTCCAGGGAGATCGCCAGTGATGTGAGTGGGGCCTTTGCTTACCTTCTCAGTTTGTTAAGCGAACGCCGCATCAAGAGGGCGTGCTGTGATCCATCTGCTTTGTTCTCCACCTGCAGTATAAATACAAGCTTGAGCATGAGAAGCAGAAGGGGCACTATGTGGGCACCCGGACAGCCAAGGACGACAACAAGATCCGGTGGGCCCTGATAGCTGACAAGCTTCAGAATGAAAGAGAGTACCGGCTACACTGGGCCAAATGGAAGAGCAAGTTCCAAAGCCCTGCAGACATGCTTTCCGTTCTGCATTCTAAAAATTCCCAGGCCCTGGTCAGCGACGTCGATTATCGCCACTACCTGCACCAGTGGACGTGCATGCCTGACCAGAACGACGTGATTCAGGCCAAGAAAGCCTATGAGCTGCAGAGTGATGTGAGTGGGCTACACGCTCGGACGAGCTCTTCCACAGCTCGCCGTGACTTTCACACAGTTCCTTATGTTCCACCCTTTTGTCATCACTTCACATCCTTATGCAGCCAAGGATCTGACATCAGTTAAGCTTTATGATGTGGTATCAAAATCACCAAGAACAGGAAGAGTCTTTGTGTAAGAAATACATGGTAGGGAAGAGGGGTTGAAGGGAAGGTAGGGGAATGGGAAAAAAACAGAAGAAAGAAAAAGAATGGAAGAAAGAAAGAGAGAGGAAGGAAGGAAGGAAGAAAGGAAGAAAGAAAGAAAGAAAGAAAAGAAAGAAAGAAAGAAAGAAAGAAAGAAAGAAAGAAAGAAAGAAAGAAAGAAAGAAAAAAGAAAGAAAGGAAGGAAGGAAGAAAGAAAGAAAGCAAAAGAAAGAAAGAAAGGAAAAAGAAAGAAAGGAAGGAAGGAAGAAAGAAAGAAAGCAAAAGAAAGAAAGAAAGAAAGAAAGAAAGAAAGAAAGAAAGAGAAAGAAAGAAAGAAAGAAAGAAAGAGTAGTGTGAATGAATAAATGTTTTTTTCTTATGATACCAGAGATTGAAACCAGAGCTCTCACACTCAACAGTCCCCCTTTTTTATTTTCCAGGCCTGTCTCCCTAAGTCAGGTTACCCAAGCTGAGCTGAAGCTTCTGATTCTCCCACTCAGTCTCCCAGAGTGCTGGGATTACAGCGGCACACTGGTCTTAATAATATTAAGTTAAAGAAAACTACTATGGAAATATTGTTTCTATGGAATTTAGGTAGCAGTCAGTGTTTATATCAAATAAAATATCGGTAAAATAGGATCTAAGCACAGGCACGCTTTTTTAATTAGCATAGTAGCTGAGAAATTGTGGGTGAAGTTGCCACAAATTTTAGGGCAAGATATTTTTGTGTACAAATCTAGGATTTCCCATTTATCTTGAAAATTTAGAAGATACAGCTCTAGGTATAACATAGCAACAATAACCTAGAACTGAACTGAGGCTAATTCGTGTTTTTTAAAAAAGAACACACTACTTACTATTGAAAAGTACACCAAAATAAATCAGTATAAAACAACTATAAAATACTGTGTCAATAGAAATACCAGGTATGACATGCACAAAGCCAAAAAACCACCAATGCCAGAATTTCTACTGTACTGTCCTTTTAAGAAACCAGCAGGAGTAAACTGCTGAGTGCAGACACCGTACAGTGGGAAACCCACGTTAAACAGAAGAACTGTCCTCCAGCTGGTTGCAGTACGTGCCCTAATTCATGTTCTTATATTAGTCATCTGGCTGCTTCTTGGCTTCTATAGTGTTTAAACTGTGTCACTCCATCAGATCTCTGGATAGGCTAGATGGAACCAGGGTGCCAGGGGTGCTGAATCCATCCTGGTCTTGTCTCCACAGGCTGTTTACAAGGCTGACCTGGAATGGTTACGTGGAATCGGGTGGATGCCGAACGATTCTGTGTCTGTCAATCACGCCAAACATGCCGCGGATATCTTCAGTGAGGTACGCCAAGGTTTTGTTCTGTCGCCCAGTACATTTTCAAAGGAAATGAACAAAAATACATGAGCCAAAATATAGTCATCTCATATCAGCAATTTTAATCACTTTTAATTGCTGGAATTTAAGCTATATATATAGCTTAAATGTATTTTGGTCCTTAACAGGACCAAAATAGTCCTGTACTGCTCCCATGACAGTTAGAAGACCACATCCCTAATATAATAATATCCAGCGCACTCTCGTTGATGCCTGGAATTGTAAAAATTGAAAAATTCTTTTGACAGTTTTAGCAATATACTGGGAAAAGTTTGTCCAGTTAAATGGATTGCGCACATACACATAAAGATATGACTCTGAGAAGGAATCAGACTTGCTACTTTAAAACCTCTGGGAGGGATAAGAAACCAACCCATTTGTTTAAAAAGTGAAATTCAGAGAAGAAAACCAAGTTGCCACGAAGATGCCACTTATTTAAGGCATTCAATGCCTCTAGTTGAGAAGGACCCTTGCATTTAGGAAATCTCAGTCACCAAGACCAAGGACTATAATTGTCTAAAAGATCTTTTTTCCCTCTTAGAAAAAATATCGCACAAAAATAGAAACTCTCAACTTTACTCCTGTGGATGACAGAGTTGACTATGTGACAGCGAAGCAAAGTGGTGAGATCCTTGATGATGTAAGTATACAATGGGTCTAAAATGACACAATCGTGCCAGGCACTGGTGATATACACCTGTAATCCCAGCACTCAGGAGGCAGAGGCAGGAGAATCACCACAAGTTCGAGGCCAGCCTGGGCTACATAGTGAGTTTAAGGGCAGCCTGAACTGCATAGTGAGACTGTCTTTTAAAAAGAAAAAGATAAAAAAGCAAGAAAGCAAGCAAGAAAGAAAGAGAATTATGCTGTCATGCAGCTCTCATTTCTGAAATTTCCTGCCTCCTTGCACCTGAGCTGTCATTGTCCAAGATACAAATTTTCATCATCAGAATGTTTGATGCCAGCACTTGCCTGCAGAACATGACGTTCTTAATGTCAAGTAACCGCTCCCCTTGTCGCTACTTTTAGATTAAATACCGGAAAGACTGGAACGCCACCAAGTCAAACTACACCCTCACAGAAACGCCCCTGCTGCATACGGCCCAAGAGGCTGCCCGGATCCTGGACCAGGTCGGGTTTTCACTTGGGTGGCTGGTTCTTCCGGTGGGGATGTAGACCCTCAGGGAGCCAGGGGAACTCTGTGCACGTGACTTCTCGTTTAACCTGCGTGGCGCTCTTCCCCTTAGTACCTCTACAAGGAAGGCTGGGAGAAGCAGAAGGCCACAGGGTATATTTTGCCTCCAGACGCTGTGCCGTTCGTTCACGCCCATCACTCCAGTGACGTCCAGAGTGAGGTAATTCTTCCCAGGGTGTGCGCACTTTGGGAAAGCCGGGCTTGCCTGTGCGGAATGCCAGGTGTGCCAGCTGCAGAGGGCACTGGACGGATGTTCCATTCCAGCCTGGCAGACAGGGAGCAGCTCGCTCGGGCCACCAGAGCTCCTCTTCGGGTCTTTTCCCAGGGGTTTTCGGCCGCCTCCTTATTCTCTTTCTTCTTTCTTCAAAAGCTGTTGTTTGACTTCCTTACTTTTTCTCACACCTCTGCCTTCTCTAAAATCTCTAGCCTTCCAAATAGATATTGCCAGAAACATAGAACAAGTATATGTTTTTTAAAACATTTAAAATCATTACTTTTCATATTTATTTATTATTTCAATGCTTTTACAATTCTGGGCTGGGGGTGTCACACAAAAAACTGGGGGTTGGGCCGGGGATATAGCTCAGCGGCATAAGCGCTTGCCTGGCAAGCCTGAGGTCATGAGTTAGATTCCCGGTACCAAAAAAAAACCTGGAGGGCTGAGTTTCTGCTGCTCATGCGTTTCCGGCGCTCCCACCCCTTTGCCCTGTGCATCTGTCGAAGCTGATGGAGTCTGTGTTCTTCTTCTCCCAGCTGAAGTACAAAGCCGAACACGTAAAGCAGAAAGGCCACTACGTCGGAGTTCCAACAATGAGAGATGACCCGAAACTGGTTTGGTTTGAGCATGCGGGCCAGATTCAGAATGAGAGACTCTACAAAGAGGACTATCACAAAACGAAGGCCAAAGTCAACATACCCGCGGACATGGTGTCCGTGCTGGCTGCCAAGCAGGGGCAGAGCCTTGTCAGTGATATTGATTACCGCAATTACCTGCACCAGTGGATATGCCATCCCGACCAAAATGATGTAATTCAGGCAAGGAAGGCCTATGACCTACAGAGTGACGTAAGTGGTTCTGGACTCTTTACCATCTAGAAATGTACAGTATAGTGAGCACGAGCAGCTTCCCAGAACTGCGAGCTTTTGATACTTTGGACTATAAAGATTTACCTTGTGCTCAGAAAGGAATTGAGGCTTGATTTGAAGGAAAGGAAGATAAGGACCCATGACTGACTGATACCTTTGCCTACAGACTGCATGTCTGAGTAACCTTCAATGTCAATTATTTTTAAAATCTACCTTGATACCATTTCTGCCGTCAGCAACCCCTTACATTTACATGAAGAATTGTCAGCTGATTTAAACTAATAACTGGCTTGGTGCGAATTGAGATTGAGTTGGGGTTTTCACAACATTAGGTCATAGTGATGGACAGAGGCTAAGACTGCTCAGCCTGCTTCACCGAGCACCCTGCTCCTGAGGTGCATGGCCTCTACCCGCACTGACCTCTGTAAGCAGGAGAGAAACATGTGTCCCAGCTCGCTGCTCAGGCACACGGAGGACCTAACCCTCCCTGGTCCTCTCATCGCTGCCAAAACAGTAACAGGGAGGCAAAGCTGCCTGCGGAGCAGATGCTGAACTTGAGCATCCGCCTCACGGACTGCTGCAGCCGAATGACCGTTGTGAAGCTTCAGTTAGATTAGCAGCTCCTCCTCATTTAATGTGGGGCGGACTGGAAGAACCTGAGAGCTGGGAGCAGGCAGGGAAGAGAAAGACGGGGACAGAGACAGATGTGGCCGCTCTAGTTGAGACCCCCACCCCTCTCATGCAAATACTGCGGCATTACTTGTGTAGCTTCCTTCATTTACTGTCAGTACCACACAGGCTTCTATAACGAAATGAACCACGTCCTTCTAAAGCCGCAGCCTCCTCGGGGAAGCTCCTCTTCCAGATGAAAGTGACGACCCCTTCCCTTAGTTCCAGTAGCACTTAGGTGGCCGTGCTCTCCCAGTGCTTGACCTTATACTTCTCCCTTAAAGTACCAGGAACAGTGCCCTGTGCAGTTGCAGGCTCAAGAAAATGTTGCTCAGGCAAAGTCACAATTGAATGAATGAGACAACAGCCACTAGAGAGAAACCTTAAAAAAAATCTGGAAAAAAAAAGTTTGGAATTTGCTATGTGTAATCCTGAGGCTAAGCCGCCTCCTCCTCAGCACGTCTCTGCCCTGTTTCAGAATATCTACAAAGCTGACCTGGAGTGGCTCCGAGGCATCGGCTGGATCCCCTTGGACTCTGTGGACCATGTGAGGGTCACGAAGAACCAGCAGATGGTGAATCAGGTGTGCAGAGTCTGTTCTCTCTGAACCCAGTGCCTACCTCCTTACCTGCACGCAGGGCTGGGGACCCTGTGGGGACAGAGCTGCCATAACTGTCTCTATTTCTTTGCAGATAAAATACAAGAAAGCTGCTCTTGACAACTATCCCAATTTTACAAGTGTGGTGGATCCTCCAGAGATTGTGTTGGCCAAGATTAATGCAGTCAATCAAAGTGATGTGAGTTTGTTTTGTGTATGCAGAAATACACAGACTGAGAAATGACTGTCTATCATTGAATGGATTAGCTCATCTCTAGATAACTGCTTGTAAAAATTGGGATGGGGTAAATTATAAGATAACCTAGGAGTGGGGGTCTTAAAAGATAATAGTAGGTGGTGTACCCGCTTTTAGATATCTATATTCTTTTCCAAAATATCCTTTTATAATAGTTAAAATGGACTGAAATTCAACCAATTGGTTAGTTTTAATCTCTAAATGTAGACTAATGATTATGTTGTTAGGTAGATTATATAAAAATTTAAATATATATTTATAGTAATCAAAATTTTGTATTCTTTTCTCTTCTTAGGTAAAATATAAAGAAACATTTAATAAAGCCAAAGGCAAATACACATTTTCTCCTGATACACCGTATATTTCCCACTCCAAGGACATGGAAAAGCTCTACAGCACTGTGAGTCCCAGTTTACGTAGTGCCATCCTAGTTCCTAGATTGAGCTCTTGTTAGTATTCATGCTCTTGACTGATTTGGGGGACAGCTGAACAGTGAGCAAAAGAGCAATCGATTGTTTTAATTGCATTTCGTCTCGTCTGCCACAGCTGGCATGTCATCCAGCGTGAGTAGTATGTGCTCAGCTGGACTTTTGGAGCTCCTGCGGTGTGCCAGGACTGTAGCGGGGACCCAGGGGCTAAAGCTACATGAGATGAACTCTGTGGGAGCTCAAACGGGTGACAGGAACAGACGCGAACAGATAACAGTGCTGCGCGTGCTCTGAAAGCTCTGGAGCATGTAGAATTGGGAGCGACGACCGAAGGGGGAAACGCTTGTTTCTCCCCAGCAGTCGCGCACGGGCGGCTGCAGCACACAGGGAAGACTTGCTTTCTAACGTTCAGTTTGGCTTGTTTGGAGGGGCAGCGCGCAGCCACTGGACAGCATGGGTGATTCTCTCCCTGTGCACATCTCCCATCACTTTTACTAGAACTGCAAATACAGTTCTCGCTGCAGGGAAACGCCTGAGCGTCTGTAGGCTCCATCGCAGTGAACCACACGGCTGCCCTGCTCTAGCGAGGCGGGCGGATGGCTACAAAGAGAGGTCTCAAGCCCTACTTTGAACATGAATGTTTGACTTTAATTTTGATAGTGGTTTTAGCAGTATCTGAAAGTACTAGTTGAACGCAAACTTTTCCTGGCACGGACTCCTTTGTTCCAGATACTGTATAAGCGGGCCTGGGAGGGAACCAAGGCCTATGGCTACACCCTGGACGAGCGGTACATTCCCATTGTTGGAGCCAAGCACGCCGACCTGGTGAACAGCGAGGTCAGCACGGGCTTTTCCTCCCTAGGCTTGGGGGTCTCTGGGGGGAGGAAAGGACTGACTAGAAAACTCCGCTAATTCTCGACGTGGCATCTGCCTCACAGCTGAAATACAAAGAGACCTATGAGAAGCAGAAGGGCCACTACCTGGCTGGGAAAGAGATCAGCGAGTTTCCTGCTGTGCTTCACTGCCGGGACTTCCAGCAGATGAGGAGTGCGGTAAGTGCGTGCGCTGCAGCGTGCTCCGCGTTTGCCTGTTTATAGCCGGTCCTGTGTCTCAGAACGAGTTGGGGGTGAAGAGTTATTCTTTTCTTTTTGAGAGGAGCTCTCACTACATAGGTCAGGCCGGCCCTGAACTTGTGGCCGGTCGCCCGCCTCAGCCTCCTGAGTGCTGGGATTACCACGGGCCTCCTCGTTAGGCTCAGAACGACTTATTCTTGAGATTTGCCCCTCGTTTGAACCCTTGGTGGCTGGGGGTTTCCTGGGTTCTGCTCCCCCTCCACCACCAAATGCGTCATGAGGGCCCCACGACGCAAAAGGAGAAACCAACAAGGTCACTGCCGGCCTTGGATTGTAGAAGGATGAGAAACTTAAAAAGAAGGATACGACAAAAACTTTTTAGCGTCGGTGCATTTTAGAGGTACTGATCTATATTGGAAGTAAGACTCAACAGAGATTGATTTGAATTGTTTAAGTTTTGATTATCTAAATTTTGTTTTTTAAAAAACATCGTTCTTCAGTTGAACTACAGAAAACACTATGAGGACACGAAGGCGAACGTTCACATCCCCAATGACATGCTGAACCACGTGCTGGCCAAAAGGTGCCAGTACATCCTCAGCGACCTGGAGTACCGACACTACTTCCACCAGTGGACGTCTCTCCCGGAAGAGCCCAAGTTCCTGCTCGCGCGGAACGCCCAGGAGATCTTAAGCGATGTACGCTGCCTTTGTGCGCTTCCTGCCTCGAGCCCTCATGCGCCGTTGTGCCTAGGGTTGCATGCCCAGCTACTTTCTAAATAAAGTGGCACAAGGAACCATTCTCGGTTTAGGAATTTCCTTGGAGCCTTTGGACACTTATGTTAAATGTTTAATCTGTTCAGCACTGGTAGGACCCAGGCCTCGCTGCCCTCCCAGCTTTTTAGGCCAGGGAAGTGCAGCCCTTCCAGAGCGCGAGAGGCCCACACGTGCCCTCTCAGCATGAAGCCCAGCCAAGGACCCACGGGAAATTATGAAAGGCTCAGAGCTCTGTGAACTTAGACTGCCCGTCACTGCTCACTGTTCTCTGTCTCTTGCAGAATGTGTATAAAGATGACTTGAACTGGCTGAGAGGCATCGGGTGCTACGTCTGGGACACACCCCAGATCCTCCATGCCAAGAAATCGTACGACCTCCAGAGTCAGGTGAGTCGGTTTTCCTGGAAAGACTGGATTTCCCAGGCCCTCAACACCCACGGTGGTGTCAGTGGGCTGCTGGGCAAGTTGGGTGCGTGCTTGAGCGAGAAGCTCTAACCAAGTACTTCCAAAACAATGTGTGATTTAAAGGAACCACACACACACACACACACACACACACACACACACACACACACCCGCCCTCGGAACCTAGTTAAAGGCCCAGTTCAGCGTGAGTGTCTCCAGTGCCTAAAGGCTGTGTAATTTATAACAGCAAGTTGCCTGGGAGGTGTTGCATAGCCTCAAGCGTTTGTACCTTGACCAAGTGAACTTGGAGGGAGCAGGACGCAAAAGCATTCTTGGGCTACAGTGTATTTTGAAGGAAAAAAGAAATCCTGAAACATCCCAGCATACACGTGAGCTTTGATGGATGGGTCTAGTTGATTATCCCAACTAAGGGGCTGCTGTCAGGGGTGGAGAGACGGCATGCAGAAGGCAACAAAATGAAGAGGGTTTCCTGGCGGAGATCCCCACTCCTCTCTTGGTCCAGAGCTGTGCGTTTCGGCACCACGCGAAGTCTTTAGGGCCACAGGGTGGCAGCCTGCTTCTCAGCAGCACCCCATAAATAAGTGAACCCGTAAAGGGAAAAGCAGAAACCCGTAAATAAGTAAAGGCACATCCAAACTGGCGCAGATGTTTAAAGCTGATGACAGTATTTTATCACTTCTCATGGCCTTTTTCTTCACAGATCCAATACACGGCCGCAGGCAAAGAAAATCTGCAGAACTATAACCTGGTCACAGATACACCGGTTTACGTGACCGCTCTTCAGAGTGGCATTAACGCCAGCGAGGTGTGTGTGTCTTCCTCGTCCCCCTCTTTCAGAGGCAAGCCATTCCTTGTCTTTATGTACTTTTAATAACAGAGGTGAACAAGCCTTTTGTTTTTCTGTCTGTAGGTGAAATACAAAGAAAATTACCATCAGATTAAGGACAAGTACACCACAGTACTAGAAACCGCGGATTACGACAGAACCAAGAATCTCAAGAGTCTTTATAGCAGCGTGAGTTTCTCCCTCCTGTGTCTGAGCCACCGGCTGCCCTTCAGATACAACAGAAGAACAAATAGGAACATGCGCTTCGTCCCCAAAGATTTTTCTAGTTTTTTAATGGATCTTACTTTAGCTCATAAAATTCTCACATGTACAATTAAATAAAGCTCCGGTTGGAAAGGAGTCCTGGACGTTGGCAAGGATCGTCTGAGGACGGAAGTAGAGGAGAACCTGCTACTCTGGAGCCGTCCAGAGTGCCTTGTTCCATATTCACACGATTTTTAACCCTTCCAGAACCTGTACAAGGAGGCCTGGGATAAAGTGAAAGCCACCAGCTACATTCTGCCGACCACCACCTTGTCCCTGACACATGCCAAGAGCCAGAAGTATCTGCCCAGCCAAGTGAGTCACGGTGTCCTTTCCCCTCCCCCGCCCGCACTCCAAGCACCTCTCAGGCTTCTGCAGAGGCCCAGCAGCACCCCAGCACCCCGTGGGGTCCCCAGCAAGTAATTCCAGATGCTCGGTCAGCGCGGTCTGTGCTGTCTCTCGGGCTCTGCCGTGCAGGGGGTCACGGACACTGGCAGGAGGCCTACAGGCTGACCTTGCGGGCTGCCCGTCTGCGGAGGACGTGGGTGAATTCTGTTTCAGCTACAAGTGAGGAGAGGAAGAAGACATAGTGTACCATACAAAACAGGCTCCTTTCAATAGAATTGTGTGGGCTTTGGTGCAAAAGTAAACCGGTGGATATGATAATTAGTTACCATAGCATCCACAATAAATGGAGCAGGCCAGAGGGGTAGACTTTTCATCTGGGAAGAGGACTTTTTTAGGTAAAGTTACAAACCCCAGGGCAGGGACTTTAGTCATTAAAGAAAGAGTTACAAAGGCAGGGTTCTTGACACACTGTTTACGGACCAAGGCAGGATGTGCAGAGGGCAAGCTTCTAAAAAAATTTTAACAAAGAGTTCTGTGAATACTTCTTGTTAGTGGAGGAATAGCTTAGATATAAGAAGCTGGGATTTTCTGCTCCAGAAAATGATGGTGGAAATTTTTGTTCATCTCTAGTTACGGTAGGGCTTTGCTGAAATTCTGATACAAATTACCCCCTCTCCCTCTTTTCACAAATTCTCCTTCACTCTTTTTCCTCCCTTGGTTCTGAGAGTTTTATTACCAAGTACTAGGAAATTGCTATCATCTAACCCATGCATTAATAGGCAGCATGAGTTAAAAATTAAAATTTTCCTTCCGGGCGTGGTGGCACATGCCTGTAATCCCAGCACTCCGAGGCTGAGGCAGGAGGATCCTTGTGAGTTTGAGACCAGCCTGGGCTACAAAGTGAGCTCAAGGCCAGCCTGAACTGCACAGCGCGACCTTGTCTCAAAAAGACCAAAACAAACAAACGAACAAAAAAGTTTTCCTGCAGGTTGATTGCTCTGTTTCCTGAAGACCCTGTGGAAACTAAAATTTAAAGCTTGTGTTTTGTAAGCCTTGTTTTCCAGTTATTTAAAACAAAGAGATTCCTGAATACAGTTTTAATTTTTCACTTATGGTAGTAAGAAAAACAAAGCCATTATCAGAAAACAGATTATTTTAAAACTACAATTTTTAGCTGGAAATGTATCTCAGTGGTAGAGCATTTGTCTAGCATGTACAAGGCCCTATGTTTAATCCACAGCTCTGCAAAACATAAAAAATAAATAGAGGAAAAATCACATAATCTTAAAAATGAATTGATTGGCCAGGTGTGACGGTACAGGCTTATAATCCTAACACTTAGGAGGCTGAGGCAGGAGGATCACTGTGAGTTCGAGACCAGCCTGGGCTACAAATTGATTTCAAGGCCAGCCTGAACTGCATAGTGAAACCCTGTCTCAAAAAAAAAAAACAAAAAACAAACAAACAAAAAAAGCAAAACAAAACAAAACACCTAAAAATGGATTGGTTATAATAGTAGCAAAAGTACTACTACAGGTATAAATGTTTTAAAAATAAAAACTAAAATTGAATAGTGCTGCACAGTTTGAGAGCTCTCCACACAGCCGGGCTGGAGCCTGACCGCGGTGGTGGCGGGTGCTAGTACCAGGTCTCTACACAGATGAGGACGTGCGCTCAGGAAGGTGGCGCCCCCAAATCAGCCGGGCCTTGGAGTCAGGTCCTTGCCGTTAAATCTCATTCTCTGTTAACAAAATAAGTCCAGTCGGGCGTGGTGGCGCACGCCTGTAATCCCAGCACTCGGGAGGCTGAGGCAGGAGTTCGAGACCAGCCTGGGCTACAAAGTGAGCTCAAGGCCAGTCTGAACTCCATATCGAGACCCTGTCTCAAAAAGACCCCCCCCCCACAAAAAATCCATTATTCCCCATTACTGTGCTTCAACTTTTCTACTTTTTTTTAACAGATCAAGTACCGAGAAGAATATGAGAAGTTCAAAGCTCTCTATACCTTACCAAGAAGCGTTGAAGATGACCCGAACACAGCGCGGTGCCTCCGAGTGGGCAAGTTTAACATTGATGTGAGTGACCCAAAGGCCTGGCTTCGAATTTGCAGTCAGGAAAAATGGCCACATGCGGTCAGTCAGAGCAGTTTCCGTTAGATCGTGCAAGTGGCCCTGACTGTGACATACTAAGAGCTAAGTCTCTCTCCCTCTGTTCCTCCCTCTCTCTTTCTCCATCTTGCTCTCATTTTCTCTCTCTCTCTCCTCATCTCTCTCTCTCCCCCCACCCCCACTCCTGGTATTAATCCGTACAAGGTATCAGAGAATTCCAGCCCACCCTGCCCCAGAAGCTAGTTGTGGGCTGCTTACCCTGACCGCTCTGCAATGGCAAGAAGGCAGGTGTTCCTTAATGGCTTCGCAGTTTTCCTTCTAGCCGGCACGTAACTTTCACTTCACAGCGCCTGTACAGATCAGTTTATGAGAAGAACAAGATGAAAATCCACACTGTGCCTGACATGGTAGAGATGGTTACTGCCAAGGACACTCAGAAGAAAGTCAGCGAGATTGATTACCGCCTGCACCTCCACGACTGGATTTGCCACCCTGACTTACAAGTCAACAGTCACGTCAGGAAAGTCACGGATCAGATCAGCGACGTAAGCCCACTGGTTGCTTAGGAGCCAGCCCCGCGCCAACCCCTGCGCCACCCCACTCACCCACCCTGAGGAGAAACAGCACCTGCATGTTTACCCCCGCCTTTTTGCTCTGGATTTCCCCTCTGCCCATGGGCCTGACATATTGTGGCGCTATCACTGGAAGCAGGATGCTGGGTGCCCTGTGTTTCTGTGGGATCCTCAGTCTCGTCATACAGTGCCTTTTGCTTCTTCCTCCCCAACGTCATCGGGGTCCAGGGTGTGCCTGTGGCTTTTAGTGTTGAAAATAAGGTCAGGTTTTCTTCCCCCCTTGCACTTATCGAAACCCTCTAGATTGTGTACAAGGACGACCTTACCTGGCTGAAAGGCATCGGTTGCTATGTGTGGGACACTCCGGAAATTCTCCATGCCAAGCATGCTTATGACCTCCGCAACGATGTGAGTTTCCTTGTGGTGTGTTGGTCTGTGTGGTGTATTTCCATTTCTATGTATTCTGGGGTCAAGAAGTGAGTGTGTAATACAGGAGCACTGCGGCGTACCGGCTGTGGATTAGGCCGTGTTGACGATGGCCTAGCTGGAGAAAGGCGCTAGGAACAGAGGAGCCATCTCTTGACAACGCACAGGACGTCCCTGTGAACAGTGTGGCCCACTGGGCCACTGGCCTCTGCTGTGAAAGGAACCACGGGCTCTTCTCCCCACTTGCTGAAGCAGTTTGGCTGTATCAGGGCACACATAACTTTCAGCATAAGAACATGTCAGGGCTGGGGATGCAGCTTACTGGCAGAGTGCTTATCTAGCATGTGTGAGGCCCTGGGCCAGCCAAAGAACAAAAGAAGGAAGCAAATTCTCATCTGCTTGGACTTCATGGATTACATGTAAGATCTATTTGATCTACTTATAAAGAGCAAAAATTCCAGGCAAAGTGATACTGCAATGAGAATTTCAGGAAGAAAGCTTAAAACTTTCCTAGAATAGCAGCTGTCAAGCCTCCTAGAAAACTCTAGAAGCCCCAAATGACTGTAAGCATTGATTACACTGCCATAAAATTCAAATACATCCTTGTCTGCTGAAAAAGTGCTAGTGAATACAAATCTCACGAGTTAAAAGCTACCAAGCCCTCCGTGAAAATCAGCAGTCTCTAGAATTTAATAAATGAACCAACACAGGCGTGTTCAATTCTTCTTGGCAGATCAAGTACAAAGCGCATGTGATGAAAACGAGGAACGACTACAAGCTGGTCACCGACACGCCGGTCTATGTGCAGGCCGTCCGAAGCGGGAAGCAGCTGAGCGATGTGCGTGCCCCCTGCGGAAGTTACAGTGGGAGCTGCAGTAGAGAGGCTGGAGCCTGCGCCCGGCCAGCTTCTCTGGCTGGGAAACCAGAGTCCGTGCCTTAGAAAGTACCTAGAAAGCTGCCTCCTGAAATCAGAGTGTCAAGTAGTGCACTGGGGTAGAGCTAAGTGAGCTGAACCTATGAAACACTTTGTTCACAGCTCCCAAAGTTGCCCTCTGTACGCTTCTGTTATGAGCAACATTTCACACTTTCCTGTCCAGGCCTTCTAATTAATAGAGCCGACTATGGTAGAATGATAGAGTTGTGGGTTGGAGTCCTGCTTCTACCGCACATCATCCAAGGCTTGTGAAAGCACGGCATCCTCAGCCCTAGCGTCTTCATGTGTAAATTCACAAGCTGGGTGTGCTGACACACGCCTGTAATCCCAGCACTCAGGAGGCTGAGGCAGGAGGATTATTGTAAGTTCGAGACCAGCCTGGGCTACAAAGTGAGCTCAAGGCCAGCCTGAACTGCATAGCGAGACCCTGTCTCAAAAAGACAAAAAAAAAGTAAATTCACAGTGAGTTGAAGGTGGAGCGCTGTCATTTTGGAGCTTCTAGAGGTGAAATGCCAGGCTTCCTATTCTTTCTGCCTGAGCTGTCTCTCCCGCCTCTCGGTGTGGGTCCACAGGTTGGCTCTGATCTTGTTGGATGAGACACAGTAACGCATCAGTTTCCTAGACAAGGGGAAGCAGCAGGCTGGCTGGCTGGCTCTCTCTCCCTCTCTCTCTCTCTCTCCCTCTCTCTCTCTCTCTCTCTCTCTCTCTCTCTCTCTCTCTCTCTCTCTCAGGACTTGGGTTTGCATTTACTTTGCTTCAAACAGTCCTCCACATCCTGAGTCTACTTACCCTGCTTCTGTCTGCACCCAGGCGGTTTACCACTATGACTACGTGCACAGTGTCAGAGGCAAAGTGGCACCGACCACCAAAACCGTGGATCTGGACCGAGCTACTCACGCGTACAAGCTCCAGAGTGAGGTGAGCAGGGCCTCGAGCACCCAGCAGAGGCCCGGGCCCCTGGCTCCTACAGCAGCAGCTTCAGCGTGGACAGCCTCTCGCCTGACTTGTGGAATGTAAATGCTGCTCCACTCAATGGGCTGGAAAAACGAGAACAGAGCAGAGCCTGTCTCTGTCTTGGCTGGCGGGATTCTCGTGCCAAGCAGTCAAACACACAACCACAGAAAGAAATAGGCTTCTAAAGAAAGCAATACTTACAAAGCTCAAAGCAGAGGGCCAGTATGCTACCTCTGCTCTCAGAAATCTTGATAGCGGTATGACAAAGATAAGGGACTTATTTATAAAGGCAATTAACAGTAAGAGACGAAGGTAGAAATTGCAGTTGGAACTTAGAAGAGAAGGAACTCGGGCTGCACCCGCATGTTTAATCTCCCCCTGCTGTGCACCTTAGGGGCATGTTTGGTCTCGATGTTTCCTTGTACTTCCCATATTGAATATTATGAGTGTCTTGGGTTTGAATTTCAAACACTGTTGCTGACCCTACAGCTCCCGCGAGAGCCAGAGTATTTAAGGTCACAGGCAGAACCCCCCACATGATCCTTTTGCCGTGAGTACGTGCGCTGAACCTCCTCACAGCCTGACGCGGTGTCACGGGGGATGCCGGTCTCAGGGCGTGGCGATGCTTCGAGTGTCGCCTGCGAGTAGGACTCGGGTAGAGATGGCACCAGGCTGCCTGTCTTCTTTGCATTCCCCAAATCCTTGCTGGAGGCCCCGCAGCCAGCTGAGCACACCTGGAAGCGCAGGATTGCTTTCTATAGCCCATTTCACTCACTGTTCTCTTTTTCCTGGGTAGGTTGTCCGTTACCCGCCTCACCTCCTGACTCTCAGAACTGTTTAAGCTCTTCCTGAAGTCAGCACAGAGCAGGAGAGCATTAAGTCTGAGCAGAACTCTAACATGAGCCGGATGTGATGTCACTGGGGCGGGTCATCCGACGTCCAGTGTCCTTTAACCTGCTCTTCTCCGTTCTGGCAGAATCTGTACAAAGCTGGCCTGCGCTTCCTGCCCACTGGGTACCGGCTTCCGGTTGATACGCCTCACTTCAAGCACACCAAGGACACCCGGTACATGAGTAGCTATGTGAGTGCTCTCGTTCTGGGTCAGCTGGGGTCAGAAGTGGGGGTGGGGGACTTACATTAACTCTCAGCCTATTCTCATCCTCAAATCACATCCTGAAGTTCCATATCAAATGATGATGGTGTGGCGGGGGAGGCGCATCTTCTCCGGAGACTCTGTGGAATTAGCTGCTTCAGCACTGCTACAGTGCCAGGGCAGCTCATTGGTTCGAACAGGATGTTCTTGGGAGGCCTGGCCCGGGGTCCACAGCTGTCAGAATGCCTGGACCTCTAGCGGACTTGGCACAGAAGCTTCCTGAGCCATCCCAAGCCATGTACTGCAAATGCAACCTTGCATGTACACGAATGGTCAGTGCAGAAGATACAGTGCCAGTCTGTGTCCCTTTGAAAAGAAGGACTCTTGCCTAGCTGCTAGACTGATGCTTACCTCACTGTTTATCTTCTGTGCCCTGTTCAGAGGAAGGTGGGGGTAAACAGGCTGTCAGACCTCCGGCTTTCCCAGGTGCTGGCGCTGACACCACCCTTCCTCATTTTTCAAAATACCACCTTGGGACTTGCCTCGTGCGCCCCACAGGCAAGGCCTGGAGGAATCCTGGCAGTGCCAGTGACTCTGGCTGCAGACCAAGACCCCCTTCCATGGTAGTCTCCAGCGTCTTAGGAATGGACCCTGCTGACCACAAAGGGGCCCACAGCGGGTGGTCCAGTAATGTGACCTCAAGGTAGACAGTTACAAATTTGAGAATCTAACATACTATTTAAAAATTTGTTTGAAAAATCATTCACCAATCTTAAAAATCTTTTCTTATTTCTAACTTCCTAGTCATACTGAGGCTAAAAATACAAGGCTCTTTGTTTTGTTCTGTGTCTTCATGCAGGCCTCACTTAGCGAGGTTGAATTTTACTCTTTTGTGGACCTAGCTTCATCATTCAACAAATAATTTTCAAGATTTGGAATACAATTAAAATTTTGTCAATGGCTCTTAATACTTAGCAATTTTCAAGTAAAGATGACATCTCTTTTCCACTTGAGAAATGTAATTTTGATCTGCGTGTACCCATCACTGATCTCATGCTGACCTCGATTTTGCAGTTCAAGTACAAAGAAGTCTATGAACACATAAAGGCAAACGGGTACACACTCGGGCCCAAGGACGTTCCATTTGTCCACGTGCGGAGAGTCAACAACGTTACTAGTGAGGTGGGTGAGCGCTGATTCTCTTGGGGAAAAATAACTGAGCTTCAAAGACCATGGCTTGGTTTGAAGTGCATTAAGAAGAATGTGTTGCATTTCAGCCACAAGCTTACACATCAGCAAGGAGTAAGAGGGTCCCCCATGGTCCCTGCTTTGATACAGGTGTCCCTTGGAAGTGTTTTCGGAGTTTGGTAACGTCATCTCAGACACTCCGTTCCATGGACGATAAACCAAACTTTTTCTAAAGAAATAATTCCTTTTTTGATATTTGTATTAAGAAGCTTTAATAAAGGTACATTTTAGTCTGGCCCAGAACCCTGGTTTTCCACATCAAGTATCAGTTTGTACATCTGATCTTACTGTACAACCACGTGATAGAATGTAGAAAATTTTGTGCTCGGAATTCTTCCCCTCAATGAAACAAGTGTGTTTTCCTCTTTTTGTCTCAATTACTTTCTATATTCCGATAATTACGCTCCTCCCTTTCATGTAAGACATTTGATGATTAGCCAGCAGGTGCCTCATGACCCTACACTAAGCACAGAAATGGTTTTTCCCTCAATGTAGCGACTGTACCGAGAACTGTACCACAAACTGAAAGACAAGATCCACACCACTCCTGACACGCCTGAAATCCGCCAAGTCAAGAAGACTCAGGAGGCCGTCAGTGAAGTGCGTATTTTCTCAGGAGCAGGGACAACCATTTGGAGCGCCAGCCACTGAGTCTGTAACACATGTGTTTCTGGGGGTTTTCCCTCTCTTCTAGTTGATCTACAAATCGGACTTCTTCAAGATGCAGGGCCACATGATCTCCCTGCCGTACACACCCCAAGTGTTGCACTGCCGCTATGTGGGAGACATCACCAGCGACGTAAGTACCTCACAGAGCTCTTTCAGGAGGAGACTTGCCCAGGGGAAGGCTTGCTTTCGGCATCTAAAACAAGGAGAGGTCCTTGAACAGCCTTTTCGTTGAGTGCTTCTAATGTAAGCGTACGGCTTAGCGAGGAAATGCGGTGCAGTGGAAGCGGAGATCCGCAGTTCTCCCGCTGTGGATCAGTGGTGAGAGGACACCGAGGAAATGCCAGAATTGCCCCCATCCCTGAGCACGCAGAGACCACCGGTCTGCGCTCAACACTGAGTCGTTACCGGTTCCTCCCTCAGGGCCTGCGTCTCCCTCACTCGCTGTACCTTCCTCCTCCCTCACATGCTACTCCCATCCCTTCAGCAATTTCCCCCTGGCCATTTAAAAAGATTCTCCTAAAAGACCAGTCTATGAACTCTGTGCTTTCCCTCCATCAATATAAGAATAAAATAACGCAGCTCAGGACTAGCGACGTCAGTTTAAAAAACCTGTGATCTATATGAACGCAGGCAAACCAAGTGCAGAGGGCGGAGCACAGGTGGAAGCAAGGTGAAAGACACCTGATATCCTCCGTCTGCGGGGCGCCTTCCCAGGCCTCTAGTGACTGTCTGAAACCAAACATAGTATCAAACCCTAGTGTACTATGGTTTCTCCTCCACACACACCTAGGATAAAATTTAGTTTATAAACTAGACACAGTAAGAAATTAGAAACAATAACTAATAATAAAATGGAACTATTATACAAATATATTAAAATGATTTAAAACATGTGAGTCATTTATTTCTCAAAGTTTCCAGTTAATTTCAGACCACCACTGACAGTAGATAATTGAAAACTATAGGAAGCAAAACCATGGAGGTGGGGGGGCTGCACCTCAGAAAAGAATGGCTGCTGCTCTGTTCCTGACTTACGTTTGCTGATGACCACCTGTCTCTTGGGGTTCGCTGTGCAGATCAAATACAAAGAGGACTTGCAGATCTTGAAGGGACTTGGCTGCTTCCTGTACGACACCCCCGACATGGTCCGTTCCCGGCACCTGAAGAAGCTCTGGGTGGGTACACACCTCTGCAGCACCTCACCACGGGGCACTGCCCCATGTACCCCATCGCCAGCCTCCTGGGGCTGGGCAGAGAGACTCTTAGTCTGCAGTCACTTTTAAGGAGAAACTTTCTCTCAAGCACTTGGGCAAGTCTTGGCCTACTTAAGATGATTTGTGTCTCGGTGAGGTCAGTTAAGTGTCAATTGTCTTTGATTCTACCTAGACAGAAGTACCCAGGATCCATGGCGGGGCTGCTCAGCGCGCGCAGGCCAGCCGTGTGAAAGACAGAATGACGCGCAATCCCTTCAATCTTAAGTAAACTTATATTTCTGCTCTTTTAAAAGTCTAATTACCTGTACACTGACAACGCGAGGAAGATGCGAGACAAATACAAAGTGGTGCTTGACACTCCAGAATACAGGAAAGTGCAGGAGCTGAAGACCCATCTGAGTGAGGTAAGCACGCTTGGCTTATTACTTCAGTAAACCAAGTTGATCAGAACAAACTGAGTCATTCAGAAAGATTCTTGGTAAATGTCTCAGTGATCAGCTTGCAGGCAACTGTAGCAGGGAGATTCCCTCCTGCCAGGAGCTGCAGAAGGGCCGTAGCGGGTGAGCCAGTCGGTGCACCAAAGTCGGGCTCAGTTTACTTATTTTTTCCCCTTTCGCAAGGCTGTGGAGGTGGGTACTTGCCCTCCCTTTGGCTCGGACTGCTGCGAAGTTTTACATGATTTTATAGATTACAAAGCCCTTGTGTCTCCCACTACAGTGGGCTCCAAATACAAATTATTTCCGAGATTTCTCTCTAAATTCTTGCTATCAAAAATGCTAATCCTGGTCGTAACATTTGAAAAGCCTCGTGTGTCTCCCGGCTCTGCTGCTCACTCCAGTAAATTCCAGACTACTCAGATTCGTATTCATCTGCCCCGCGGCACGGAGGCTCCTGATTTACTGCAGTTGTGAAGTGATCTAATCCCCTGTCCTAGCCAGTAGGTTCCTTGGGGATTGGAACGCCTCTTATTTTAAAACAGATTCAGGGAGTAAGCGATAATACGGGACTGGTTTATTAGGAAAAAACTGTAGTAGAAGGGCCCCTGCCATTTTTACGGATTAGCAGTGAGGCCGTCTTCGGAGAACGCACCGTGCTGGTGAAGGAACTGATAGCTGTGACTTGCTCTGTGTCTAGCTGGTGTACAGAGCTGCAGGCAAGAAGCAGAAGTCCATCTTCACCTCGGTGCCTGACACTCCCGATCTCTTAAGAGCCAAGCGAGGACAGAAGCTTCAGAGTCAGGTAACACGGGCTGTCGGTGAACACTCAGAACCCCCGCGTGGGCGTCGCCGGGCGGCCGTGTGTCCCCCGCCTCTCTGACCGTCCAGACTCGCAATAGGTCGCACTTGCTACAGCTTCATTAATTTTGCACTTCAAAAGCGATTTTCTGCTGGGAATAGCAGCGCACACCTGTAATCCCAGCACTGTGAGAGGTCAGGTAGGAGGAATATCACGGGTTCAAACCCAGCCTGGGAAACTTAGCAACTCAGTGGGACCCTGTCTCAATAGTACAGGGCTAGAGATGGAGCTCACGGCGAAGGTCCTGGCTTGTTCAGCCCCCAGTACCAAAGAAAAGCAGTTTTCTTTCGTTCCATCATAATTATAGTTCTATTCTACACACTCAACGGAAAGCTGCAGGATTTTTCTAAATGCTGTACAACTTTGTCGTTAGATGAGTGCTCTTTGGATTCCAAGTAGTGAAAAGGATTGTTTGATCATTCTTATGATATATCTGTTATCCGCAGACCAATGAAACCATACTTTGTACATTCAGGCAAAGCAAAGGAGAAATAGGAGGAAGAATCTACCACAATCCTCTCACTCTTCCACTGGCATTTTTGATCATGTGGCTTTACACTGGGCCATGAGAATGCTAGGTTACTGGAACATGTCTGTGTGTCTTCCAGTGTAGGTACAGAAACAAAGTAATAGAAACGCATATAACAGAAAGCAAACGGAACAGTAAGCAAACACTACCCCCCCATTTAAAGACTAGAAGGATGAAGAGGCCTAAATACTAGACATTCCTTCTCTGTGACATTCCGCCCCGTTCTCTTATTATTCAGTACCTGTATGTCGAACTTGCCACCAAAGAGAGGCCCCACCATCATGCCGGGAACCAGACGACAGCTCTAAAACATGCCAAAGACGTGAAGGACATGGTCAGCGAGGTGAGGCGGGGACTGGACCCTGAGGCACTGGGTCAAAGAGAAACTTCGTTAGAACCTTCACTGCGGCCTGTGACCGGAGCTCATGACTGGATAGTACTCAGCCCGCCCCGAAGGGAAGGGAAGGCTCTTCCCTGAAGGAGTGTGCGCACTGCGTGATGCACAGAGCCGTGACTCGGTTGCAGGGGGAGGAGGAGCAAAACTTGACTTAAGTTTGTCTCTTTCCTACCTTCTCTCCTTAGAATAAGTACAAGATTCAGTATGAAAAGATGAAGGACAAGTACACCCCGGTTCCAGACACACCGATCCTCATCCGCGCCAAGAGGGCCTACTGGAACGCCAGCGACGTAAGCAGCCCTCCCTTCTGCGCTGTTGTTGTGAGAGAGCCGGGGCTGGAGTACTCGAGAAACATAAGCTGCTCGGCCACACCCACCCTTCAGAGTCACGGCCCACAGCACTGGTCGGGGGGAAAACACCAACTAATTTAAGCAGTCAAGCAAAGTAGCCGAGAACAGTATTGAGAGGTGCTGGAATCCTGTGTCTCTCAGCTCTCTCCTGGGCAAAAATACTACCCTCTCTTTCATTTTCGTGCTAGTTTTTCCTAGGGATACTTGGCAATTCACTTATCCTTGAAGTCATGGTCTTGGAGTCAGATGAACGTACGTTCAAATCATGATGCTGTCATTTGTTTGCTGTATAACTCCACATATTTGCCTAATTTTTCTCTTCTTCTATGTCAAGCGAGGATGAAATCTGTGGCAATTAAACAGGACTGCACAAGCTGGGCATGGTGGTGCATGTCTGTAATCCCAGCACTCAGGAGGCTGAGGCAGGAGGATCACTGCAAGTTTGAGGCCAGCCTGGGCTACATAATGAATTTAAGGCCAGCCTGTACTACATATAGCAAGACCCTGTCTCAGAAATTAATCAATCAATCAATCAATAAGACTGCACAAGAAAATGCATATAATATTCCTAACACTCTATCCTGTTCTTAATTGACACTCATGAAATGGTTCCTTTGAATGACCTGTGACGTAGTAGTAGTTAGAATTAGAAGGGACAGACTTCCGTATCTTGTATTGTGTGATCAAGTGCATCTTTTTAAGCATAATGAGACTATCTGTTAATGAAAATATGAAATCAGTCAGCCTGTAGTAGATAGCCACCTCTACTAGTTTTGTGTCTCAGGGCTCAACCACATAATTCACTGTAATCACTGCCAGAACCAGAAACCCCACTGGACTGGATATGCTGGGTCTTAACCCCAGCCCCAGGCTCCAGCCAGCCCCACGAACCTCAAGTTTACAATATAGCCCTGGGATCTGAAGGCACCCTAAGGTGATGGCACTGATCTGTATCAGTTTTTATTTGGTGCTGTGGGAAGTCTTCTAGTTGGAAAGATGCAATGCCAGGCAGTGCTTAAGGTATAAGCTTAGAAAATCATATATTCTCAAAATCTGTCCCTCAGGACATTTTAGTCTTTTGCTCACCTCCCTCCTCTTAATCATTCAAGATTCTGTTGAATATTAATTTGTGCCAAACTTCACCACATTGCACAGGGAGGTCACACAGTGAAGTTCATCTTAGGGGCTTGTTGTACCCCACTGGACAGCTTTGTCCTTGGGCTTCCTCAGCACCAATTCTGAGAATCCCAGTCTTCAAGTAGTCAGGTTACAAGGCTGGTGTCTGGTGTTAAATTCAATATGTAACCATCATTGTCATGATATTATGCAATCAGGCATCTGAAAAACAGCACTTTTTTAGAAAAGATAGTTTTCATTATGTGTTTTTCAGCTACCCAAAAGAAAAAAATCTTGAAAGAGTGCTGAAAAAAGCACCTATCTTGTGTAGATGAGATGAACCGTCTCTATTACCCTTAGGTTAGACTCAGGATCAAAGCTTTTTTTCCTCTTGAAATATCACAGAGATAAGGATTATAATAAGATCTCAGGATGGCCTAGTGGAGAAGTTGTCTTGACATTAGGAATTAGGACGTAAATCTCTCCCCTCCCCTTGTACATTAATGTGTCCTGGGATCAACAAGGCTGTTTGTTTTTCTTCTTCTCCTACCAAATGATGGATTTGTTTTACATTTCCATAAACTTAAGTAGTCTTAGATTAACAAAAAAGTGGCAAAGATAGTACAGGAAATGTCTATAATCCCCATACCTAGTTTTTCTTGTTGTTAACCACTTACATTATTACTTTTTTAATTTTAAAGAAAATAGTACAAAAAAAGAACAATAGCAAAATACAGACAACACAAAGCAAGAACATTAAAAATGAAACAGGGTTTCAAACCAAATGGTAGAGATTAACAGTGGTTGTTACGTTACACATTGTTATCTTCAACAAAGTTGCTCAGATTACCAGATGTAAGAACAGAAGACTGATCAAATCATTAAAGGGAATAAGAAAATAATAATTTAAAAGAACATTAGAGACAATACCTAGTGTCACTAGGCAGGATTGTAGGAATTCACCAATGGCTATTACACTGCAAATTGTTGTCGTCACATAAATTGCTCAGATTACCAGATACAAACATGCAAAATTAGTCAAAATATTAAAAAAAAAACCCACATTTTAAACATTAACTGTTCCCCTCAACAAACCATCAGACACCAACAGTGCAGTTATGCCACCAATCCATAATATGTAAAATGCCTTAGTACTTTCTTTTTCTTCTTTCCCTCATCCCAGTTGTTCCTTCCTTTGAGCAATTTCTTTCCCTTTCTTATTATCTATTGTACATTTTGGGTTTTATTTACTCTTTCATGTTCTTACACCAGGGAGACAATATGGTGTTTACACATGTGGGCCCAATTTATTTCATTTATGAGTACTAACCACTTCTATTAACATCATACGTTTGTCACAACCAATAGAGCAAGACTGGTACATTACTCCTATATTAACCCATGCTTTGCTTAGGTTGCATTAGTTGTGCTTGGTGTCCTTTTTCTCTGTAGGATCTGAAATTATCTTTTAAATTTTTTTCCTAAATCTAATCATGGAAAAAAACTTTTTAAAAATGGGTTTAAGCTTAAAAGAGCTCAATTACTTAATTTGGTATTTTTCATAATCCATGTGCTTTTTTTCTTTCCAGCTACGCTACAAAGAAACATTCCAAAAGACCAAAGGGCGATACCACACTGTGAAGGATGCTTTGGATATTGTTTATCATCGTAAAGTCACCGATGATATCAGCAAGGCATGTTTCTAGAGATTCCTACTTGTGTCGGGCTCTGTAACCACCTTGTTTGCGGAGTTGGATGGGAGGGATCCTTGACATTGGATCCAGTGTCTTTCTACCAAGCTGCATATCCAGCCCCCTCCCCAGACAGCATCTCATTGAGTGTCAGATCCCTTAGGCTGGGCTCAAACTGGAGATCTTCCTGCCTCAGTCTTCCAGGGTGCTGGGATTATAGACATGTACCATCACTCCTGGCCCATCATTTTTAAAAAGAAAATTTTAAAAAGTGGCCTCCATTTTCTAAAGCCCCAGAGGCAAGTAGATGTTTTTACATTAACTTTGGTGAGACTTTATGACTGTCTTTGTATTTTTTATGACAGGTGAAATACAAGGAGAAGTACATGAGCCAGCTGGGCATCTGGAGGTCCATTCCTGATCGCCCAGAACATTTCCACCACCGGGCAGTCACAGATGCAGTCAGTGATGTAAGAGCTCACCTCTTCTATTCTCGCATAGAACTGCATATTCTCCTATGAATTATGAAACCAACCACTGCACAAAACCCCATGAAGCATTTGCCCAGATTCTAGATTTCATGTATGGATGTTTAAATTACAAAGTTCGATTGCTAAATGAGTAAACTTCAATTTGAAAGAAGGAAAAATATACTCAAATTTATAAACTTAATTTTTCTTCTAAATGTGTGATTTTACATGACTGGAAATGCTGTACTCCATCTATGAAACAAAGAGGCTTTATGGATCCACTGGAGAGATAATTGTATAGCACTACTAAGACATGTAACAGTGCTCATCTGGAAAGAAATTTCACCTCTCCCTATGAAAATATAGCTTCCAAGCTAATGATGCACTCTCTAGAAGAGTATACCTGTAAAATCTGAATTGCTTTAAACAGTAGTACAAATGAAAATTTCTACATACTATAAACAATGTACCATAAAATAAGCAGATATCAATATTACTAGAAGCATGTTAAATAGCCATTTTAATAATTCATTATTCTCTGTATTTTAGGACTCATAGATCCTAACCTAAAGCTATTTGGATATGTTCTTAAAATACTTTGATGATGTTCTTCTTTTTCCAGATAAAATATAAAGAAGACTTGAGCTGGCTTAAAGGCATTGGCTGTTATGCCTACGATACCCCTGATTTCACACTGGCTGAACAGAACAAGACTCTCTACAGCAAGGTACCTCTTCTCAAGAATACCTACAATCACTGAGCATCTGCTTGCACTCACAGAGCGCGTAGCGCTGACCGAATAGCCTGTCTTTGTTACTTCGCTGAGACAAAACACCTGACACCCACAAATTAGAGGAAAGATTTATTTCAGCTCAGTTTGTAGAGGTGTCAGGCCCTAATTGGCTGACTCCAAAGCAGGATGCCAGGGCACAGGGGCATCACAGAGGAGGAACAGTCCATGGCGGAGCCGGCGGGAGGCAGCACCAGCGGGCCTCCCTTTCCCTGTTATCCCATCCAAGCTACCGGCCTTTTGGGTGATGCCACCCACACCCACGGTGGGCCTTCCCATTCTCCACACCCAGCACCGTGCTGATCCAGTCAGTGGGCTGATTTAGTTATCACACCCTCGATCCACGTTCATACACGCTTAATCCTCATTCTCACACACTAGAGCAGCCACCTCCGAAAAGCCCCACCCATGAGCGCATGAGGCTTGGGGGCACCTAGATACAAACCATAACACAGCCTTTCGTATTTCCATCCCCGCCTGCACTTCTAGACCCTGTGACTGGAATACATGCTGAACTGTTCACTGTCCTAGGAATTTCTTTAGTATTAACCTCACTGACAACAGTTTATTTCAATTTGCTTGACTGATGACAAGTCGTCTTGGTACAGCTGCTCATGGCTTCTGCAGAATCCCCTCCATATCAGTACGTCTCTGGGTGACTTACCCTAACGGAGCTGATATATATGGCGGCAAACATAAAGCAGGGTTGCTATAATCCACAGTTGTACAACCTGAGAAAAATCAAGTTCTTATGGCCACATTTTCCCATTTACAAATTATAACAGCTGAATTTTCTTCCTTGAGTTCTGAAATAGGAGTCACAAAACTGTTTCAGTGAGTGACAGCTAGTAGATATTTCAGATTTTCTGGGCCATGTTCATTCTAGCATATATTCGTCTTTGTTTTTCACAACTCTTTAAAGTTGTGAAAATTCATTCTTAACTCATGGGGTTCTTTCAAAACAGGTGTCAGCTAAATGGGTCAAACTCTGTAAGAATATGATTATCTAATTAGTCATTAGAAAACTATACTTAAATTAAGGAATTAAAAACATGAAAGTACAGGCTGGGGATGTAGCTCAGCAGCACAGCGCCTGTCTGGCAAGCCCTAGGTCCTGACTTTGATTCCCAGTATCAAAAAAAAAATAGAAACAAACACATGAAAATACCTTCCAAGTAAAAAAATAACATAGAAACAAAAAAGAATTTGATTTAGATTTTAGCTGCACATGGGAAACAGATCTATTTAATATCCATTCAATGAAAGTGTTCTTTACAATGTATTTTTGGACTCTTTTTTCAAGACATCCAGCCAGGGCCAGGTATGGTGGCACACACCTGTAACCCCAGCACTTGGGAGACTGAGGCAGGAAGATTGCTGTGAGTTTGAGGCCAGCCTAGGCTGCAAAATGAGTTCAAGGCCAGCCTGAACTGCATAGTTCTCTGAATCCTGTCTCAGAGATAATAAATAAATAAATAAATAAATAAATAAAAAGCTGGCAAGACATCCAGCCAGGTCTCCCCTTCACTGCTTTGGAAGATGGAGTAAAAGTTTAGTAGATGACTGTACTTGGCGGTATTAACAAACAAGTGAATCTATGGATTAATTACCATAGTCATATAAGTAGCGTGTCTCATTCTTAAAGTATGATATGCTATTAAGTAATCATGTTCTTTTTGTCTAGTATAAATATAAAGAGGTATTTGAAAGGACGAAGTCAAACTTCAAGTATGTTGCTGACTGTCCAATCAATAGACACTTCAAGTATGCAACTCAGTTGATGAACGAGGTATGTATGAACAAATTCAACTAGGCGTACTCAACTCCTTTAGGAAGTTTACAGTTATTTGATTAAAATCCAGTGTTCTTTTAAAGTAGATATCTGGAAAGACGTATAATGTCACCAATGAGAGTGTCTGTCAAAAACCATGAAGGAAGCAGCAAAGACCCAGAGTTCCAGGTTAATTCAAAGTCCCAGGGCGACAGTGGTCAGGAGAGCCACGCGAGGGGCAGCGCTGTAACTCTCGCGTTCAGACATGTTGCCATGGTAACGCCCCACGTGTCAGCGCTTGCAGGCGTCCATCCACTCCAAGTTTTTCCTTCGTGTTCTGCCCAGTGTCCCTGTAACCATCCTCGCAATAACTTAATTCAGGATCGATGAAATAAGCAAGATAGGAATTTACTCGTGGTTTCATAATATTTAGATGGTTTTTCATAAAATTATATTTAACTTCCTCTTTTTGCACTTACATGGAATTCTGAGTTTAAAAATAATGTTCGAAAATTAGTAAAATATATCTCACATTGATAATGTAGCCGATGATATACATGTATATTTAAGTGTATGACATTTTATTGTTTCTTTCTATTTTATTTTAAATCTTGACTTAGTTCATCTCCGGTAGATTTCCAAGCTGGACGCTTCAAAAGAATTGCTGATGATAGCTTCCTGGGAAGGCAGTCTTGATATATTTTGTTTCTGTTTTTTTATTTAGCAAAGGATTTCCAGGTCTTTTTTTCATTAAATAATTTAACTAGTGTCCGGATATGTTAGGAGACTACCAGTTTTTCCATGAGGGTTTTAGCAGAAGTTCTGGCACTGGTATTCTCACATCCCTAGAGGGTAGCCCGTAGCTTATTAGTACCTTACTTTAAATACCATGTAAGGTGCCGTGAAACCTAAGGTCGCTAATGGCATCACGAGAAGACAGTGAATGCGCAGGCAGGGGGCACTCCGCCTCAGCTGCATAAATCGATCTGCCCCAGGCTCCAGCCCTCTGCGAGTGAGCTTCCTTCACTAGACTGTCTTTGCCTCCCTGCTTTTACTTTCCTGCTTTAAAGGGAACCTACTTTTAGAAATGACATATCTCTGGCTTTCTGGAATATTTAACCTGAGACATTTCTGTGTAGTCCTGAAGTTTTACTCTTGCTATAATTTGCTGTGATGTTTGAGCAGAAAAAGTACAGAGCTGATTATGAGCAGCGGAAAGATAAATACCAGCTGGTAGTGGATGAGCCTAGACATCTGCTGGCTAAGACGGCAGGCGACCAGCTCAGCCAGGTACTGTGATGGGGCCGGCCGGCCGGCCCACGCAGGACTGTGCTCCGGTTTCCATGAGGTGTCGTCCCGTCTGCTGCAAGGATGTCATAGGTTCTGCCTATGATATTGGACCGTGCTGTCTCAGAGTGTCTGTCCAGCCACCCAAAGAGCCGTGAGCTGTTTGAGTGAGCCAGTCCGCGCTGTGTCCTCACTTGTGCAGTGGTGAAGATGAAAGAAAAGCCGGGTCCTCGCAGAACTTACAGAACTTGTCTGTTTCAAAAAAAAAGAACTTGTTTGTAAACTGCAATGATAAACTGTCATTGAGTTAAAAAAAAAAAAAAAAAACAATGGAAGGAGAAAAAGATAGAACTCCCCACTATAATTCTCTGTTCCAATAATGCCTTCTCTGTACGGCAAGCCCGCTTGTTACTTATGCGAGACAAGCTATATCTGTCCCTTGGCGAGGACCGCTGACAGGCAGCTGCAGACATGCAGTCACCGTGCCTGGCGTTTCACGCGCTCGCTGTCTTCATCCACGTAGCCCTGTGAGCGCACCACGCGCGGCTGCTGCGTCTCCTCGCGCAGAGGTGACTGGGGTGGAGGGCCATGTTCCCTTGTCTTCATGAGTCTCTTTTGTGCTTCACTGCTCTTTGCATGAACAGAGAAAGTATAAATCTAGTGCCAAGATGCTTCTGAAACAAGGATGTAATGAAATTCTGCGTCCAGACATGCTGATGGCTCTCTACAACACATACATGTGGAGCCAGGTATGTCTGGAACGGTGTGAAGAAGGCCACTTAGCCCTCGGGTGCGTCCCCTCCATGCTTCCACTGGCCCCCGCCCTGCTCCTGCCCACGCCAGATTCACATGACAGAGCTGCGTAAACATCCACTGCTCATTACTGAGGTCTGAGACCTGCAACCACCATTTATACAGCTGACCCTGTGGGAGCGCCTAGCAAGATCGGCTGGGACGCTCCAAAGGTTACTTCCAAGCTGCTATAACATCAGTTTACATTTCTCATTATTTGCCTCAAAGAAATAGATTCCTTAGAGACTGAGGCTTCTTAGTAGATCCAATAGCACTTAAAAGTCGGAATAATGTTTTCACCTAATTTTCCCGTTGTCCAGTCACCACTGCAAATGTACCATTTGGGAGAAGCGAGGGCAGCCGTATGGCTTTTTGAATATTGCACATATTCACGGTGCCTTCTGAGGCTGATACTGGACTGCTAGGTGACTTCAAGAATATCCGTTTTCCCACACACCTGTTAACCATGCCACTGGTAACACCGTCTTCCCCGAGGCCAACTGAAATGCACACTACTATATTTCCATCAGAGGCTGACAGGCACATAGCAGTGACAACGGGGCTAATTATTAATTATCAGACACAATTTTAATAAAATGACATCTTCCCAAACAAAAAGTGGGTTTGTTTTTTTTTTTTGAGACAGGATCTTGCCATGTAGTTTAGGCTGGTCTTAACCTCACCATGTAGCCTAGGCTGGTCTTGAGCTTGGGAGGATCCTCCTGCCTCAGCCTCCAGGATTACACACATGTGCCACCATGCCTGGCCCCTGAAAAAGTTTTTAATCAGTCTTTTGTATTAGGCGCTTGTTTTACCATTTTGGTTTTCCATCAGACCAATGCATAGAATGAGGGTGAGCTCTTCGTAAACATTCTGTTTGCCTGAACCTTTTCCTTGGCCTTCATATGATCACTAAACACTTGCGCATGAACTTTTGCTGGGCTATCTGTATGTCTTGCTTCACACAGCTTATGTGCATGTAAAAATGGTGATTTGGGAATTACAAAAACAAATGTATTTTTTAATGGTAAATACTTCTCAAACAATATTGACCATACTCACCTTTTATTTTGCACCTGTATTTTATCTTTGATACTGAAAAACATTTTAAGACCACTTACGTGTTATAAGTGAAACAGCACTTAACACGGTCCAGAGAATAAGGCTTTGGCCCTGCCGGGAGGGTCCCTTCCATGAGCCCTTGCTCTGTCTCCTAACCTCTCAGGCCTCAGTTCGCTTCCATGTGTATCAAATGTATTGAAAAATATTATTATTCTCTGTTTACTACACTATCCCTATCAAGTACAAATTTATACCAAACATATCCAGTTAGGATTTAAAATAAAAGCCACCATGACACCGCCTCCCATGCTGGTGTTACATCTGATTTTGGAGAACTGACACCTTCTTCTCTTCTACAATCCAGATCAAGTACAGGGAAAATTATGAAAAATCAAAGGACAAATTCACTTCAGTGGTGGACACTCCGGAACACCTGCGTACAACAAAAGTCAACAAACAAATCAGCGACGTGAGTATGAGAACCCCTGTGCAGGTCCTCAGCCTTGGGGAGCATTTGAAAGTGTGAGGGGCCATTTTAGGGGGCCTCATCTGGGAGATCACAGCCGCTTGAGGGCGGGCATGGGAGGCCGCATGCCCACTCGGCACACAACTAACTCTTCACCCGAATGGGCGGACCGTCCAGTTGAGAAACACCAAGGTCTTGGCGGAGAGCCCGAGAATATGAGTTTATAGAATTCACCTTTCTTCACCTTCACCTTCCTGAAAAAGCTGTGCATTTACATCTTCACACTGTAACACGGGAAATACAGCGTGTGTGCTTTTCTTCTCCGTCAGATCCTTTATAAACTGGAATACAACAAGGCCAAGCCCAGAGGGTACACCACCATCCACGACACGCCCATGCTGCTGCACGTCCGCAAGGTGAAGGACGAAGTCAGCGATGTAAGTCCAGGGGCTGCCTTGGTTTCTCCTCTGTGCCACCGCCTGACCTGCTAGAACAAGTCCAGCTCCGTCACCCGGTCCGCAGTTACCGCCACCCAAAAGCCTAGTGGTTCACATAATAGGTGTTGCTTTGCTTGTGTCTCTGCAAGCTGACTGGGCAAGCGGAGTAGCCCTGTTCCCCATGCCATTGGCAGTCACCTGTGGTTCAGCCGGGCCAGGACATCCCAGATGGCTGCTTCGCGACAGCCAGCCCCAGTGTATGAGAACCACACTGAGGCGTTATTAAACTGAAGACAGATGCAGACGGACCCAGGGTTCCACAGAGTATTAGGGGGACTGACAGAAGCACAGTCCTAGAAAGCAGCAATACCAAGTGGATCCCTGCAATCTGGGCCAGAAGGAAGGGGATATATATTGGTCAGGACAAAAGGCACTTCATCCAAGCTAGAAAGTACCTGGTTTCTCTTAAGCCAGTATCACAGTGTCAGGTACATTCGTGGTACCAGGGTCTGACTGTGAAGCTACACATAGCACCCTAATTGTTTTGTCTATTTACGTACTGGAAACTCTGCAGGAAAAATTGATCAGAGTTATTCTGGGATAATCACGGGCGTTATGGCTCAAGATGGCTACAGTCTTGTCAAGCGGAATGTGTACAGTGCCGCACCACGCGGCTGGGGGTTGATGAGGGCTGTGGGCTGGGAGCGTGGCTCCTGTGACGGGGAAACCCTCCCATGTGACCCCAGCACAGAGCTTGAACATCTCACAGGACAGGGCTGGGTTCCAAGAGGTAGAAGTGAGAGGCTTCCGTATCAGTTCAGGGCTACTCCTGGAACTGGAATAGCACTATTTTTTCCAACTTTTACACACTTAGGTTCAACAGGTGTATTACCTTTCTAGCACTACAACAAATATCAGAGAGAGGTTGAGCTGTATAAAGAAAGGGTCTATTTTGGCTCACAGCTTAGGAGATTTTAGTCCATGAGCAGTGGGGCCCTGTTACCTTGGGCTCCTGGTGAGATACCACACCACAGCTAAAGAGCACGATAGAACAAAACCGCTCACCTTGTGCCCAGGACGCAAAAGAGAGGAGGGGGCGGGGTCCCACCGTCCCCTTCAAGGTCACTAGACCACACCTCTTCAAGGCCCCCCACTTCCCAACAGCACTGTGGGCCAGGAACCACGCCTTTTACATGTGTGCATTTGGGGGACCTCCCAGATCCGAGTTATGAAAGAAGTCAAGGGACCCACACGCACTGTGGACGGACAAACGGCAAAGTGACACTGCAGAAGAGTGTGTGAAGTGGGAGAGACTGTTTAGGCCGTTCAAAAACATGCAGTCTCCCACAGATTTATCTTGACTTAAAGAGACAAACTAGCTGTTGCAGTCTAATACTCGGAATCTGAGGAGAAACTGCATTCACACATTTCCAGATACTTGGCTTGCTTCCGTGGTTGAAAACTATCATCCTTTTCATTGATTAAAAAATTAGGGCCAAGGGGCTGGGGATTTAGCTCAGCGGCACAGCGCCTGCCTGGCAAGCGCGACGTCGTGAGTTCAATTCCCGATACCGGAAAAAAAAACAAAAAATAAAAATAAGTTAAAAAATTAAGGCCAGGAAGATAGCTCAGCAGCACAGCAGCTGCTTGGCAAGCTCAAGGCCCTGAGTTTGAGTCCCAGTACCCACAAGAAAAAAAACTTAGTGTTTCAGAGAATTCTATGGTAACCTGAGCTCTGAGGCACCAGAAAGAACAGTACAGGCGACTGTGGAATAGCTCATCCCTACCCCAGAGCCTTGGCTACCGCTGGTGCTCAGGAGCCCTTGATAGGCGGATGAATAGATGCATCCACACTGCTGACCTGGAGTCGTCATGAGAACCAGTTGAACACATTCAGCTCGTTGGATGAAGAAGATATGCATAAGGCATCTGAGGAATGTAAAACACGTTAAAACAAATTTTGGTCCTATAAGCAAGACTATCAGGTGTTATAAACATCTATCATGTAGGTTCCCTATGTGAAACAGTCCATTTTCTAACATTGTAGAGGAAAAATTATTTCTACGTCCATTTTCCCAAACTTTCTCATTGTAAAAGTAGCCAGGTGTGCTGATGAAAGCTATGCATTTCCAGGCCTTCTCCCTAAAGGTACTGATGTGTAGAACTAGGTCCGTAGCATAGCCCAGGAAATTGCTGATTCTTATGATCAGTTTAGCATACCCTACTTTGTCCCACTTAGCACAGGTTCTCTTCTCTTTAATCACATTAAAACCTAGAATCCTTACCCCAAAATTCATGAGAAAGCCCGAACTGGAAGTCAGGACCATGAAATTTAAGAGAAGCGAAAGTGAGGGGACATAGAAGTCCTCAGAGGACAGGAAAGCGCCCTCCCCTCCCCGCCCCCGACCTCCACGCCGCACCTGCTGCACTCACTCTAGCACGAACAGCAGCCACCCGCCCGCTCCCTCACTCATTCGTTCAGCCAGACTGGCTTCTAGGTGCAGATGCTAGGAGTGCGAGGATGAAGGAGGCAAAACCTTTGCTCGTGGGTTCCGCGTAAGAGAATAGACGATGAGTAATTGCAGCGGGCCGTGTCCACAGCAGGAGATGTGAGAGCAGAGGAGAGGAGGACTGAATCTCACCCTGGTGAGCAGGCAGGGTGTGGCTTCCCTGCTATCAGCAGTTTTCGAGCTGTTCCAGACTCGTGCTTTTCCAACTTGGAAAAGGGGAACTGTGCATGGATAGCTGTGCGGCCGCACTTTTCACACAGCCCTGCGGAGGCAAACCCCGCGGCACGGTGACGGCCACCCTCACAGTGCCCCGGGAGCTGCTGCTAAGGTCTGAGAGAGGAATGCCCGTCCTGCTTAGACACGTTCTTCCTTTGCAGAATTTACAACAGTATCCTACTATAGCAAGCATTGTGTTTTAATTTCTTAGTTTTTAAAGTGCTTAGTAGCTGCTGCGGCAAATGATGATTGTCACTCCGCTTCCTCCCACAGCTGAAATATAAAGAAGTTTACCAAAGAAATAAATCTAACTGCACCATCAAACCGGACGCTGTTCATATCAAAGCAGCCAAGGATGCCTACAAAGTGAACACCAATGTAAGTCCCAGGAGTTTCTCTGCGCTCCTAAAGCTCCCAGCTGTTCATATCAGAAGGGCAGTTAAAGTCCAGTGTGAGTTTTGGAGTCTTAACCACAGCGAAGTCTGGCGGGTCTTCATCCGCTCTGGCAGGGCCTGCGGCCTCCTTCCACTTCTCTTCAGGTGGGTGAGCTCTAGGGCATCCACATCAAGGGTTAGGTCCTAGGAGATGAAAGCAAACCGTGCCTTTGGTCCTCACAAAGGTGCACGCTGAGTAAATAGCAAGGTGGCCTCCCCTCGTGGCCCGGCTGGGACACCCCGTTGGCCTTTTCGGTGGATGGCTGTGGAGCAGGACATTTCATTCCACAGGCTGCACTGTGGGAAGTGTCTCAGCATCTGTCACTTCCTCCCCCTGGGCTCCCTGCTGCCTAAACTCTAGAGTCCGCTTCCTTCTGAAGCAGAAAAGCTCTGAGCGGCTGGGTCTCCACGGGGGCGGGCCCAGACCTTCCTCCTGCTCGGCTGCTCCTGCCCCGCCTGCTCTCTCTGGGTGGAGCGTCGTAAAGCCTCTACCACAGAAACCGTTCCATGCATGTAGACAGCTGACTGACTTTTTAAAAAATACGTAAGTGGTCAGTACAGTGAAACCATTGCAGTACAGCTGACGCTCACGCTGGTCAGAGAGAACACACTGACGGCGGCCGGCAAACGGAGGCGCCTGCAGGAGCTGGCGGACAGCTCGCAGGCGTCCTGAGACTGGACCGCTGGGCACGGAGGGGTGCGGGTGTGGGAGAAAGCCGCTGTGGTGAAGGGTACCCCATGGAATGCGGGTGTGGGCGTTCTCTGTCATCAGACGACCTCTGGCCGGTTATCTGAATACATGGCACAGACTTTAACTAGCGACCTCTGTTACGCAAGAATTACGATGTGCGGTGTTAAAGATGCAAGAGTCCCTCATGGCCTTGTGTGTCTGTGAATTCCGCCTGACTCGTTTTCTATCATTCTGAAAACAGCTGGACTACAAGAGGCAATACGAATCCAGCAAAGCCTACTGGAAGTGGACCCCTGACCGGCCGGACTTCCTCCAGGCTGCGAAGGCGTCCCTGCAGCAGAGCGACGTAAGAGGGGAGATGCAGACACAGCGGCCCCTCCTAGCGCTGCTGTGGTCGGGGGCAGAGGGGGCAGAGGGGAGCGAGCCTGGCCGCCAAGCCCACCGTCCTGCCGCTGCACCCAGACATGGGGCTCCATCGTGACTGCGGCTGGTGACACCCTGGGGAAGGGCAGGGTGGGAAAGCTTGGTCCTGGGTCCTAGGAGGGAAAAGAGAGCCCAGCCTGCTGTGAGAGCCAAAGCTGTCCCTTCATGGGAGGACATGGCCTCACCATCCCCCCAGGAGGACTCCCTTACGTCATTCAAATGACCCGCTTCCTCCTGGGCCTGGGACCCACTCTGTTGTCGCTTCTCTTCCTGCACAGTTTGAATACAAGTTGGACCGGGAGTTCCTCAGGGGCTGCAAGCTCTCCGTCACTGACGACAAGGACATGGTGCTGGCCCTCAGGAACTCCGTGATAGAAAGCGACGTGAGTATCCGGTGTCTTCCACTGGGCGCAACTGCCTCGGGCCCATCCTCTGTGGCACAGTCCCAGGGCCACCCAGGAGAGGAAAAAGAAGGGCAGAGCTGTGGGAGCTGAGGTGTGGTCCTGAAACGTGGCCCTGCTCTCTGTGGACACCAGTCATGTGGCCGCGCCCGGCGGCAGCCGCGCAGAGGCTGTGAACCCAGGTGGCACCTCCGTCTGTGCAGCGCCACCAGCACTCACGGGGCGCAGACGGGGAACCCGAGAGCCCGCTGCGTTCCGTGTAATGTTCTTCTCTTCTGCGGCACCACATGCTTCCCCTGCTGCAGTTCTCTCACCTGTAAAGAAAAAGTAACGCCTCCCGGGCTGACAGGAAGGCCAAGTGACGCATGTGAACATGCTTTGAATGAATGTCTATCTATACAGAGAACCACTGGGTGACACATCTTGATTGTTATTAAAACCTCACCTCGCAAGTGATAAGCAACAACCTCTTGTGGGTATTTCTCGGGATTTCTAAGCATCAGGATCTTTCAATGAGTTGTATAATCTCAGTTTGTCAACAGTGCTATTTGGCCAGCTGTAATCTAGCGATCTGGGGGCTTAGTAAAAACTGTGCTCCCACCCCACACAGCTGAAATACAAGGAGAAACACGTCAAGGAAAGAGGAACCTGCCACGCCGTGCCTGACACTCCTCAGGTCCTCCTAGCGAAGACTGTCAGCGACCTGGTGTCCGAGGTAACCCTCCAGCAACCATACTTGCAGCCTGGCTAGGTGCAGGCCCCAGGCAGACACTGTAGTAATCTCCCCGTGGATTCCCACAGAACAAGTACAAGCGCCACGTCAAGAAGCACCTGGCCCAGGGCTCGTACACGACGCTGCCGGAGACCCGGGATACGGTTCATGTCAAGAAAGTGACCAAGCACGTCAGCGATGTAAGTGGCCAGCCACAGCGCTCTGGCAGCAGCACAGGGCTTCACCTGAGAGTCTGGGGGAGCCGGGCACTGCTCTTTGGTTACATAGCTTTACACAGCTTCACTCTGACCTTCAACATTCACACGCGAACCCTAAACTCTGGCTTAACATATTCGGTGCTTATTTTTCTAGTTACGGTAATTACGCCAGGGGAGGGTTCTGCATGGTCACGTTATCTAAAAATACAAGCCGCCGTTAGTCGTGCTGATGACTGGAGGGGGCGGGGCTCATTAAGGGTGTCCTGTGGTTGGACCTCTGTACTGTTTTATTTTTTAATTCCAATTCTGTTTACACTCCTGTGGAGCCAGGGCACACACAGAGCACGGCCCGGTGCTCCTCGTCCCTTCCCTCCCTTCCCCTCTATCTCTTGACGCCCTTCTCCTCTGAGAAAGCTCCGTCGCCACACTCCCTATTACCTTTCATTTTGCTCTTCATCTATGCCGTGGGCTTCTCACGTAAGAGAAACCGCGGGTATTTAAGCTGTGTGTCTGACGAGCTTCTCTTACCGCTGTGACCTCAGGGAGAGCCGCACGGCTTTAGAGGGTGAGGTCCCCTTTTTGCGCTCCTGCCATCCTTTCCCACGCTAACGTTACTAGCAGTATTGTGGCAATCCTGTGTTATCCTTATGTGTCACACATGGCCTCATAAATTTTTAACAGGTAGAATGGTGAGTAGAGTTTATGTGCTCGTCCTCGGTTCTCCAAAGGTCGCTGGATGGCCCTGGGACTGTGTTTCAGGACAGAAACACGGAGAAGAAGCGAACCGTGGGCCGGAGGTCCAAGTACCGCAGTGCGGCCACGCTAGGGGAGCCCGGGCTTTCCTGGCGGTCTCAGGGCTCTTCAAGTAAGTCACTGCTGCTCCCAGCTTCCTTCACTCACGTGAATACTTCTGACTCTCTTTAGACAAATTACAAGAAGAAATTTGTCAAGGAGAAAGGGAAGTCCAACTACTCCATCATGCAGGAGCCTCCGGAGGTGAAGCACGCCATGGAGGTGGCCAAGAAGCAGAGTGACGTATGTCCCCCCGGCGCTCCCAGCCCCGTTGGTGCAGCGGGTCCCAAACGGGCGCCCGCCCCCCTTCCAAAGCGCGCTGGCCCTCAGCTCTGCGGGGCGGCGGGGCGGGGATTTGCTTTGAGTGGAAAGGTTGTTTGATGCCCACTGAGGACCTTGGGAAGACAGTGTATCTCAAGAGAGTAAGCATTTTCTTCCCCGCGTAAAGGTCGCTTACAAAAAAGATGCCAAAGAGAACCTGCACTATACCACGGTGGCCGACCGGCCGGACATCAGGAAGGCCACGCAGGCAGCCAAGCAGGCCAGCGAGGTACGGGCGGGGGCTTCAGGTCCCGGGCGGTCTCGCCAACAGGAGGAGGAGGTGCCTATTGCCCAGAGTGCATCACCGGCTTGGGTTTCTTTGATCCAGGTGGAGTACCGAGCCAAGCACCGCAAGGAAGGCAGCCACGGCCTGAGCATGCTCGGCCGGCCGGACATTGAGATGGCCAAGAAGGCGGCCAGGCTGAGCAGCCAGGTACCGCGGGCCGCACGCGGCGCTCCGGGTGGGGAGGCGGGGACAGCCGCGGGAAGAAGGGACTCCCAGAGTGCGGTGCGAATCGCAAGCGGAGACGCGCTGGTTTCGGAGTGCAGTGCGGAGCTGGGGAAAGCACCGTGTCCGGCGCCGTGCTTCCCTCTAACCGCGCTAGGCCTGTCCTATTCCTACTCTGCCACTTACGGGTATGCACCTGAGCGTCTGCGTGCTCAGCATCGCCGAGTGCCGAAGGGTGCCTCGCTCCAGACGGTCAGACTCACGCCGCGAGGGCCTGACGCACACCCGAGTCACCTCCGAGGCCCGTTAACACACAAAGGTCATGCAGTTCCAGCTTCTCAAACCCAACCACGCCAAGCTTTTTCTTTTTGTGGGCGGGTAGGTAGTGGTAGTGCTGGGTAACCCAGGGCTTTGTGGGTGCTAGGGCAAGTACTCTACCACTGAACTACATCACCAGCCATTCTTAGTTTACTTTGAGACATAGTCTCACTGTGTGGCCTAGACTGACCTCAAACTTGCAATCCTCTCGCCTCAGCCTCCTGAATAGGATTACAGGCGTGGGTCACCATGCCTGGAAGGAACCTCTGTTCTTTCATTCAACATTCATATAGCGAATGCCTGGGCTAGGCACTACACGTTCAGAGTGCACATCTCTGGATAACTAATTACAGTCTGCTGTGACGAGCGTTTGATCAGGAGTGCTCAGAGAGTGCTTCCTTCCCGCAGATTTCAGATGACTGAGTGGAAGCTGGACACAGAAATCTGCTGTCCAAAACTGACTGCCACGTTACCTAAGTTCCCTCGATCGACCAGTTATCTAGCCTCAAGTTGGGACAGGTTTTCAGACTTTACTCAGAGACTCCTACTACTAGCTCTTGCAGGCAGCATATTTTGTTCTGTAGGATGTGAGCTCAAGAGTATCATCTTTCTCCTCCAATTTGGAGATCTTCCCTTCATCTTCTTCATTGTCCGTTCTCTTCAAGTATCTTAGTAAATGGCTTTGGGTTGCGTACTTCTGGTTGTTGTATGGACTGACTTTCAGCAATACCAAAGATTTGTTTTACAGTTTTTGTATTTGAAATTTGTGTGCAGTATTTTTATTATAAGTTAATGCAATCATATAACCATTTGAGACCAAAAACAAAAAATAACAAAACAATAACAAAAAATAGTGGAATCTAAGAGTAAATCAAATGTTCCAAGAACTTATATAAAAATTTTAAAAAATATTTTCAGTTTCTAAGGTCATATCAAGTTTAAAAAATGACTTTAATGTGGAAATTTTGGAAAACTTCACTGTTTTTAAAAATCAAGAGGCTCATATTTCTAATCTAAGTGAATCCTCTGTTATGAAGAGTAGGACGCAGCAGGATCTTTTTATGAGCTCGTCTCCCTGGGCTCGTCTCCTGTGAAAGGCTTGCCTCAGGTTTGACAGCTTCATGGTGTGGCCTGCTGCCCCCGGGGGGCCTCAGCCCTGTGTGGGCTCTGCCCGTGCTGACGTGGCTGTCTCGCTTCATGCCCTGGGCAGAATACTCCTTAGGCCAAAGGAGAAGGCGTGGCACAGAACCGCATCTTGTGAATGCACTCCTCAGCCAATGTTCCTGTCTTTCTCTTTCTCTCATCTACTTTCTTGGCTTTGCCTGATTCAGTTGCACCTTTTTCTGTTGATTTTACGTGGAAACGCGTAGAATGCTGTGGAAATGTGTAGAAGGAGATACTGTTATACGCACCTCTTTTTGCCATGTGAAATTTTCTCTCAGGTGTGTACTTGGAATAAGAAGGGAGATGAGGTGTGGAAAGATAGACTCTGTACACTTCGGATTGCTGACACTTGATCAAATTAAATGATGAAACACAAACTGAGAATCTCATCTCCAACTGCTGTAATAAATATTTGCAAGGGAAACAATTTAATTCAGGACACATAATTTATAGGGTTATTTCATAATATTCACCCAGAGTCAAATGCAAAAGAGTGCAGATCTGTCCACACACTAGAGACCCAAAGAATCCAGCTGAGGGCCTGGATCCCACAGGATGTCCTGCACAAGTCCAGCTGAAGATCTAGATCCCATGACAGTGCGCCCCACAAGTCCAGTTGGAGGCCAAGAGCTCACAACAATGTTTCATGCAAGTCTGTTTCAGGGATCTGCACTGGGAAGGCCCAGAGGTCAGTGGTGGAAGCTAGAAAGTCTGTGCCAGTGGGATGAAGGATCTGTGCCAGCAGGCTGAGGGATCTGCACTGGAGCCAGGAAGCAATGCTTAAAGTAAGGACCCGAGCTCCCTCGAAAAGTACCACAGCCATCTCAGTGACAACGAGGTCTGAGCTCCTCCAATGAGTTCATATCAGGAAAGCCAGTGCGACAAGCTTCTCCAGGAGAATGAACAGCCACCCTCTTCCCCTCCGGTTCTCTTTTTATGCTGCTGGCAACAATCCTCAGGTCGGCCCTGAGGTCCCCACACCCAGCACCACGCTGGTTTAATTCAGCTGCGTATTACAAGTTGACCACCAGGTGTCAATCCACCATACCAACCGTACGAAGAAAACCTCTGTTTCTTCCGAAGTTATTTACCATCGCTGGAATTTCAGACACTTAAGTCTGTTAATTGCTGCAGTCTCTCAGTGTAGACGTACTGTGAATCAACAGGATAAACCACACTTTTGACTCAGCTTTTACACTCTGTTTTACAGTCTTCACAGTAAGAACTGTTAGTCTATGTATCAGTATATAAGTATATTCTCTGAAGAACTCCCAACAATTAGATGTTAGACTGCTTCCAAAAGCTTTGGAAAGATATTTAATTCGCAACCACCCCCTACAATATACCCATACAGGCCCCATGTCTGCGCCAGATGGGATGGCGGATACTGCCCTGGCCCTTGCTAGGCCTGGCATCGCAGTCACTTCACAGGCTTCCGTGGGTTACAGGAGAAAGGGTCCCGTGCACCCTGGCCACTTGGCCCAGCACCATTCTACGCTTCCTGCCGTCCTGGACCCTTCAAGAGGCGGTAGTCCTTGAGGAGGCCCAGGCGCGAAGGGAGGCCCCAAGTGCCGGCTCAGGTTCACGTTAGCAGCTGTGTGAGGCTGTGTTTGCACCGTCTTCTTGTGGAGGCATCGACCTTTTCGTAAGTTGGAAATTTAACTTGAAGTTAAAGAAACTGCAGGGAAACACATGGAATTGCTGCTCCTCAGAATAAATATATCTTCAGACCTGAGTTGGCCTCTACGGGATGGAAGAGGGCTTCCGGTGTACTCCTAGAAGCACATTTTGTTCTCCCCGGGGATGGGCCTCTGCCCCGCCCCCCACGCACGCGGGTCTGACTGCACGTGTGGTGACTTCCTCGTGGGCGCTGCACGCTTTCGGGGGGCAGCCCCTCTTCCGGGGTTCTGTATGTGGACGGAGGAGTTGCGTTCTGGTCCAGACGCCGGGCCCCGCCTCCGACTTCCCCGGCTCCCGGTCTGCCTGCCTCGAGAGCGAAGGTCTTTCAGGGCAGAGCTGCTGCGGCACAGCTCACACCGCGTCCCGCGGCAGCACAGCTCCCCGGTCCGCCTCTGTGTGTCGTCTCAGCTGCCCCCCTAACCTCCGCGCGTGCCGGGCTGGTCCCTCATTCCCACTCCGGACGGATGCAAAGCAAAGGGATCTCAGCGCTGCCACCGCCCCCAGGCAGCAGGTTTCCCTGGTCTCTCTGTGTCCCTCCTGCTGCGTATGCCAAATGTGGGGCGGGGAGCACCTTCAGATGCCCACGGCGGAGTGTCCCAGCTCGGTCCTGCCAAGCTGACCTTGGATGAGGGAAGCTTTCATCTTACCAGTAACCACACCTCGAGGCTTCCCTGAGAGTTCAGTATTGCCTGTTAGCTAGCTAACCTGTACAAACAGCTCCTTTCTATTCTCCCTAGAGTGAATAACAAGTGGGATTCTACTTCTGCTTCTGGATTTAATCCTCCAATATTATTGACAAAGGAATCGGTCTGTTTTTTTGTTTTGTTTTGGTTTTGGTTTTTGAGACAGGGTCTCACTATGCAGTTCAGGCTGGCCTTGAGCTCACTTCGTAGCCCAGGCTGGTCTCAAACGCACAAGGTTCCTCCTGCCTCAGCCTCCCGGGTGCTGGGATTACAGGCGTGCGCCACCACACCTGGCAGTGTTTTTCTTTAAAGAAAAGTTTCTGTCTCTTAGTTGTTCAGTTTACTTCTCCTACAAGTCATTTTCTTTGACATTTTACTTGGGCATAATGACTGTCTCTTCCTTGCATGCAGCCAAAACATTTTTTTTGAGCAACTATTAGTGCCACACATTATGTTTATTTTTAAATTGAGTTTGCAGTCAAAGTACTATTCTCAAATAAGAATAAATTCCCCTAAGGTACGAGGGTCTTATTTCTCAACCCTCCCGATCACTTGCAGCCCCTTTTCCGGTTCCGCACAGTAGGCTGGCATTGCTTTGGGTTTCGTGCGTTAGTGCGAAATGCTTCAACTGCACCAGATTGTGTCTCTGAGTTCAGCCGATGCCTTTTCCCCTTTTTATTGTGCATTAAAAGGAGATGGCTTTCACTCCCCAGATAATATAAAGACGGGCTGGATTCCCAATGCTCCAGCGTAATTATCCGCTATAACAGTGCCCCTTTCACTCTGAAAAATGTCCTAGTGTGGGCAACAGACGACCCAATCTCTTCTGTATAACACATGCATATTCCTTGGCATTTACATTCCCGCCCTTCCACAGTTCCTAGATCGGCTGACTTTCAGGAATAATGTGGGTGTTTGATTTTCTGTTAGATTAAATACCGAGAAAATTTTGACAAAGAGAAGGGCAAGACACCGAAATACAACCCGAAAGACAGCCAGCTCTATAAGACCATGAAAGACGCGAGTAATCTTGCGAGTGAGGTACGTTTTCTGAAACTGCGATAAAACAGTATAACATGTATTTGTCACGTAGCCGTGTTGAAGGGTGTAACCCAACAGCATTAATTACACTCATGTTGTTCAGCTATCACCGCTCTCCGCAAAGCGGTTCACCGTCCCGACCAAAATCTCCGTAACTCGGTCCCTTCTCCCCACAGCTCCTGGCAGCCTCTCCTCTCCCTCCTGCCTCTGTGTGTTTACTTTTTACAGATTTTATGTTAGTGGAATCATATAACAGTTCTCCTTCTGTGTTTACCCTATTTTACTTAGTGAAATATTTCCATAGCGTAGCATGTATCGAAACCTCATTCCTTATGTTGTGTCCTTTCATCTGTTGGTGACACTTGGGTTTTTCTTTCCTTTGGCTGCCGGGAACAAGGGGTGACCTTTATAACTATATCTAGCATTTGTTTCAGGAGGAAATACCCCGGGCACACGTTTCGTTAGTGCTGTTCTCTATCTGTTTCTCATTTATGTCGTCTCCTTTTTCCTCCCCCAACACCCAGGTTAAATACAAGGCTGACCTGAAGAAACTTCACAAGCCTGTGACTGACATGAAGGAATCGCTGATAATGAATCACGTGCTCAGCACAAGCCAGCTTGCCAGTTCTGTAAGCTCAGTCGTCTGCTCCAGACGCACCTGGTTTCCCCCGTGCAGCTCAGGTCCTTCCCTGAGCGCCCCTGCACCCCTCCTCTGCGGCCGACGCCCGAGATGCGTCACGGCACTGCTCCATTTGGGTGCGCTAGCCCAGCGACGCCACTAACCCACCCGCTCTCCACCGACTGTGACGCCTCTCAGCACAAATGCTTCTATTTTTGAAATATTTGAACTTTCCCCCCAATTAACCACCCCTTTTCCTCCTTCCATGGACATCTGAAAGAGCTTCTTTCACTGTTAACTTTTAACACCTCCTTTGAAGAAGCCCTACAGCTTGAGCGTTTTTATCTGGTGTTAACTGGCAATACTAAACCTGGCTCTTCATCGTTTAAATTTCCTTCTGAGTCCTTTATTGAGTGTTTGCTAATTTGAGTTTGGTCTTGGCAATGCTGCTGTGAAACGTCTAACCCAAAGAGGAAAACTAGCAGCCCGAGCGGCCTTTTGACCCACGTGCCTTCCCCGCCCCCAGTACCAGTACAAGAAGAACTACGAGAAGAGCAAAGGCCACTACCACACGATCCCGGATAACCTGGAGCAGCTGCACCTCAAGGAGGCCACAGAGTTACAGAGTATAGTAAGTGGACCGCGGCAGCTCGCCCTCCCACACGCCGTCCCGACAGGGCCAGCACTCCTCACGGGCTCACTCGCGGATGGGAGATGCTTCTCGTAGCGGTACACGTTTGTAGTGTACGAGGAGTGCAGTGATTGTGGGAGCTGGTACTTGTACACAGCACAGCTTAACTCTTCTTTCTGCTTGGTTTTGGTTTTGGTTTTTCACCCCGACCTTTCCTCTCCCTCCTGCTTCTTCCAGCCGCTGGGTCCCTTCCCGTTGGCAGAGGCTCTGTTCTTTAACCATCTTTTCCGTCCCCTTTCCCTCTCCACCCTCCTCAGCCCCGTCTCCCGTTCCCTCATCCACCTGAAAAAGATCTCCCCACCTGCTCTTCGTCTATTTTGTGCACGCGCTCTCACATACACATGCTCTTTATATATCCTTATTGCCATATGTCTTTTAATACTTACTGTTTGAGGACCCTGCGCAGGATACAGGAGTTTGAATTTAGAAACAGCTTGAAATAAATTGTTATAAATGGAAATATTATTTACCTGTAGGGGAGAAATATACACGCAGTATATTCAAGTTCTGACAGGAGGTGAGGCGCACGTTCGGCAGAGACGAAGCCCTCACACAAACTCCCATCTCTTCTTGGGTCTGCATCTCAGGACAGGAAGTACCAACGGACGGCAAGGAGTCCTGGGAGGGTTTTAATAGGAGAGATGACACGGTCAGCCCCACCACTGAAGGGATCTCTACATATTTAAGAAATTGTTAAATGTATCAAATAATTGATGATTTTCGGAGGAAAGAATTTGTCATCACATGACCTCTGTCTCACAAGTTATTTAGCCGCCCTTTGGACATTCATCAGAGGGAGAAAGTACTAGAAGTGCCCTCGCTCCTGCGAAAGGCAGCGTGTGCCCTGGGCCTCTATTCTGAGGTCTCGTTAGGGCCCCGAGAGCTGACTGAGCAATGCCACCGAGGTGCTGCGTGAACAAAGGCCTTCGCCTCCCTCTCAGCTTTCCTCTGTGAAATCCAAATATTCACATGGCTCCCCCATTTCCAATTACATCCTGTGAGGAAATTATATTTGTAAAATAACAGAGAGAAGCTTATGGAACTATCGGGCATATTAATAACTCAGTCAACACGTAAACTAGTTTCCATTTCCATACTGATATATTTTGACTGCATTAAATATATGACCCACTGTGGCCCAGAGAATTGTTTACTTATAAACAAAGCTGTATGTGTTATCTGCTCAGTCCAAACCCCAGGTCTCTGCTGGGAGTGGTGGTGCACGCCTCTAATCCCGGCACTCAGGAGGCTGAGGCAGAAGGTTCGCTGTGCGTTTAAGGCCAGCCTGAATTACATAGTGAGGCCTTGTCTCAAAAAAACCAAAACCAGAAACAAAACAAACAGGTCTCTAAAAGTTCTTATGAAATAAAAATGGAGATTTTTAAACATCAGAAACATTGGCTAAATATATCAAAGTGTTAGCATTTCCATATGAAATCTTCTCCAACCTTACGTATGCGTACGCTTCTCTGCATATTTCCCTGCAGCAGTACTTCTTTCAGCTGATTCTTGTCAGCAGTCCTTGGTCCCCTTGAATTGAGTCTAAGTCCTGGTTATACTCCCTGCACAACCCAGGCAACAACAAAAAGGTCCTGGATCTGAAAGACAACCACAAACTGCAGTGGCAGTGAGGTGACCCTACTGGCCATGATGTATCGTTTCAAAAGTACCGTCTTTAAACTCGCTTCTGACTAAAAATAACCAGAGAAGTGTCTGACAAGGCTTTTCATCACCAGGTGAAATACAAAGAAAAATATGAAAAGGAACGAGGAAAGCCCATGCTGGATTTTGAGACGCCAACGTATATCACTGCCAAAGAATCTCAGCAGATGCAGAGTGGGGTAAGCTCTACACACACACACACACAAACACACACACACACACACACAATGGCACCATGACACAGTGACTACAGACCCCGCCGACAAAGGCAGCCAGCTCCTCCGTACCCAAAAGTGGTCATGCTAGAACTTTTTAACATGTGATTCTAAAATCTTTTTCATTATAGAAATCCCCCAGTTTAGTTATAAAAAGTGTTCGAAATAGGAGAGAGCTACCATTTATGATTTATTTTAACAAGCATTTTCATAAAATGAAAACACAGCCAACTATTAACACTGAAAAAATTATACTGAATATAATTTAAATTTTTCCTCGATAAATGAAAAGTTCCCTCCACGCAGATGTATCATTCACCTTGAAATGCTGTCTACTCCCAGTAGGATGCGCTAAGTCAAACAAAAGGGGATCAGTAATCAAGATGTATACCCAGACCCCAGAAAATCAGAAGTCAAGGCGCCATACTTCCTGTTCTAGAACTGGAAGTGGAGGCGTCAAGTTTTCTTTCAGTTTTAACCACAAGCGCAAAGAATGGGGTCCTAGACAGGGAATGGGAGCTTAGAGAGTCTGTTTCATCGGGAAACGGGCCATTTGGAATTTCTGTTTGCCTCTTCTCCAGGGGGACCTCTCCGCAACTACACAGATAAATGGTTTTTGACCACAGTAGCAGTTTGTGGAGCTTAAAAGCTTAAAAGAGTTTCAGATAACTGGTGAATCCAAGTAAAGTCTCTATGGGAGCTCTTTGTACTCACAACTTTCTGTAAATTTAAAATCCTACTAAGATTAAAAAAAATTGAAAGGGGCTCATCCGAGATTCTCAGCCTCAAAGTTTCCTTGGGGGTGTTCACTGTAGGCAGAATATTTCCAGGACAATCAGACAAGTGTCAGATGTGTGGCCATTAGCAGAACCGTGTGTTCAGGGCCATGTTGACATTTTTCTTCCTAGGACTGAGAGATAAATTACTAAAACGAATTTCTTTAACTTGTCTTTCCTTCCTACCCGCATTAGAAAGAATATAGGAAGGACTACGAAGAGTCCATTAAAGGCAGAAACCTCACAGGCCTGGAGGTCACGCCAGCCTTATTACATGTCAAATACGCAACCAAAATAGCGAGCGAGGTAGTGGCCACTTGGTCTTTTCTCTCCCTCTTGATCCAAATAATTGCACTAATTATTGTACACTCATCGGCGTATCCCTGCTGTCCCGCCACCACCTAACTCCGAGTTTCAGGTTGATTCACGTGTGCTTGGCACTACCACCTAATCTGTTACCCTCAACTTCCTCTCATTTCTCAGGGAACACCTAATGACAGTGTGCTTACTCTAGCCTTCTATTAATTCCTATCTTTTGTTTGATATTTGATATTAACTGATGGAGCTTACACCCTGCCTTTGACTACATCTTAACCGCGAGCTGTTAGACACGGGCAGGGTTGTTTCCTGGCTTTGCTCTGCACCGAGAGGACAGCCTAGGCTTTCCTGCCGTTACTGTTGCTTCTGCTCTGTAATCCAGAAAGAGTACAGGAGAGACCTGGAGGAGAGCATCCGCGGAAGGGGCCTCACGGAAATGGAAGACACCCCTGACATGGTGCGAGCCAAGAACGCCACTCAGATTCTCAACGAGGTGAGCCACGGCCAGCCGCGCGCCGCCTTATCCCGGGGTCTCTGCCTCGCTCCAGCTCCACCAAAGACGCACCCCTGGGGAGAGGCGGAGCTTTCCGGCTGCTAATTCCAATCTGCTAGTCCAGATTACTAACTAGGAAATACGTATATGTCAGTGTCTGGTGAATGTAATTATTTATCTAATGTTATTTGATCTAACCTCGATACGGTTGGTGTGCTTAGTCAAGTTAAAACACAACACTGGAGTGATGTGCTCTCAGATTTAATCCTAGTTACGTAGCAAAGCAGATTTAAAATTTGCTTTTTATTTTAGCTTTCTAAGTAGAGAATGAGGGAGGCGTTGGGAAGGAGGGCTGTGCTGACTCACACTGAAACGCAGAGGTGTCTCCTTCCATGGCTTTTCCCTAGCCCCAGTCCATCCTCCTGCATGCAACTGAATGTAAACGCTGAGAGACCCTCCCTGCTGAGAGACCCTCCACCGGAGGGGTTTGTCATACAGATTTATATTTCATAGTCACGCTGTTCAGTTCCCAGCTGCTAGAAGTTCGGTGACTTTTTTTTTTAATAATGCATCTATAGAAAGAATATAAGCGAGACCTGGAACTGGAAGTCAAAGGAAGAGGCCTGAATGCCATGGCCAATGAAACTCCAGATTTTATGCGGGCCAAGAATGCCACGGACATTGCCAGTCAGGTCAGTGTTTCTGTCCCAGGTCAGCATTTCTATCCCAGGTCAGCGTTTCTATCCTAGGTCAGCATTTCTATCCCAGGTCAGTCTTTTAAGAAAGTAGTGACTATAAAAGCACAGTGTTGTCCCTGGGTCAACCTGCCAGTGACAATCAAACACACACGATGGCATTCTCGAACATTTGCCTAGTGGACTCCCTTCCACGGAAAGGACCGAGGACTCTGCCTGGCTTCTTTCTGAATCTTAAGCACAAAGGGCAGAAGCCGGGGAACAAAACTGTGTGAGGCCGGAGCAGACCCTGACATCCTGAGCCTGCGTCTTAGTCAGCCCACCCCTTGTCTGGCGCCAAGATTGCCTTGCTTAGAGTATTTGGGGAGTTCTTTCAGCCCCTGCTTTCAAGGCCCAAATGTAAACTCATCTTTAGGTGTTCGTATTGTCAAATGCCAGTTGATGTGGGTGTTTTGCTTAAATGCCCTTCTGCCAGCTGTCGTGTAAAAACCCTTTTCTTGCTATCTGGTGGTTGACTTTGTCACACATACCCAGTCCTACACTTCAGTGGATAATAAGTCTTTCAGCAGATAAGAACTTCTCTCTGAAGCTCTCCCTTTCATATAAAGCTATAGACACAGCAGGAAAAATGTCCATTGAATGTTAACTCCCAGAACACAAATACTAATCATCTCTCAAGTAAACCAAACCAAAAACTGTTGTGCACAGTCAGTGTGGTGGTTCGTACCTGTAATCGCAGTGCTGGAGAGGGTGAGGCAGAGGAACTGAGAGTTCAAGGCCAGCCTGGGCTTCACAGCAATCTGGTGTCTCAAAGACCAAACCATTGTGCACTTCATAAACTTTTATTCAACCCTCGGGCGCCTCCTACAGATTAAGTACAAGCAGTCAGCGGAAATGGAAAAAGCCAATTTCACATCTGTGGTCGACACCCCAGAGATCATTCACGCCCAGCAAGTGAAGAACCTTTCAAGCCAGGTAAGGGCGTTCGTCATCTTCTCTCTCACGTGCCCCCGTCATGAGAAACAAAAGTGCGCACAAGGTCCCAAGTTCGATTCCCGGTACCAAAATAAATAAATAAATAAAATAAAACAAAAGAGATTTACCCTTAATGGTGCAGGTTTGGGTCAGAGTTGAAATTTCTATATTAGATTTAAAATAAATTATAAAATAAGCCGTGGGTGGGTTTTCCTCAGAGGCAGAATGTCAGGCCTCAAACTCCCAAGTCGCATTCACGGGAGAGCCAGGGAGCTGGGAGACACTTAACAGCTGCCGGGCCCTCTGCTGCTGCCGTTGCAGATGCTGCAGGAAAGCATCAGGTTGGCCGGTGCCAGCACGGGCTTGGCCACTCACTCCACTGTGCGTGTTCAACTTGGCTGGTTCCTGCAGGCCTGAAATACGGCAGGCACGTTACTTCTCCTCCAACTCAGAGTAGTATTTACTTTTGAATGACGGAATGGTGTTTTCCACAAAATTACTTCTCCACTTCTTAGCAAGTACGCATTTTATAATGGTAAAGCCTCTTGAAGATTGATGCAAGCACTGTGAGCTCACGCACAAATCCAGGATATTCGACTGAATATTTCTGAATGCCAGGGGACCCGTTCAGGTCCTTTCTTCCAAAAATATCTTTAAGTTCTGTGCGCAAATTGATGACCTCTCTCTTGGGAATCAGAGAAATGACCAAAGTCTCAACTAGTTCCGGGAAACAATTGAGGCAACTTTCACTTAATCTTAAAAAAAAAAAAAAAAAAGGAAAAGAAAGGAGGACAGCTTATATTATTTTCCTAGGAAATTGAGAGCTCTTTTCCTTACATTTAGATAGCTAAGAAAAGTCACGCAGGCCACTTTTCTGGGACAAAGTGTGTATCCCTGGGGAGCTACTTTGTTCCTTCCAGAAATCTCTGCTTTAGTTGGCTCCCAGTTAGATAAATGAAATCTAGGCTAAGGTCTTTCTGAAACTTCTTCTGTGTAGGTGAGAAGATTAAAATTCTTGGTACTTATAGTTCATAGATAATACGATGTAAATACAGACAGAATAGTGTTAGCCCATCATAAAAGTGATTTTTCTCTCTCTGCTCCTCATCCCTGTACACCCAAACTTGCTGAAAAGTTGGAGAAATGAGCTCAATTAAAGCTAAAGAGGCCAGGTGTGGTGGTGCACACCTGCAATCCCAGATCTCAGGAGGCTGAAGCAGGAGGATCATTGTGAGTTTGAGGCCAGCCTGGGCTACATAGTGAGCTCAAGGCCAGCCTGAACTGCATAGCAAACACTGTCTCAAAAAGACAAGAATAAATAAATAAATGAATAATAAAACTAAAGGGATAAGTGAAAGGACACACTAACAAAATGAGGGAAAAAAAAGTCCTAACATGGAGTAAGTGTTCTCTAAGACGTCAGGCTGGCAGTGGGGTTGGATGTGTACGTGTCCAGAACAGCCCCGCCCCTAAAGGACACTCAGTGCAGGTCCAGGAAGCAAAGGAAAAGTGACTGCCCAGGGAACAGTGGTGACGCCAGGCTCACCTGCTTAGTGGCAAGTCTAGTCCCACTGGGCCACTTCCTGGAGCATCGCAGCCGTGTTCTGGGAGCACCTGGCTCTTCCTGCCTGTCATCGCCTGCCTCAATCACGCAGCCAGGAGCCCCAGACATATCTGCGGGAAGCTCCGTGAAAACCTGCTGCCCCCAGCTAGGCTGTGGTTCAGAAGGTGGAGACTGCCAGCCCTCCCGCTGCTCTCTGCCAGCCTGAGTGGCTCCCGGCGGTGCTTTCCTGTAGCTCAGCCATGAACAGCACCGCTGGAGGCAGCTCCAGCTCCCGCCCAGGCCTCGCCAGCAGTGCCTGCGCCGTATGGACGAGCGGGCAGCAGCCTCCCTCCGCCAGCTCCGTGCTGACAGCGGGTCCTTCCTGGTAAAAGTTGGCCTCGGGTCCCGTGGAAAGCGCGTGGCCATCACTGACTTGAGGGCCGTGCTCTACAGCTTTTGTACGAACACGAACACTCAAGAAGATGGGGAGATTTTCCTCTTCTGAGCTCTCAGGACCGTGTTCGCGCCACTGGCCCATGCCGTGGCGGTGTCCACCTTCCTTATGTCTTGGAATCTGTTCCCAGAAAAAGTACAAAGAGGACGCAGAGAAGTCCATGTCGTACTACGAGACGGTGCTGGACACGCCGGAGATGCAGAGGGTCCGGGAGAACCAAAAGAACTTCAGCCTTGTAAGTGTCCACTGAACCGAAGGCGTAGCTTGGGCCCTCGGGCTCTCACAGGCGAAGGAAGCTGCTTGTGGGCACACACATGGGCCCCCCACCCCTGTGCGGGCTGCGGGGCAGCCCCATGCTCCGTCCTTGCCCTGGGAACATGTGCTTGACTTTCTCTGGGCTCACGCTCCCCTGCGATTCCAAACCACACAGGAAAACCCTCTGTTACTTGGCGGACAGCTCCCTGCCGCTGACTGAACGGTCCTCACCGTCCACCACTCGTGACATCTGTTTTTCTCAAAGTTAAATCTAAGCAACGGGTGCTTACAAAAAGAAAGGAAAACCTAACTTTACACATTTTAAGTTCTGTAGCTCAGTGTACACCATGTGCCTAGTGTGTATGAGGCCCTGCGCTCAATCCCTAGCACCACCTCCCTGGTCAAATTAGTTTCTCTATAAACTTCTTAAAGAATTTCCCAAGCCGGGCGTGGTGGCACATGCCTATAATCCTAGCATTTGGGAGGAGACAGAAGGAGGCTCACTGTGAGTTCAAGGCCAGCCTACACTACATAGTAAAACACTGTCTCAAAAAAAAAGACAAAAAAGAATTTCCCTTTGGCCGCGATACTGTGATTATTGTGGCATAAATTTTTAAATATAGGATTTTAACTTTCTTTATACAATATAGAACAATTAAAAATAATAAGATGATGTTGATCTCTTAACAAGACATTTACTCTCTCTTCATAGCTCCAATACCAGTGTGACCTTAAAAACAGTAAAGGAAAAATTACAGTTGTTCAAGACACGCCAGAAATACTGCGTGTTAAAGAAAATCAAAAGAATTTCAGCTCGGTATATTTACTATTTATTTTCCATTTAATGCTAACCTAATAATTCCATTCTCCTCCTATAAAAAAATACTAGCTTCCCATTGATAGAGATAATTAACATCTAACCTTCACAGTTAATGCTACTGGTTATTTGTTAAAATTACCCATACTTTACTCCAATAGTATCGCTGCTGAGACCACCTGAAATAACAATTTAAATCTAACAAAGTAACTTCTTTTTTGAATTTTTTAATCTTAGAGCAGTAACGTGTGTTGTCTTGCTTCAAGAAGATGGATTTCTTTTTGACATTGTGATTTCTTTTCTTACATCTCCCAAAAATAACTGACTGACTTTGCATTTTTAAGTGGAGTTTACGTTTCATACGGGAGGGGTTCTATTGCTGTTAATCAGCGTGCTCTGGTTTTCCTCCCCCTGTGTTAATGTGGACGATACCCTTAAAAGATATCTCAAGACCCGACAGTGCCTTGGTGGTGTACGAGTGGTGTATGACGGGAAGACCTCAGACGCAGTTCTCCGGCTGTGCCTGGGAGCGTCGTCTAGCGTCTTTTGTTTTCACAGAAGCCCTGCGTCCTAGCCTTTCTCCAGGCACTGCTGGGGTTTCCCTCCTTTGTGTAACACCCCCTGGTTCTGCACGCCCAGGTTTTGTATAAAGAGGATGTCTCGCCCGGAACAGCCATTGGAAAGACGCCCGAGATGATGAGAGTGAAGAAGACGCAGGACCACATCAGCTCGGTAAAGACCCGGCACACTCAGTGTTTCCTCCCTGCCTTTGCTCACTTACCACGCCTCTGAGCTGCCCTGAAGACCTCTGTCACTGTAGGCAGCCTATATTCTAAATCCGGTGACTGTGCCACCGTCACCAGTCCGGCTGTGCCCGCGGAGCCATCTCAGACTCGGTGCAGTTCTGCGGGGCTTTCACGAGGGAGAAATGCGATCTGGAAAGCAGACACCTGTGAGAAAGTAGAATACACTAGTCAGAGACTTGGGCTTCCTGTGTGTAAATGCACCCGCCCTGGCTGGAGGAAGTGCTGGGTGTGGAATCTCTGGAGTGCGGTAGACCTCTCTTATCCAGCTTCTCTGTCTCTGGTTTCAGTTACCTCTCACTCAGCCCTGGTCCAAAAATATGCCCTGGAAAAATCCAGAAATAAACCCTAAGTTTTAAATCGTGCACTGTTCTGCCTGGCACGACAGACTCCTGCGGCGTCCCCGGCGGCGGGTATCACCCCTTTCCCAGCACGTTCACACTCTGTGCCCCAGCTTCCCGCACCAGCTGTCTCCTCTATGAGACGGGTGTCTTCGTATGGCAGTGACTGTGTTCAAGTAATCCTAGTTTTACTTACTGGCCCTGTAGTGCAAGAGTAGCGAAACCAGCAATTTGCATGTGCAGAAGAGAAATTATAGAATGCACTTCCTTTACGTGAAAAAGCTGAAAGTTCTTAACTTGAGGAATTTAAAAACTGTTATGCCAAGGTTGTTGTGATCTACAGTAGAATGAATCTTCCATCCGTGAGCTTATGAAGAAGGAAAAAATCCATGCTAGCCAGGCATGGTATGGTGAACTTGTAGTCTCCCTTACTTAGGAAGCCGAGGAGGGAGGATCACTTGAGCCCACAAGTTTGAGACCAGCCTGGGCAACGTAGTGAGACCTTATTCCAAAAACAAACTCATGCTAGTTTTGTTATCATATCTCAAATAGCAAAAGATAGGCCACAATGCATGAGAAGTACTTACGTAAGATGAAAATGGCAATAAATTTGCCTATGTGTACTGGAAAAATATATAGTATGTATAGAGTTTGGTAGTCTCCATGGTTCTAGGCACTCACTTGGAGGTCTTGGAATGTGTCCCCCAGGGGTAAGAGAGGACTGCTGCATGCAGGGACTGCAACCCAAGTAGGAACTCTGCTCCCGCCGCAAAGAGCTCAAGAGTCCCTCTCCTCAGAATTGTCCTCCTCGGACCCAGTATCAGAATGTGGCCCCTTCCAAACTAAGCATAGAGCTCACGTGATTTAATTCCGGCCTTGGACCCTCTGGAGGAGCTGGCAGAGGGCTCCGCATGCACAGACCCTGGCTTCGGTCTCCAGTGCACGCAGAAAAGCGGTAGGCCGTACCCAGACACACACACGGGTGGAGAAGATCCGGCCTCCCGGCGCCTAAGAACTGCGCTCCCTTCTCGTTTCCACGCAGGTGAAGTATAAAGAAGCAGTTGGACAAGGCACTCCCATCCCTGACCTGCCTGAAGTGAAGCGTGTCAAGGAGACCCAGAAGCACATCAGCTCGGTAGGGGCTCACACTCCGCATGCGTCGTGTGGCTGGCCACCTCCCGCGCCGCCCCTTCCCTCTTCCTCGGCCCAGGGCCTCCCGCTCGGTCCTGAAGGGACTCCCGAGAAAGTAGACCAGAACCCCCACTCATGTTATTTAGATCTCACTTCTGGGTCATTCCCTTTGGCTTCCTGTGGTACAAACCCATTTCAAATTTTATGTCACCACTCGGAGAGAATTCGCCCATGCTTCCTGTGTTGCTCTGAACTGCAACTTCTTGCCTTTCTCTGACTTTGCTGTGTTGCTCAAGACAGTCCTGCTTCCTTGCCTTGGTGAAGGTTAAAGAAACATGACTTTGTTACCAAGATGGTGGATTTTCAAAGATTCCTAAACATTTGCCAGCAAAACAGAAATGTCACACTGCTGGCTTGTTGCTGAGTCTAGGAATTAGTCTGCGACACAAGCTTTTCCTCCTGCTTCCTGCTCTGTGCACTAGTATACTATAGAATCTATTCATTTTAAAGGAGAGGTCATTCAGTCCTCTAGCTGAAAGCTTTTAACATTAAGGGCAACGGAGGCAAAAGGCTCAAAAAATGGAAGTTTTTTTACTCTTTTCATTAAAAGTTATAGTCCTTTGAGCCCACCACCTAAACATAAGGATTTCTCCCTGTTCAAAAAAAAAGCTGGGAGTGACAGGCACGCCTATAATCCCAGCACATGGGAGGCCGAGGCAGGATTGCCAAGAGTTCGAGGCCAGCCTGGGCCACATAGTGAGTTCAAGGCAGCCTGAACTACATAGCAAGACCTTGTCTCAAAAAGCAAATGACTACCAAAAAAAAAAGCATGATTAGAGAATCATAACAAAGCAACCTATTTATCGAGCACAGATGTACTACACTCAAGACACTAACACTAGCTGCACAGTTGAACTTCTTATCACCGTTCAGTGCATTTTAGGCATGCAGTAAGTACTGGCTATAGAAAATGCAATTTAGTACCTGGTTTTCTAGGAGGTGAAATGACCACTTTGAAGGAAATGTCACTGTCTATGGGATTTATTTTCCTTAGTCCTTTAATGGCATATTTGAAAGCTAGATTGTTTTTAATGAGCTCTCACCAAATAGCCTACATGTGGCTATAGATCTAAAGAACTGTTATTTTGGTTATTATGGTTATTTTGCCTTTTGGGTATTCTAATTATTTTCTACAGGTTATGTACAAAGAAAACTTGGGGACAGGCATTCCAACCACTGTCACTCCAGAGATTGAGAGAGTCAGACGCAATCAAGAGAACTTTAGCTCGGTATTTATAAATATATCAATAAGAAACTGCTTCCCATTTAAAAAATTTACCAGAATAACTCATCATCCTTTTTTTTTCAAGTAACATCTTAACAACAAATTCTCCGTGTGTCTGTGTGTGTACATTATCCGGCCCAAACATCTGACTTAATACATTTTAACATTTTCAGCACCCGACTAGTCGGTACTTGGATCTGACATACCGTAAAGTAGCATTAACACAGGCCTTCATCTTTATACTCACATCTTATAACTCGGTGCTTTCCGTTGTCCTTTCCTGTTCCCAGAATTAGCACAGTAGAGCTCATCTTAAAATTGTGATGTACAAAACCAAAAGCATTATCCTTACTAACTATTTTACTAAAAATCCCCCCCAGTATCCACACTCCATTCCCTTCCTCCCTCAGTCTTTGTGCTTGTTTTGAATGTCTTCTGGGTACTTTCTTGTATCTCACAGGTTTCGTACAAAGAAAATTTGGGGACAGGAACCCCTACCGCTATCACTCCAGAGATGGAGAGAGTCAAACGCAATCAAGAGAACTTTAGCTCGGTATTTCTTAGGGGACGAAAAAAATCCCTTTGTTCTTGTTAAAATAATTTTTAATATTTTAACATATTATTAATGCAAAATTACTAAATTCATATAATGAAAGGAATGATACCAAATATTACGTGTTTTCAGCCCAAATCTAATCTAGTATTTACTGGAGTTCTGATGGAACTTTTAACCATTTTGTCTAAAACGTAGGTATTTATCATTTTCCTTAAAAACCTGTTAATACTCAGTGCTTCCTCCCTCTACCCACCTTTAATAATGGTAGGAGTTTCTAATGGTGTGGCCCAAGTCAAAAGTAAAATCTAACACCTCTTCAAAAGGACAGTGCTAATTAGAATTTTATTTATATTTATTGTGGCTACTTGCATTCTTCGTGTTTGCAGCTTTTCTCAGAAGACTGTGATTCTTAAACATTTTCATTCAGAGATAACACAGGAATTCACAGTAACTCGGTGACACAAACTTCATTTTCTCAGCTTTTTTTTTTTTTTTTGGTATACCATGCAAGATATAAAAAGAGCTTTCCTGGGGGATATATTCAGGATCATAGAAAACTAAGTTAAGATGCCTTTAGTCTCCCCAAGCCTCTTATGATCTTCTAGCTTAGTCTTACCAACAATTCATTACAGACGGTAAGTCCCGTCAGCTTAAATGCCATTTACACGGCCTAATTCTTCTGTCTTTGAGAGAAAACACACGTAAGCCAAGCCAGTCCTCCCGCAGGCTGGCACCGTGCACGCACCGGGGCTTCCTCCTGACGTGGGGCCCCGCGGGACTCGATGTCCAAAGGCGGTCGATGGCTGCTCTGTTTTATAAAGTGGGGTCTACTCTACTTCACTGTGAGCACAAACACACAACAGTGCTTCTTAGGAACCTTTAAAGATCAAGTCTACCTAAACGACGGTCCAGGCTGACGTGACTGTTGATTTTGTGCACACAGATACTGTACAAAGAGAATTTGAGCAAGGGGACCCCCCTTCCCGTCACTCCTGAGATGGAGCGAGTCAAACGCAATCAAGAAAACTTTAGCTCGGTATTTGGGGGAAATTTTCTTTAATTCCATATTAAAAGTAATAACTGCTATGAAACAAAACATCTATTTGACCCTTTATAATAATAATCAACTTAACATTTAAAAAAATCTCACCACTGAATCTTCTGTTTTCTGGATATTTTACTCACCATTTGAGCTAATGCTTTACACTTTCTTTAACTGTCCCTAAGAGTTTTAATTGATTCCTTTCCTTCTATTCTCACACTTATGTTACTTTTGGGACTTTCGAACTTAACTGATTTCCAAAAACAGGGCAAACGCTGGAGCTCCTGTTTACTTCACTCTGTTTATTCGATGTGTTTTGCTCAGTGTTGCCAGAAAAACACTGGTCTCAAGGCCACCTGTAAAACTAGTGGGTCTTAGATGGGGACAGGGCTCCCTCGAGCGCAGACCTTACCCAAATAAACAGTAGCACCTGGAAAATTACTCAGCATTGGGACCAGAAATACTCTTATTTTGACATTTGTCCTGAATAAGGAATTCACAGAAATCCAGGACTTCTGACTCTCAAAAAATATGCAAAGCATATCATGCATTTATCTTTACTGTTATTTATTCTTCTATTACTTGTTCCTGAAAACTCTACGATACCCACAGGGTCTGTGATATTTCTCTATAAAGATCCTAGGTTGATTTATCCCTGAAATGGAAAATAAAATATGACTTGAATTTACTTTTAGAGGTTGGAGATTAATCTAAAATGCTCCTGTCATTTAAATATTCTCTGCAGTTTGATTCTTTCACATCATTAGAATAGTAACTTCCTTTGCTCCCACTGTCCTTCTTTTGCCTTGTTTTTTGCTTACTATTCTCTAACCATCTTTCAGTTTTTATTAGTCAATGGAAGTTATGTCTTTTAGAATGTTTTACTTACTTTTATCCCTGTGGATTATTATTATTATTAATTATTCCTTTTTTGAAAGATTTGCATCCGTTGTTAAAATTGTTTCAATTACTCCCTTCTACGTTAGAGTAAGTATATTATTGTTTGAGTGTATTTGAAAATAATGATCCAGATGGTTCTGGACAACTTTTTCTTTTTTCTTTTTTCTTTTTTCAGCAATCATTTGTGTTAACTGTTGCACAGCTTGCATTAGGAAATCTTGTCCAGTGATACACAGGCCTTTTAGATACAGTGGTTAATATCATATAGTAAAACACTGTCTTTTACAGTGTTTTAGAGACAGACTCTACTGTCTGTTTTAGAGACAGACTCTACTGTCTTTTACATTCTCAGCAAAGGCCAATTTTCTACAGTGCACCATTATTTGGTCTGGAGTTTTAAATATCTGTTATATTGTAAGACAAACATTCTGAGTAGGAAAGATATTTGGTGATCTAATTTTAAAGTAGTTTTTCTGTGATACACAGGGCATCTCAGTGCTCTTATAAAACTATTTCTACCTTTCCCTTAATTCCTGACACAGGCAGTACACATTTCTACGAGGGTTAGATTAAAAAGACAAGCGTCCAATGGACTGGCACTTCGGCTAGTCCTCGCCCGGACCTGCACCGCGCAGTGCGGTGGACGTGGTGAATCTCGCTCCTGGACTGTAGTCTCTCTCTAGGTTCCCACAGGGCAGACAGAGGGGCTGTTTGACTGCTCGCGTCTTTTCCAGATGCTTCCTTTGTGTTATGCAGGTGTCGTACAAAGAGAACCTCGGACAAGGGATTGCAATCCCCGTCACTCCAGAGATGGAGAGAGTCAAACACAATCAAGAGAATTTTAGTTCGGTATTTAAAATTTAAAAGGAAATCCCTTTAACTACTTTGTAAAAGCTTTGGAAAGATTAATGGCCACAGTCTGAGAATCTAATCAACTGATCCCAGTAAAACGTTTGGCCCGTCTTGCTCCCAGTTTAACGCTGCCGTTTCCTATAAACCAGTCTCCCCACTTTGGTTAAACAATATAATAATTTGACTTGATTTTTTAAAAGTGCTCAATATATCCAGCTTTTAAAAACATAACATTCTCAGTGTCTAAGCATACACCTTTACCCTGCTTTTGCAAATTTTTTCAAAATATAAAGCTTAAAAAAAAAATCTATTCTGTTGACCTCATTTTCTGTTCTAACTGTCTCCGTCTCCATTGGTGCGTGGACACATATGTTGGCGCTTCCTTTATTAGCATCTTGCCATTGTTCTCTATTTAGATTAAAAATAATTCTTCCCAATATGCTCCCCCAAACTAAAAGTTAAATACTTGGACTTCCTTTGAAAGTCAACAAACAGAGATTGTGTGTATGTATCTTCATGTGTATAATATTCACAGAATACCCAACTATCTCTCCGTGGTTTATTAATAGATTTCCAAATCAAAAGCAACCTCCTTGGTCCTGTTCCTGTCTCATGTCTGTTTCTATTTTCCCCTTCATGTAACAAGGAGGACTAACTTCTAGGAACCCTAATCCCTCACTTTCGTGGAATTCCTCGTCGTTCAGTGCTACAGAGATTAACTCAAACAACGAAAATAACCAATTTTCTTTCCATGTTTCTTAGCTCCGCTGCTTTGTGCGTTCTTCTGCTTTCCCCTTTAGGCTTACACAGGTGGACCCTAAACTCTCCTGCATTCCCTTCCTCTAACCCCTCCCTCCGCCCCGCCACTCCCCGCTGTCCCCAGGGGGAACTGAATGCCTGCCTGCTCTTTTCATTCTGGACAATTTCTTACCGCACAGGTGCTGTACAAAGAAAACCTGGGGACAGGAATCCCAATTCCCATCACTCCTGAGATGCAGAGAGTCAAACACAATCAAGAAAACATTAGCTCGGTACTTGGAAAGAAGTGGGGAAAGATGCCCTTTAACTTCAGAATTAAACAGACCCTTAGTATTTATTCTCTTCCCTAAGCCCGCTTCCCTTCCTCTGCTTCTAACGTACCTTCCCTTCCACAGGGACAAACTTCCTCGTTTCTGTAACACAATTAATTCCGATTTTTACTTCATCCGAACGTTCTTTAAAAAGAAATCAGTGTTTTAGTTGTGCGGCTAACAAAACAAGCTCTGACTGTCTCAAATCCCTGTGATTGTTTAGAAGTCACCATGCTTGTAGAAATGAAAAACGTAATAATAA